GAGTATGTATAATAACATATGAGATCAGGTTACCTGGCAAGAATAAACTTTCAGTACAAAGACAGAATAGAATGAATAATGTATTCATCTCTGTCGATCTGCTACTAGATAGATATATGGACAACTAGTTCGTCTCAGCCGCACACGAAAGTGGTGGTCAGATCAGATCAACAGTGCCAGGAAGGGCCTAAACACAACCAGGTAAATGTTACAGAAAGGTCAGAAGACAAGGAAGAAAGAATAAAAGAATCAGGCAAGTCCTAACCCAACCCCGACCGTGATGTATTAGCAACATACTCTGAAACCGCATGCAAGTCTTAAAATAACATACAACAACAACAACAAAGACAGAGAAGACAGGCAGGCGGACAAAACAGACAATAACAAGAATAGCGACACAGCCGCGCTACGCTACGCTAGGATCAGGGCGAAAATGATAGGGCCTGAGGCGGTGTTGGCTTTTCGTATTATTATTATTAGATACATTTAGCTTGGCTGGTTAGTTAGTACTGTACGGAGTTCCTACTCTTAGTTAGGACCGTATTAATTGTCTAGGCTGAGCTAGCCTGACCAAGGACTTCCCTAAATTACTATCCCTACGTATTTACCTACCTCTACTGTGGTTGATGCGAATTACATGGATTCAGAGAAAACTGGCTGGATGAGATTGTACTGTTATGCTGCATCTACGATCTACCTATTGATGGAGTCTGATAGCCATCCAATACGGCGTTTGAACTGCACCCAGAAGTATAAACCATAGATACCAGAAACAACCCAAGACCTGAAGTAAGACCTAGCAAGATAGTCAATACTATACGAATAGAAATAATAATAATCAAAGCTCAACAGCGAGAGGCAGGCATAAAAACCGTATTCCCCGTCCCTTGCGCATTACACACTTACGTTATCCTTGAGAAAAACTAATCCAATCCATTAGATTATTAAATTCCAGCCTTAGTTCCATGCACATTCCATGAGAAAAGACGCAGATCAACGCACCTCCCAAGCATCCAGTGGCCAAATGGGGGAAAAACAAAAGCAAGGGCCGGCCTATCATAAAGTGTATATCTCACGGTCAGTGCATGGAACAGGGCAAATCATATACTGTACTGTATGTATACCGGACAGCCAGAGACGTCAGTCAGTCAATCATTCAGTTACGGTCACGCTCATTGCTTACCGAGGGGGTGGGCTGAGCTGGGGTTGGGTTGGGGCTGTTCTGTTCTGTTATGTTTATCCATATGCAGGGCGGCGTTTGCTGCGGGTGTGATCGATTGATTGATTGGGTTGGGTTGGATTTGGGGCTCGTATTTGTTGACTTGAGTTCATGGATCTGATCATTTAATCTGTTGATGTGTGAGATGGGTGGATGGATGGGTATGGTTGTTTGATGATGTTTAGTATATACATCATGCATGCATCGGAGTACGTACCTGATAGGTAAGTAGGTAGTTGGCAGGTATTGCATGACTCAGGTCCCATTGTACAATAACATCGAGTCAGTGGCCCCGGGTAGTTACTACGTAGATACCTACGTAGATAGACCCCTCGCATCAAACACGAAGCTTCCCCGGACAGCACGGTAGGTTCTCCGCTAATCAGAGTCGGTTTCCTTGTATCTCCTACATTCCTACCTAAGTTCCTACTGCACCCTTTGTTCACAAAGCTATTGCCAATGCAGTTCACCGCTACTGGAGAGGATATCTGCGGCAATTATAAGCACCAAATTAAGGCTTATGTCGTTTCAAATATGCGTGTAGTCGATGGGATTGTCTGAGTCAGTCGCTTGGTGGGTGTATGACTCTCGTGTAAAGCTGTGCCTAGGGTGAACTTGGTAGGTGTGGAACGTGATAGTAGATGAGAGTGGATCCAGACTCTTGTCTCGTGCCAGGATTTCTACGGCTGGCTGGCTGGCTGAGTACTTTCTGTACAGGGTATAGGATAAATAGATAGGATGCCCTCTATGCGTTGACCCCGACTACGACATGGTAAAAATCTAGTATGATGGGAAATGCTCGTAAAGATCATTCAAAGTAATGCTCAAAATGCTAATGTAACAGACACGGATATCAGTACAGAGGGCCGAACCCTGATAGATCTAGATCTATGTATCGAAAGACACTTTTGTTCATTTCATTCGCGGGGGTTCTCGCGAATGTCGGACCGAAATCAAACTTCACTTCTCCATTTAACCGACCACCTTGAAGATCGACTCGGCCAGGCGACCAACGTTGCCGCTGGTGATGCCGGCCACGGAGATACGGCCGTCCTTGGTGGCGTAGACGGAGTGCTATGCGAGTTAGTGTGGGTGTTTCAAGGGTGGAATGGGGGGTAGACTCACCTCCTTGGCAAGGGCATCCATCTGCTCGGGCTTAAGACCGGTGTAGGCGAACATGCCGATCTGAGAAAGTCATGTTAGCTAGATGTTCGACAGCAATCAGTATGAATTTGTGCCTACCTGGCTGGTGATGTGGGACCAGTCGTGCTTGCTGCCCAGCTGCTCCAGGTTCTTGCGGAGCAGGGCGCGCATCTCGATGATGCGGTCGGCCATGCCCTTGACCTCACCCAGCCACTGCTGGTTGAGCTCGGCGTCGTTCATGATGGCGGAGGCGACGCGGGCACCGTGGATGGGAGGGTTGGAGTAGAAGGGACGGATGAGGATCTTGATCTGCGAGTCCACGCGCTTCTTCTCCTCGGCCGACTCGCAGACGAGGGAGAAAGCACCGACACGCTCACCGTAGAGACCCTGGATGAGATGAGATTAGCAAGTGACCCCTTCGAGACTGTTTAAAGAGTGATGCCCACCATGTTCTTGGCGAAGCTCTGGCACAGAGCGATGTTGTGGCCCTCCTTGACAAAGTGACGGGGCGCGAAAGCGTCCTGGTCGGCGTTGCCGCTGGCAAAGCCCTGGTAGGCCATGTCGAAGAAGGCAAAGTGACCCTTCTGCTTCATGACGTCGCTGATCTGGCGCCACTGGTCCTGAGTGGGATCGACACCGGTGGGGTTGTGAGCACAGGCGTGCAGCAGGATGATGCTGTTCTCGGGGGCGGCCTTGATGTCGGCGATCAGGCCCTCAAAGTCCAGGCCGATGGTGTCCTTGTTGTAGTAGCGGTACTTCTCGACCTCCAGGCCGGAGTCCTTGAAGACGGCGTTGTGGTTGGCCCAGCTGGGGTTGGGCAGGTAGACCTTCTTCGCGTGGGGGTAGAAGCGCTGCAGGAAAGCACCGCCGATTCTCAGGGCACCGGTGCCGGAGATGGTCTGGGTGATGACCAGACGGCCGTCCTTGATGACGGCAGAGTCCTTGCCATAGGCGAGCTCAGCAGCGGCGCTGGTGAAGGCAGGGATACCAGTGATGCCGGCATATTCCTTGTCGCTGCGGGAGGCAACGACCTTGTCCTCGGCGGCGCGCACGGAGGGCAAAACGAAGGGCTTGCCCTGATCATCACCTATTGACCGAATTCTCAATCAGTAACCGTTCCAGTCGCATCGTAAGGCGGACGTAGTCCTCAAAAGGTTCCAGGGAAGGTGAGGATAGACGCAAGGAGATTGCTTACGGTACGCGCCAACACCCAGGTTGATCTTCTCCTTGAAAGAATCGGCCTTGAAAGCCTCGGTGATACCCAGAATGGCATCCTAAAAGCGCACGCGATCAGCGATTGCACGACCACAACCCAATCAATCGCATCGCCGTGAGATGGGAATGCCTACCGGAGGGCCCTGGGGGACCTTGGACCACGCAGAGGCATATCTGGCACCAACGGCGACGGTGCGCAGGGTAGCGTCACGCGAAGCAGCCGTGCGGCTGGCAACTCGGAGGGTAGACAGCATGATGATTGGTGTAGGGGAGATGGAGAAAAATCCAAGGAAGACAGATGGACCGTGTTCAGGATCCCCAAAAATGAAGAATGATGGAAGAAGGGAGAGGAAAGGGAGGAGAGTGGTGTGATGTGTGTGTTGGAGATAAATAACAAAGCGCAATAGGAAGGAAAAAGCAGTGCCGAGTGGATCGGGGGGGCGTAGGAGTCACCGATGGCGCGGAGTTGTGCCGGGCTAGTGAGTTTTCTTAAATTTTGACTCATGTGAACTAGGGAAGTCCGAGGAGTCTGTTTGCTATGCTCGGCCATCTTTATGATAAGAATCTAATTTCGACCCTTTCTAGAATTACTTTGAATTTTGATTCAGTATTCATCTATCTAGGTTATTGAATTGTTTGATTGTTTCATTGTCTAATTGTTTATTTATTTATTTATTGACGACCTCCCGTTGAAACAGAGTTTTCTATACAAGACAATCAGATAAGTTAAGATCGGATGGACTTACTCAGACCATATGATCCAGTATTATCCAGCAATGAATAGAATTATCCAACTGATTTACGTACACCAGAACTAATTTCTCTCTTCTGGATCGACTCTGGCGCCGAAATCCGGTGAACTAAAGAAGGGAAATGTGGAGCCTGGTGGCCTGGTGGCCTGGGTGCCTGGGGCGTCTGGCCCGTCTTTCCCCTCACGGGAGTCGGGGTTAATTTGGGGTCGGTCAGGGGCTTCTATTTATTGATATGAGTAAACACTTCATGGAACGGTTAAGAAGAGGGAAAGAACAGGAAAGGAAAGAGATTTGACAGGTAGTGACTATTTTTGAAGTCGCCTGAGAAGGTGGAGATTTGATTCCTGTCTCTCGATTGAAGCTTTCATGGTTGGAGAAGGATGGACTCGAATACCAGGCTGAGTGGGACGGACAAGACAGATTTAACCGCTCTGCTGCTTTGCTGTATTCTGGTGGTGTGTGCTCCATGTAGATCGGGTAATTTCCCCCACACGCCAAGAGACAGTGCGAGACCGAGGTGTCATGTCGTTGCTATGGTAAGCTGGAAACCATATACAGGGAGATAATTGATGAAGGATACCTCCGAGTCTACAATAGACAGACGTTCGGTCATGGGTTCATACAGATCAATTAAGAGATGTTAAATTCTGTGGTATACCGTACATGCATATGTGGCCTCCCCCATAGACACAATGGGGATAGCCTCCCCCCATATCCTTAGCCCAGTCGCACTCCCGCCTGGCGGTTCTTCCGCGCCGTCGCCCCCATGGCATTGTTCATCCCCGTGTGCTGACTGCTGTCCAGCGCGGTCATGGCCTCGCGCTTCTTCTCCTCGTCGATCTTCTTCAGGCGCTTCTCCGTCTTCATCTTGCCGCTGCCCTTGCCGTGGAACTGGTGGCTGAGATGCTTGAACGCCTCCTTCTGGTTCATCGACCGCCCGTACTCGTCCGTGTACTTCAGCTGCACGTCCGGCTTGTACTCCTTGCTGAACACCTCCGCCATGTGACGCGCTTCCTGCTGGTCGCGGTGCTTGTTCTCCCAGCGCGCATACTCCTCGCGTTCCCGTGCAGACATCCGGTCGAGCTTCCCCGACGCGCGATCCCGCTCACGCTGCTGTCGCGCACGCTGGTCGGCCTCCGTCTCGAGACGCATCTTTTCGTGCAGGAAGCGTTGGCGATCCCGTGTCAGCGCGTTGTTTTCGGTCCCGTCGGAAGATTTCACCAGACCACGCTGCTTGAGCATAGATAATGCGGCACCGAGACCCTGGTCCAATGTAGACTCTTCCTCCAATCCTGTGCCGCTGATATGCGGCTTCTCCTGCGCCTCGTCCCGCTTGATGCGTTCTTTGAGGTCTTCTTCATCCTCGATATCGTTGTAGGTCCGCTCCATGACCACGTCACCGTCCTCCTCGGCTTCTTCCTTGACGGTGGGCTGTTCGGACTTGGCATGGGGCTCTTCGGCGGGAGTGGATTGGCGGCGTTCACGGCGCTCGGGAAGGGTGGGCTTTTGTAGGTTGGAGACAAACTCCGACGTCTCGTCGATCACGAGACCGGGCTCCTCCTCGTTCTCACCCGGTGTGTCCGCTTCCATGGGCGTATGTTCGCTTTCCTCTCGAAGCTGTCGGGCGAGATCTTCGGGTCGCAGCTTCTGGCGCTTCTTAAACGCGGCTCGTCTTTGGCGGGCTAACGAAGCCTGCAGGTCGTCATCGTCGACGAAGGACGTGTTTTCGCTGGCCCACTTGCGAGGCGCGGGGGCGGGCGCCGATTCTCCACTGGGCGTGTCAACGTCCATGGACGACGTGCCGTTAAGAGTCTCTGTCGATTGAGGCGTCGGGGAAATATCCTCGTCGTCAAGAGCGGCTCTCTTCTTCGTAGCCTTCGCCTTCTTCTTCTTGGGCTTCTTGATCTTGACCTCGCTCACATCCATATAATCGGAGCTCGGCACTTCAGGCTCGAAGTCAAGACTGATCACGTTCTTCCGCAACTGATTCGACACCTCCTGCCGCTTCGCCTCCCGTTCCTCGGTCGTCGCACCCTGTGCATCGAGAGTGAACCGTTTCCGCTTCTTTCCATCAATCTCCTCATCATACTGCGCCAGTATCCCCGAGTTCTCTGCCGTCGGATCGTAAGCCGGCTTCCGCTTCTTCAACTCCAACTGCTCCGTAGTCCTCTCTTTCTCCCGCAGATCAAGATTCTCCAATTCATCTCCCTCCTCCTCATTCTCATCAATCGTCGTATCCTTAAGCGTAAGCACATGATCCGTCCCGCCCTCAAAATCCCCAACCTCGTGCCCAACACGAATCCCCGAAAGCTCCGCAGCAGAATACTCCGCGATGCGCTCGCGCTCCTCCAGCTCCGCCGCGAGCCTCGCCGCCCGCTCCTTCTCGATCTTCTTTTGCCGCTTTTTCGACTGCTGCAGCCACGTCTTGGTGTCCATCTCCACGTCCGCGGACTCACCCAGCGTCGCGCCCGCTAGCTTCCTGTCCCGCTGTGCCTGGTCCCGCGCCTTCTTGATCGCCGCGTTCCGCTCCTCCCGTTTGCGCTTCGCATCCGCCTCATCTTGGATCTTCTGCCAGTTCGCCCCGGCTTGCGCCTGCCGCGACTCGAGCGTGCTCGCGGGATCTTCCTCCTCGTCTGATGACAGGTCTGAGGAATCGTCGTCGGATTCGGCGGTGGCGACGGCGCCCGGCACCGGGAGGGGCTTCAGTCCCAGCGCGGCGCGGATTTTGTTGTTCTGTTCGATGGAAACTGCGTCCGCCATGTTGTGCGGTAGAGCAAGGCTCTATTCTAATGAAATATGAGATAAACAAAATGGTTGGTGTGTGAATGGCAACAGGCGTCAATAGGTAGGTTTGGTTGGTTTATCCGTCATCGATAAGGGAACATTTCACCCAGCCTGCTCTGCTCAGCAACAGACGCCAAGAGAATCTTACCTAAGCGGCACCATTCTCGGCAAGGTTTAGCGCGATCAAAAATCCTTAGCGCGCACTAGACGCCGCCGATAAAAGGTGGAATTTTTCCACCCTTGGCTCTTTTTCTCTTTTCTTCTTCAGAACATACCACGGATCTGTGTCCAGCGATCCTGATCACGGGCGCCGTTCTCTTCGCAAGAGGAGACGACTGTCTGTGTTTCGGTTGATTACTGGACAGTTCGACGACCAAAGGAGCCATGTTTTACGAATGCATGGTTTGCTATTTTCCGGTCGACAGATCTCAGATTAATTGCTGGCGCTGGGGGGTTCACGCCGGTCTTGAGCTCCCTTTCCTTCGGGATTGGTGAGCTCGGCTGGTGCCTCTGGTTTGCTGGCGGCGTCATATTCCTACTCCCTTTGCCGATTTTGGCCGTTGGCTGATGAGGTTAGGGAATAACCATGACTGGCCAACATACCTTTTGTAGACTATTGATGGTGTTTTCTGCTTTATAAATTTCCCTTGCTGGGGGTGCTGGTGGGGTGGTAGTATTGTATATATGGAAACTTCCGTAACAACATCTTATGGGATTTCGTTATACATAAGTCTGCATGTAGATGCTCAAACATAATGCGCTTGCTTAATGGCAGAGTGCAGTGCTCCGTGTACATGATATGATTGTGACCACCCCGTCCAATATACAACCTCGTCATAGCAAAACGCCCCTCCAACATGAAGACAAATCACAGCAACTTCAAATGTCCCGTAACACCATCAACCACACTCTTAGGCCCCAACACCCCAAGAACAGTCCTGCTCCCGCTCGCGATCTGGGTCCGTCCAGCGTCGGTGATCACCTGCGCGCAGAGACCCAGGCTGATCGCCTGCGCCTGCAGCAGCTCCATCTCCTCTTCGGACTTTGTCTGGAGCGCGATCTTGGCCTGCCCTTGTCGTTCCCAGCGGCGGAGCATGCTGGAGGTGGGGGTGTGAGTCGTGAGGTACTTGTAGCAGGCGAGGGTTGCGTGGGAGCATTGGGCGGCGATTTTACCTGGCGATGATGGATATCATGTTAGTGGTTTTTTTTTTTTTTTTTTTCGCATGAATGGCTTCAAGGAAAGGCTCGGGTAGAGAAAAGAAGAGAAAAAAGACAAACACACCCTTGGTCATTCCCAAATCCGTCCTCACGACAAGAACCAATTTCACTTCCTCATTGCTGTTGTCGAAATTCGCCAGCTCGCTCCCGTCGCCCTCCTCCTCTTCCTCCTCTTCAGATTCGTCGTCGTATTCCTCGTCCGACGAGTCGCGATGAACCTTCACATTGTAGCTGTTCGGCCAACCTTCCTTCTCGTTTGCAGAGAAGAATCCTAGCGTGGAGCCCTGGCCGATGAAATACCCTGTGATGCCGGCGAGGATTGCGGTCGCGACGACGTAGGCGGCTGTTGAGGGCGGTATCCGGTCGAGGTCGGACATTGTGAGGATTGTAGGTTGTTGGGTAGATAGGCAGGAATGAAGGTGATGGTGGTGTATTTAATTGTGAGGAGAAAATATAGAGCAGCTGGTAGCTTGGCGGTTGTTCGTTGCGCTGCACTGGAAAATTGGGGTTGTCGGGCCGGGCTGTCTGACGTTGGTGCGGGTAATCTGGCGCGATGCGAGTGCTGTGGGTTCGAGTGTAGACTCTTAGGTGGCCACTGTTATTGTTGTTGGTCACCTCGAGCTTGTTTGATTTTGTCATGTTTTAAAGGGATTTGTTGGGAAATGTCGTAGTATTCTGGACTTTCTCTTTCTAGTCGACTACATATTATATATCTTACTATGGCTGTACGAACGGATACGAAAGCATTGGCCATCACTCAATATCCAATTTATCTGATCGTAGACACTCCATCACTACCTCATTATATACATCTCTGATCCTGATAAATTGTCTTTCGAGCACTTCACCTCCCTCACAAGTTTCAACTAAGCACGCGCGCCACCCCCAACACGACGGCTCCTGTTCAAATATATTAGTAGCAATTCAGTACCCATCAAACAGGTCGACTTACATAACAGTCCGGCTGAAGAAACTGATGCCGACCATGACAAGCCAGCTAGGGACGGCACCAACGGCATAGAGGACGTAGCCCGCGGGAACGAGGAGTCCGTTCTGGGCGAGCCAGCTGTTGGTCGGATGGAAGGGACCCGCGTAAGGGGGGATCTCCTCGTACTTCTTCTCGGAGTGGATCTTGTAGATGGTATCCGAGGTGAGTCCGGTCGTGTTCAGCCACACGGTGTGGAGATCGACGACGGGATGATCCTCTCCGAGACGGGCCTCCGGGATCTTGAAGTAGTAGACGGACGGGCATCCAGCAGCCCACATGGAGCACAGGACCTTGTTTGACTCACAGTCCAGGTATCCCAGGTTGGGCGAGGTCGGGTCAGCAGACAGGAGAAGGAGGGATTGCTAGCAAGGGTGAAAAAAAAAGATGGTTAGTGAGCTGTCAAACTGCGCGCTATCGACCCCCTATCTGCGAAGTCCTTACATTGAACGACTTGTCCGCCTCGCCACAGCGACCGGAGCAAGTCTTGTTTCCACCCGTGATGTACACCATCCAATCCTGAGGCTCGGATGACGGCTCGAGGAGAGACTGCCAGTTGCTCAGGTTGAACTGCGTGACGGTCTTCTGCTGAATCTTCTTCTGGTCGACCAGCTTCTCGACGGCAGGAATGACCGGGGTGGCGGTCGGCAGGTACGACTTGGCCTTGTTGAACCATCCCTGGACGCGATCACCGAGGGGAACCTGCTCTTGCGCCGCAGCAAGCGCTGGGAGGAGAGGGAGGAGTTGGATGAAACGCATGATGCTAAAACACAATAATCACGACGCGTTAGGTAAACTGCGGATCAAGCGCGAAAATCTGGGGAAAAGCGGGGGAGATGGATGATGAATACATACCTGAGCTGGATCTTGAGATGACAAGCGCACTTTGGAGAAAGGGTTGAAATTGAAAAGGCCAAAGTACGGACAATAGGCAGCTGGGGAGGACAGGCTGGGTTGTGGTTAGAGCGAAGCGAAATAGCCACGACAGACAATATCCCGGACACCTGGCCTAACGCTAAGTGGCGTAGAGGCAAATCTACCCAACGAGTTTTGTTGCGGGGACGCTTCTATGCCTTCTATGCATGCAATGAGCCCAATGGAACATGACAATGAATTCTAAAACTATTTATCGCTTCACTTGATTAACTTTAAAAAAAAATAAATCAATTACCACCATCAGATGGAAATAGATCGCTCAAAGTATGTCACATCAAAATTGACATCCCTTGTTTACATTTCCACTGTATTGATTATGTCATCACGCTACGGTGGTGATGTATGAATCGCGTTGAAACAGGCTGTGGGCTCGAATCTTATCCGATCCCCATACAAGAAAGGAAACTTGACTCGTAATCACACTGTGGACTCGAAAGTATGCTCCAGCTGCATTCTTTCAAGGGTGAGGTTTGGCTGCATGAGCCTTTTCTAGGCCTTCAAGTCTGGCTGGCTTGAACCGACGAGGACCTTGGTCGACGCTGTGTTGGAATTGCAAATACTCACCAGTGAGGTTAGTATGGTGCATGTAGAAGATTATCATCGGGTAGGCATGTCAACTACCAAGTACTTAGGTACCTAGGTAGGTACTTACTTTCAGTGTATCACACCCAAGACAGAGCAGAGGCGGCCCCTTCCACATCTAGCAGACTTGGAAACTGGACACGCCCCATATTACTTCCTTCACTCACCTACTATATATGCTGATAGCATTATTCTTGCCTGCCATGCTTCCTCATGACCCGGTCTTGCGCATCGCTTGGTCCAATATAGCATATGCATGACCCATTTGCCTTATCAAACACATCCATTAGGCATACAGCTTGCTCGTTCATCATCAGTGATCTTGAGATCCACGTTCATGATTAGAAGAATGCGGTATTTTAATAGTCTCTTGCTCATCCTAATGGTGGCGGTCCCGATCACGGGTGTGCTTGGCTTTGATTTTCGACATGTACGAAGAAGCGCGGATGTTGAACCACAAGGTGAATATTACCAACATGGTTTCAACTGGGATTGGCGAGTTGTCTTGAGACTAAGAAGTCCCACAAAGCAGGCTGGGAGGACAGCTCTACCTCCATTTTCAACAACAGCACCCCCCAGTACGACTATATATCGCCTTCCAGAGATTTCCCAATCTGCACCGATCTTGACACGCCCCTTGTGCCGTTTTGCCTCCCGCATGATGGAGCCGATGTCATCGTCGATGCCACTTATTATGTCACGTGGAATGCCGACTTCTACCCTCTGAACGCCACTATCACCATCGAACTGAGATATACAGACTCCACCGTGGGCGACTCTGCATTCACCTCTGCCAGGGTTGATAACAGCTATGGATACGTTCCAATTCACATGAGCGGGGAATGGCTCCAGGGGAAGTCACAAAACGCATTGACTTTGTACATAATTGAACTGGAGCCGGCATCGGACAGACGGGCCAGTGCACAGCAGGGCCCGACGATTACACTTCACACGAAGCCTGTGGAGCGCTATAGACATCCTCCGCCATTGCCATTCAACAAGGTGGCTCTTTACATTGGTCTCCCTGTGAGCCTTGGCGTTGTGATATCCGTCGTGGCGGGTCTGTTTTTTGGGATGCGCGAGAGTAGAAGGATTGGGATTGGAAATATCATGGGATCGAGAAGAAAGGGCTACGGGATTCGAAAGTCGAAGTTTGAGCGCCTTGGTCAGGAATCCAGTGACTATAGACCCGAAAGTTTCGCTGTACTGAAGAAACAGTATGAGGATCAGGTCCATTGGCCTTTTCCTGAGACTGCTCCTCGTGACGATGATCTCGAATGCAGACCCAGTGATGTCGAGAGAGAAGCACCAATGCCGAATAGTTGGAGGCTGCGATGACGCACAACATTTGTTTTCCTATTAGGGCTTGGGTCCTGCGGTGAACGATACAAGGGGGCATCAAGGATAACAGCAGCACACTCCCTTTGGACGGCATGGTTGGTTTTCTGTTGGCGATCAATTGTAGCATCATCAGTCTCCGTTATGAAATTAGCCTATTCTATATTTATAGTTTACCAAATAGGTAGGCACTTCAGACTGGAACAAACCCTTTGCTAGCTTTTACAATATTGAACGATTACTCTTACTTCTCCCTTTTATTACCCTTCTCGCCACAAAAGAGAACAATTGGATAAAATACTTACTCAATTTTCCTCAATTAACTCCGACAAAGTTTATACACACTAGGATTATACGAGGTATAACCCAGTAACACCGACCAACTCGCATATGATAGTAATTTGGGAATAGTATAGCGGTACCTACTACTGTAAACCACATGCAAGAAATGACATCAATATGGAGAGTTCAACCAACGAGAGCCTGGAGAAACTCCATTACCCGTACCGCTAGACGCCACAGCACGGTACTAATTGGCGTAGGAGGGGCGGTATCGGAGAACCAGGATCCAGGATGATATGGATTGAAGTGCCTAATAGTAAGGGACGTGCTTTCAACACAAAACAGGAGTTGATTAGCAATCTGGGGCCTTTTTAGACTCTTGTCTGTTTCTATTATAATTATTAATTATTTGGTGACTTTCTATCCTCGAGTGTCTTGGTGAGAGTCATAGTTCCCCGCTACCGAGGCCGTCGCAATTTTAATATCATTCTTGAGATCCGATGTCGGTTTCACGGATCTTTTGGATAGTATAGCATACGGGGTGAAGATGATATACCATCTACGTTAGAAAGTCAGGAAGCAGCGGAAACACTGGAGGAAGGCAACAGATTTATGAATATCTCCGCCGCGCTGGAAACATAATTTTCTTAACACCAACGAGTGGCAAAAGACCATGGAATCCCAGATGAGATGTACCATTGTTGATCAACCTCTAGTAATGCGTATTACACACTAGAACCTAGGGCCAAGGGCCTGGGGAAGATCCTCAGGATGCGCAATTGGACATTCCGGATGCGCTGCGAACGCTGAGTGGTTCTCCACCTACGAGGACCAAAAATTTCTTCGTTGGCAGGACACTGGGCACTGGGCACTGTGGGCAGTCAGTCCCCCTCCGTCGAGTCATCCGTCTTTGCAGACCGCCCGCCTTTTTCAAACTCCAACCCACTTTTTTCTTTCCCGGCTTTATGACTCTTTCTTTGCTCTTTTCATATTTGTGAATTTAGCATATAAACAGTGGTTTTTTCGATCTCAAAAAAAGTTTGTGGTTCCGTCGATTAATAGTCTCCTCTCCCTGCTCGCTTGATGTCTAACCTCAGCGCAGATTCCCGGCATTCTTTCTTCTATCGCAACGACGACATTACCCCACCATAAACTTTCCCACAATGTGCCCCGGTGCAGAGAACGAGCCCAATGGGCAGGCCAACGGTGCCAATGGCCAGAACATTAATAATGGTAGGCGGAAGTTGGCTGATCCATCTGTTTACTTCTTCCACTGACTTCTTTGAAAAGCCGATCACCCCGGCTTCACTGCTGTACAGACTCGCAACAACCCTCACCCCACCCGTAACCCCTACGGCCACAGCGTCGGTGTCACCGACTTCCTGAGCAATGTCTCTCGATTCAAGATCATTGAATCCACCCTCCGTGAGGGTGAGCAGTTCGCCAATGCTTTCTTCGACACCGAGAAGAAGATTGAGATCGCCAAGGCTTTGGATGATTTCGGTGTGGACTACGTGAGTCATCTCGCGGGACAGAGTTGGAGATGTTTCGGGACATGTGTATTGACCAATTTGTTCGTTATAGATCGAACTTACCAGCCCTTGTGCCTCGGAGCAGTCGAGACTCGACTGCGAGGCTATCTGCAAGCTTGGCCTGAAGTCCAAGGTATGTCCGAATTTCATAGCACACCATGAGTCACCGATTCTAACCCACGCGTCTGCAGATCCTGACTCACATTCGCTGCCACATGGATGATGCCCGTGTGGCCGTTGAGACGGGAGTTGACGGAGTGTAAGTGCAATTGCTCTCTTTTGACATTGGTAGTCGCGGATGTTGACAGTCGTCCGTCTTTAGTGATGTCGTCATTGGAACCTCCTCGTACCTCCGTGAGCACTCTCACGGAAAGGACATGACCTACATCAAGAACACCGCCATCGAAGTCATCGAATACGTCAAGTCCAAGGGCATCGAGATCCGATTCTCGAGCGAAGACTCTTTCCGCTCTGACCTCGTCGATCTCCTGTCCATCTACTCCGCCGTCGACAAGGTTGGTGTCAACCGTGTTGGTATCGCCGATACCGTCGGCTGTGCCTCTCCCCGCCAGGTCTACGAGCTCGTCCGTGTGTTGAGAGGTGTCGTGGGTTGCGACATCGAGACTCACTTCCACAACGACACTGGCTGCGCCATTGCCAACGCATACTGTGCTCTGGAGGCTGGTGCCACCCACATCGATACCTCCGTCCTTGGTATCGGTGAGCGCAACGGTATCACCCCCCTGGGTGGTCTCATGGCCCGTATGATGGTTGCCGACCCCGAGTACGTCAAGAGCAAGTACAAGCTGGAGAAGATCAAGGACATTGAGGACCTTGTTGCCGAGGCTGTTGAGGTCAACATTCCCTTCAACAACTACATCACCGGTTTCTGTGCCTTCACTCACAAGGCCGGCATCCACGCCAAGGCCATCCTGAACAACCCCAGCACCTACGAGATCATCAACCCCGCTGACTTCGGCATGACCCGCTATGTCCACTTCGCCTCTCGTCTGACGGGCTGGAACGCCATCAAGTCGCGTGCTCAGCAGCTCAAGATCGAGATGACCGACGAGCATTACAAGGCGTGCACGACCAAGATCAAGGCTCTGGCCGACATCCGGCCCATCGCCGTCGATGATGCCGACAGCATCATCCGTGCCTACTACCGCAACCTTAAGTCGGGCGAGAACAAGCCCCTCCTGGACCTCACGGCTGATGAGCAGGCTCAATTCCATGCCAAGGAGAAGGAGTTGGCTTCCCAGGCCGGCGTCATCGGCTAAGCGCAATATCGGTTTCGTCTAGCAGCATTTCCGTCGTTCTATCTTTCGTGCCTTTCCCTTGCTTTTGTTCTTGATTCCACAGTGGAATCTGAGCACCAGTTGGCATAGAAAGCCTGGTTTTCTCAGAGCTCAGAGGCCATGCGTTTCCCACCTCTTCCAGTATGGAAGGCGTTGGTTTTACTCTCATGATTTGATGTTTATTTACGCGTCTTGGGGTTCGTTTTACGGGGTTTTGAAAAGTCGTTTTTCTTTTTTCTTTTTCCCTCACGAGAGTAAAAAAAAAAAAAAGAAACCCATAGAGGAAAGAAACCGGTGTTGGGAGAATGTATATAAGTAGTCTTGTTAATTTGTTGGTATGTAGTGCGCTGCATATGAAGACTTTACCACAAATACAGATATTTTCAACATAAACGGACATTAATTGGAAGGTTCATTCATTTGAACAATTGATTCTTCCCTATGCACGTAAGGTACTTGTAGAGGTTAGTCCTAAGGTAGACATGTCAGTGATGTGTGGATGTGGTTGGTGGAAGGCGAGCGTTGGACCTTACCGAATGCGATGCAATGACGCTGATTAGTTCCCTTGCATTGCATGTGGGAACCGAGGCTGCTTCCATCGGCAAACCTGGAGTTGGAGTGGCCTGCCCAAGTTCTCAGACGGTAAATGGTGAAGGAACTTCCCAACTTCCTCTTTCGTACGACCTGTCCCATCCAGTTTAGTCGCTAGACTTGTTACTGACTGACTAACGACCTGCTAGCCGTTTTCCCCGGCCCGCTCAGTTCTCTCCCACCCTCTTTTCCCACTTCCTCTCTATCAGTTACTATAGTACTGTTATCACCTGTCTCAGGGACTGGTTTTCGCCATTCATATCATTTTGGAGTCCTCGTTGGATAACCATGGCGTCCTCGATTCTTCCGGTCGCTCTGCAGAATAAGCTGCTGGGTTACGGAAGAGCTCAGAATCCCTATCTCGCCGCCGCCTTGAACTTGGACCTGTAAGTGGAGAGCGGCCCATCCCCGCCTTTGATAGCCGGTGGAAGATCAGTGATGGCGCGCATCGTTCTGGGGTCATGATTACTTTAATATATTTCTAACATATGGCGTTTGCGATAGAATCCGAAACATTGTATTCTTCCTCTTCGTTTTCCGCTACGTCCGCAAGACCTTCTATTCTTTGCGCGGCTACGGCCTGGTCGGCAGTCTTCGCAATGTCTATTTCGCCATCCGTCTCTTTCTCTACTCCATCTTTCTGCGCGCCCCCGGTGTCCGAGGCCAGGTCGATAAGCAAGTGTCTGAGGCCATTGACGGTCTGGAGAAGAAGCTCGTGACGACCGGCCCCGATGTCACCCGTTATCTTGCGCTCCCGAAGGAGGGATGGACCCCCGAACAGATCCGCGCCGAGTTGGAGAAGTTGTCCAATATGGAGCATACGCGCTGGGAAGATGGTCGAGTCAGTGGGGCTGTGTACCATGAAGGCAAGGACTTGCTGAAGGTCCAGACGGAGGCGTTTGACAGGTTCGGTGTCGCGAACCCGTTGCATCCGGATGTTTTCCCTGGTGTCCGGAAGATGGAGGCTGAAGTTGTCGCAATGGTAAATTAGTCTGGATCTAGCGATGTTATAAGAAGCTGAGTGGCTGACGGGGTGGGTTCTAGGTTCTTGCGCTGTTTAACGCTCCTTCGGATGGCGCTGGTGTCACTACCAGCGGCGGTACTGAGTCGATTCTGATGGCCTGTTTGGGAGCACGGAACAAGGCTTATGCCGAGCGTGGTGTCAAGGAGCCCGAAATGTGAGTTTCTCGGAGTCGATTGGCTGGTTCTGCTCCAGTTACTGATATGCACTATAGTATTATCCCGGATACTGCTCATGCTGCTTTCTATAAGGCCTGTAGCTACTTTGGAATGAAGCTGCACCGCGTTCCCTGTCCGGCCCCGGAGTACAAGGCTGACATCGCTGCTATACGCCGTTTGATCAACCCAAACACTGTTCTCCTTGTTGGATCTGCGCCGAACTTCCCTCACGGCATGGTCGATGATATCCCGGCTTTGTCTCGCCTGGCGACTGCGTACAAGATCCCCCTACATGTCGATTGCTGTCTCGGTTCCTTTGTCATTGCGCACCTCAAAAAGGCGGGCTTCCCTTCGCCATATGAGGAAGAGGGTGGGTTTGATTTCCGCCAGCCCGGTGTGACGAGCATCAGTGTGGATACACACAAGTATGGCTTCGCGCCGAAGGGCAACTCTGTTGTTCTCTATCGCAACGGGTCCTACCGTCGTCACCAGTATTTCATTTATCCCGACTGGTCCGGTGGTGTCTACGCCTCGCCGGCCGTGGCCGGATCTCGTTCCGGCGCTCTCATTGCGGGCTGCTGGGCTAGTATGGTGAGTCTTGGCGAACACGGTTACATCAACAGCTGCCTGGAGATTGTGGGTGCCGCGAAGAAACTCGAAGCCGCATTCAAGGAAAACTCGGTCCTCAAAGCGAACCTCGGTGTCATCGGAAAGCCCATGGTCAGCGTTGTTGCTTTCGACAGCCAGAACGGCGGCATCGACATCTACGACGTCGCAGACGCCTTGTCCTCCAAGGGCTGGCATCTCAGTGCCCTCCAGTCGCCTCCTGCGATCCATGTGGCCTTCACCACCCTCACGGCCAGAGCAGTCGACAAACTGATCTCGGACCTTGTCGAGGTCGTCGAGATCCAGTTGGCTAGGGCCGAGGAGCGGCAGCGCCAGGGTAAATCATATGTCATCAAGCGCGGTGACACGGCTACTCTGTACGGTGTCGCGGGCAGCATGCCCGACAAGAGCATCATCAGCCGCCTGGCAGAAGGTTTCCTCGACACCCTGTACAAGGCCTAAGCGTGCCTGCTCTATGGGTATATCAAAATCGTGCTGCGAAGCATTCAAGGAGTGTGAGGCTCCTGCTGTACAAAGTCCTCGCCTGAAGCCTTGTTCTTTAGTAGGCTTGCTACCAATTTACCCAGGTAGTTGGAAGATTGGTGGTGTTGGGGCGTCTTATTGGTTGCATACATACATACTCCTCCGTTTCTCAGGAAACGGGATAGCATATCCTTAACAACGATGCGATTCACACATGTTTAAATGCATTCAGTGTTACTTGGAGTTCTATTATGACATGAGCAACGCGTAACAAGTATAGTACAGTAGAAATGGTTCCAGGGTGTAGTAGAGGCGTGGACATGGTGTCCGTGAGTCGCGTCACCGGAAGATTTTTGGAAAAGCAATAATAAGACGCTTTATGAAATCAACGCACCAGTGATTCTTCTTGGAATTTCTTGTGCAGGCAGAGTGAGAAGACAGGGGGATTCAGCAGCAACATCGTTAGTCGCCGATATTCCAACCTCGATCCCAACCCCGATCCCAACCCGAGATGCCAGGTCAAGACAAGGCCAAACCCACACAGACAGGCCTTGTGCACGCAACAAAGCGCCCCCCCCCCCCGCCCCCAAGAAGAACCACCCAAAAAAATCCACTATACCAAATAGAAAAGAGAAAAAAGAAACAATCTATTGCCCTCTCTGCTCCAGGAACTCCGCAGTCGACCTCTTCTCAACATAATATCCCGGGTCCGGCTTGCGCTCCAGATGGATCTGCTTCCGCGTTAACCGCTCCTGCACCTCGCGGACCTCGACCAGTTCCTTCACGCGCATGATCTTGCCCGCGATGTCCTGCGACACGGGGTGGAAGACTGTGCCCATGCGCTTTTTGAGACCGAGTGATTTGAGGACGTCTGTTGTTCGCCGCGGGAGACCGATTGCGGAGCGGGTGAGGGTTATGCGGAAGAAGTTCATTTTGGTAGGATTGCTCCTTTTTTTTTTTTTTTGAAGAGGTTTGGTTGCGGTTGGGGTGTGTTGTTTCCCACCCCCGGGCTTTGCGGCGGAGATTGATTGATTTGAGGATTCGAGGTTTGACTTTGATGGGGATGACGGATTGATGGGTTTCGCGGGTGCGGTTGGAGGTGTGCTCTTTGTGTTGGATTGGTAGGACTTGTATCGGTTGTGGTTTTGTTGTTGGTGGGATCGATTGTTGTATGGTCGTGGAACAAGAGAAGAACGAACTCGACTCTGATATCGATGGTCTATTCGCAACGCAGCGGGAATTTTGGTTTCCCGATTCGGTCGGCAGGCTGGGCGGAGAGTCACGTGCAGGGGTTCTGCCGGCGGCCTCCTGCGGCGGTATCGACAGCTCCAAGTGTGTCAACTAGATCGATGCGACCTACCCGGTACCCCCCACCAGCTTATAGCTTGACGCTCTACTCTCTGTGGCCAATTATATCTGGTTGAAGGAAGACCCAGCGAGCTTGTTATCCAATATCGGTATCTTCAATCGAAATTGGGATGCGGGCTGCATAGAAGCCCTGCTTCAGGAGGGAGACTCACGAGGCCTGCGTTTCTAGAGGGGTCACCAACTCTACGACTCCGGATCGGGGTCGCTTTACAGCACTTATCGCTTGGTTTTTGACTTATTAGGGTCTCTTTCGAAACCTCCGTGGATATTATCTCTTTCAGACGAAATTTCAATTCGACCCCGCGGTCAATCGCGCAGTTCGGATATACCACCTCCCTACCTCCGACCGATACCCCCATCTATATACACGTTTGCACAACCATGGCGCCAGTCGGTAACGCGGATGGATCGGTGGCTATGCCCCGGCTGGATGACATCCTGCGCCACCCCGAAGACCTCGACAAAATCACCACCCTAAAGTCGGAATACCTGCGCAAGAAAGCCGCCGTTGACTCGCACCTACGCGAGGGCCTCCGGGACCAGCTGGAAACGGTCCAGCGCAGCATCACCGCTCTCACCGAAGGTCAGCGGCAGGTGTCGAAGACGAAGGATGAGCTGCAGGGGATTGACAAGCTGTGTGCGGAGTCGCAGTCCAGCGTGGATGAGTTCTCGCAGATCGACAAACTGGCGAAAGTACAGCGGAATTTCGAAGCCACGCTGGCGATGAAGAAGGGGTTGGAAAATTTTAGCACCAATTTGGCCGAGGTTGAGAATCTGTTGCAGGAGGATGACGATGATCTTGAGAATCAGCCGAATTTGTTAAGGGCTCATATGCAGATCTCGCGGCTGAGGGACTTCCGTGATGAGGCGATGGATCAGATTCGCAAAGCGACGGATACTGGTGATGAAGTCACCCTTAGGGAGTATTTCCAGGGCCTGGATTCTGTAATTGATTGGTTTGATGATCATCTGGGCACGGCCTGCATGAATATCATCCCGCTTGTGCAGTCGGATAACCCGAGCATGGTCGTTCGTCTTGCGGTTGTTGTCATGACCGAGGAGAAGAAGGATGACACTGTACGTGCGCTGCAAGAAGCGCAAAAGGACCACCAAGACTTGGCTGGTCGCTTCAAATCCATGAACGTGGGACCGAAGACTATTAGAGGCTACAAGGAGAAGTTCCTCCAAGCTGTCGAGTTCTACGCGCAGAGCCAGTTCGAACACACCAAGGAGCAGTTCCTGGGTGATCCAGATAGTCTCGATAAGAGCTTCCGTTGGTATTTCAACGATCTCTTTACCGTCCAGCAGGGCATGCAGTCTTTGATGCCAAAGAAGTGGAATATATACAAAACATACACCGATATCTATCACCGCATGATGCATGATTTTATGATCGGGCTGATCGATGATCCGGAGCTGCCTCCCGATAACCTGCTCGTCATCGTACACTGGTGCGAGAAATACTACAAGAAGATGAACAAGCTCGGGTGGAAGGAGGCTGATTTGCAACCCAATATCCTTGATAACCGCGAAGGCGAAATCATCCGACAGTGGCAGGACATCATCATCAATGCGGTTGAGGAATGGATGGATCGGATCATGGACACCGACAAAAGAGGCTTCGTGGACCGCGTTCCCGACTCGCTGGACACCAACACAGAGGGCTACTTCCGGACAAGGACCCTCCCAGACATGTGGCGTATGCTTCACGAACAGCTCAGCGCATCGGGCGCCTCGTCCCGATCAGACGTCGTGGAAGGGATCGTCGACGCAATGCTACACGTGCTCAAGGGTCGCCAGACAACCTGGCAGAACCTCATCGACGAAGAGTGCGCCAAATACAAAGCCCCCGGCGGCGACCAGCTGGACGGTCTCCAGCTCCTGCAGGACTGGCTCATCGCCGTGGCCAACGACCAGATCGCCTGCATCGACGACAACATCGACACCGGCCAACTGGGCTACCTGTCGCGATTCCGCCTCGAAATGGCAGCCCAAGTCGACCCAAAGTACATGGTATCCCGCGCCCTCCCAGAGCTGGAGGCCCTCCGCGACGGCTACGTCGACCTGAGCACGTACTGCCTCTCACAATTCGTGCAACTCGTCTTCGCCGTCGACTTCCGCTCCACGATCCCCGAATTCTTCACCCAGAAGTGGTACGGCGACTTCGCCATCAAACGCATCACCTCCACCTTCGAAGACTACATGAACGACTACTCGCCCGTCCTGCACTCCTCCCTGACCGACATTCTCGTGGAAGAACTCTCCGACGAGCTCCTCATCAACTACCTCTCCTCCGTGCGCAACCGCGGCGTCAAATTCCGCCGCCACGCAGACCCCTACACCGACAAATTCAAGGACGACGTCCTCACCGTCTTCGCCTTCTTCCAGCGCTACCCGGACTCCTTCGCCTCTACCATCAAGCAGAAGTGGCGCCTCGTCGACTGGCTCGTCCGTCTCCTCGAGGCCGAAAAGGGCGCCCCGCTCGTCCTCGTCTACGAGAGCTTCAAGACCGAGTACTGGGATCTGCAGCTGTCGTGGGTTGAGGCTGTCCTTCGGACGAGGGATGACTTTGAGCGCAGCATGGTGAGCGCCATTAAGGCCAAGGCTGCGGAGCTGTCTGTTGAACGGGGGTTGGAGACTTTGCTGAGTCGGGTGAGATGAGCGTCCTTGTGGATAATGTCAGCTTGAAGGCAAACCAACCAGATTGCTTTTACTTCCTTTCTTTCTTTTTGTTTTCTTCTTTGCTTTCATTAACTTATCTACTATTGTCATTTTGCTGTTTTGAGCGTGGCGTTTGGAAGGCTACTCGTCTACATTCACATACAAAATTCATCGTCCAAAAACACCATCTAAGTAGAGTAATCGAAGTAGAATGCTGTCTGTAATCATCCCACTGGATTCCAACCCATTGAGCACCCGTAATCGAATCCTTATTCAAACGGACGAAGCAAATCCAAGCGAACAATCCACCACAGCATCACCACCATAACTACTAACCCATCTACGCTGGTATCTACCACCTACTTACTACCTATCCACGCACCCACCTGCCTATCTACGTTTCATCTACTATAAACCACTACTATCCAGATACATACAATACGTGTCTATTTCCATGGAAAATCAAATTCCATCCTAGCAAAATAGAGAAAAATCTCAAATAATTCGCTCCCATTTTCACATTTCATTTCGTAATCATACAAAGTTAAGCACCCATAGATAGAGTAGTGCCCTGCCCACAACAGCACAACTAAGCACAAGCCTCACTTAAGCTAATTGTTTGTTTCCTTTAAACCCGGCAAATTTGAACCCGGCAAAAATCGCAAGATAAGAAAGAAAAAAAAAAATAAATAAATAAACCAGTAAATGAAAAGGGGGAAAGGAGAAAATAGAATAATGTTGAAATAAAGGGATTCTCGTCTGTAAGATGCGGTTCGGTTCGCACTTTGGGATGTTCGACTGTGGTGACAGAGGGAGTCTTGGTCCAGGTGCACATGGACTTGACTTGAGGTCGGTCTGACTGGTTGCAAGGTTCCCCTGTCTTTGAAAAAAAGAAAAGAAAAAGAGAAAAGAAAAAAGAGCAAGGGCAGCTGGACATAACCGGATCCTCGGTCTGGATCAGATCATCGCTCCTTACAAGAACTAGGTAGGGACCCGTAGAGTGAAGATGGAAGAAAAAGCTGCGCTAAAGAGACTCGACAATCGCTATCTGGAATAAAATAGAAAAGGGGGGCACAAATCCCTGCCATGGAAGCAGAAACACGGGTTTTGGAAAGGCCCAAGAGCACGATGAAGATAGAATATGTACAAGCATCTCCAGTGCCCCCATGTTTAGAAACACGATGATGTCCCCAGCCTCTGCACCTTGACCGACAACCAGTAAAGGGAAACGAAAAAGGGGAGACAGAACAGAAAAGTCCTGGACGGGTAGATGAACGGAACATCCAAGATAATAGCTGCCCATTTGGTGTGGTCAGAGGCATTTGTGAGATCAACAGGCACTGCACGCGAGAGGGGTGGAACAAGAACAGAACTGTTGCAGCTAGCAACCAACCCGACGGGTTTGGTCGGAAAGATACCCCGGTGTAAAGCCGCGTCTTTGAACAGTCCCCGTGCTGCTTCATTCTTCTTCACTCTCTTCGGAGTCGTCGTCTGAGTCATCGCTGCTTTCGTTGGCTTCAACCGAAGGGACTGGGTCGGGAGAACGACCACCGCCGCCCTGGAAGCGAGACAGATTGCTCTCAAGCATGTTGATCTGAGCTTCCTGTTCATACTTGCTCATAGGCTTATTCTTCTTGGGTTTGGGAGGAGCCGGTTGTTGCGCAATGGGCGTTTGGACCTCCTCGTCTTCCATGACATGCGGAGCATTTTTCTTGACGAATCTCAACAGCATCATCAGAACATCATTGGGGAGCTCATCAATATCCAACTCAATCTCGGTCTCTTGAGTACCCTATTTTGCAACAATTAGAAAAAAAAACATTACCCGATCGACGAAGAGAAACAAAACATACCTTGAGAGCTGGAACGTTGCTTTGGATGATCCTGAGAGCTTCCTGCATCTTCTTATCCGGAAGGCTACTAATGCCATTGGAGATGATCTGCTTTTCGCCGTACGTGATCCAACGCTCCTTCTCAGGCTTGGACGACTTGGACGAGATTTTCTTGTCTTTCTTGCCAACGGTGACGGACGAGGACTTCTTGCTTTCCTTCTTTCCAGACTTGGTCGTTTTCCCAGCCTTCTTAGACCGAGGAGGCGTCTTCTTTTTCTTTTGAGTGATAGCATCCACTTGACGTGACATCTCAGCGATCTGCTTCTGAAGCATGGTGAGTTTCTCGTCATCGTAGACATCACTTTCCTCGGCTTCGTCCTCGCTCTCATCTTCAGAGGAGGAAGCACTATGGGGCTCTGGGTGTGGTTCATGCGCCTCCAGGTAGCGCCCTTTCTGGGACCACTTGGCGTTGAAAACTTCTTCGAACTTCTGCCCGGCCAGATAGGTGGGATCGCCGGGAATGTTGAACTTGTAACAGTTCTTGAAGATCTGACGTACGTCCGTCTCGAACTCCTTGGCGTTCTCGTATTGGCCGGTCTTGAGCTTTGATTGAACGGTGGAGAGATCCATGGGCTTTTTGATGATGCTGTGGTAGGTAGGGATGTTCAAAGCGACCGGATCGACGGGCGCGTAGAACGGTGACGCGTACAGATAATGCTTCGGCTTGTAGAGATCATCCAGAACCTCCTGGCAAAATTTCAATTCCCACTGGTACTTCTTCTTCTTCGGCTTCGTGGAGTAGGGGAGATCACGCTTCGGGGGATGGATGGAACGCTTAGGGCGGCCATCGACCGTGGTCGAATCGCGACGGATGAGAGGTAGGCCCTCCGGGCCCAAGGCGAAAGTTGTTGTCTGGGGAGAACTCTCGGAGACCCGGCTCGCGGGCTGACTGCCGGTACTGGTCCGGGGCTCCCGGCGGGCTGCTGACGTCTTGGTGGACAACTTCTTGGGCTTCTTCTCCTCCACTTCAGTGGCCTTGGGTAGATTGACCATCTGCTTTTCGAAAGTGCCTTTGAGTCTTTCGCCCTCCTTGGAAACAAGGTGGTCGGCGCTATTGAACGTCACTGCATTCTGAACCATGAGGTTGAAGTCATCCACAACACCCTGGACCGTCTTGTACTCATTGGCCTTCAGCTTCCGCTCGATAGTACCTAGATCCATGGGTTGTTTGATGATAGTCGGGTAGTGGGGGATGTTCAATTTGATGGGATCGACAGGGTCTCGGTAAAACCGCGCGTCATTCATGCGCTTCAAACTCTGGATGCCCTTCAGAAGAAACTTGTGCTGGACCTTGGTCATTCCATCCCGGCCATTCACCGTGGAACTCGCGGGTCCTTCTGCGGTGGGGGTGGGAAGGGTCGGGACCTTGAACTCCGTGGGTGCCGTGTCCTCCCCTCCGATCTTTGTGCGCTTCGCGGCAGGTTCATCACTCGGTTCGGGTTCACGTTCTCTGGACACTTTCGTAGGGGAAGCCGGAACTTCGGGCGCATCCCGCATCTCCTGGTCAGTACTCTGCTGAGGCGCGGCGACCGCAGCATCGTTACTGGGAGTGCCCGGAGTGCCCTCGTGCGAAATACCTCCGGGCTGTGCAACGGTAGGAGGGTGGTGAGGTAGTGCGGTCTTAACCGTCGAAGCGTCCTCTACCTGCGTGGTATTGCCCTCAGTTGGTGTTGGCTTGGAATCGTCCTGCGACGGGTGCTGGTCTGTAGATGCAGCCTCTGAAGCAGCATTTGCATTTTCTTGGGTATCCAATCCACCTGCAGCAGGTTTATCGTCAAATTTTCCCTTTGCATCTTCCGTCGCAGGAGTATCCGAGTTGGAGGGCTCGACTTCTTTGGTCGGCGCGGCGGGTTGGGTCGGGGTATCAGCCGCAGTGGCAGCAGGCGACTTGGGAGGGGACGTGGTCATGTTTGCGCCATTTGTGAAAGAAGCTTTCTCAGGAAGCTGGCCATTCACCGGGCTAGAGGCCTCGGTGGGTTTCTGGTCTCCATTGGTCCCTGCGTCTGGCTTCGCATCGGTTATAGAATCCTGCCCACTGTGATATGGTCAGCCATTCACCGCCCAACCTGATCCATGCAGAGTGATGATAGCACTTACCCCTTGCCGGTCGCATCATCAGATGCACCGTTTGGCGACGGAGGAAGCTGAGGCTTCTCCTCCTTAAGGACAGAAGGTGCCTCGGGAGGCGGGGTCGCCATTTGAGGTCGCTGGCTTTATAAGAAACCTCCCTGGGAACCAGAATACAAAGAGTTTAACGCGTAGGGAAAAGATAAGAGGCTGATCTCTGTGATTGTAGTTTAGGGAGCAGTGACGGTAACAACGACCACGGGAAAAGAGTACTCTCTGTGGTATCACAGAACTAATTTGAATCGATTCGAAGACTGACGGCAGCCAAGACACCTGATTAGATGACAGGAGACAAGAGAAGAGATGATTGTCTTCGCGGGTTGTAGAAAAAATCGCGATGGCACGGGAGTTGTAGCGATAGGAGAGAGAGCAAGAGAGAGGGAGAGCGAGATGTGAGAGAGTAGAGGTACAAACAAAAGGTTAGCGCGGTCGGAAGTGGAGAATGCGACAAGCACGACTTTATAGTGCCAAGAGGCGGAAGGAAGATGATGCAGGGTCACGTGGGCGGCAAGGTGGGTTGACTAAGCGGGGGAAAATGGACGAAAAGAAAAGAGGAAATTCAGAGATGGAAAGATGGCCGAATTAACCAGGGCGGTCAGGTGACTGCCTGGTCCGATCGGCACGTGTTAGCGTAGATGCCTGAGGCAATAGTGGCTATCTATCCTCCCGATGAGGATATTGCGTCAAGTCGGTCAGAAAATCAAAATAATAATAAAAAAAAGCAAAGTAGACAAAATCCGCAGCAGAGGCTAAGGAGATAAAGTCAAGAGAAAATCAAGAATCGACCGAAAAGAAAAATAAATTAAGCAGCTGCAGTAGGGTGGCTGGGATGGGCTGGGCCGGGCTGGACAGGAGGGGGAAGAGGATGGTTATTTGAGGGCGCGACGCGAATGACGCGTTGGATCTCAGGTATCCAAATAATAACAATGATGGTCACTTGGAAGGGGGGCGACAAGTCAAGGCGGTCCAGGGGTATGAGTAACCTGGGACACCAAGGCGGTCAGGGAAGAATTTGGATAAGCAGGCAGCTCAGCTCCAGAAACAGAGTCTGAGAAAATCGGACGGGGTGCTAGAATCCTTAAGTACGAACGGCCGTGTCGCGCTCGTCCGTCCTCTGCCGCTAACTCCATCGGCTGCGCTAATCCCAATCACTCTAGTTCAAGCCATTCCGCAGTGGCTGATTGGTTAAGGTATGACGCGTTCTACAAGTACGGGGTTCTGATTCGTGATTACTGGTAGTTGAGTGGGTCCTCCGTACCATGCTTTCTGTGTCGGAACTTGAAAAAAAAAAAAAAGAAAAAGAAAAAGAGAACGAAAACGAAATGAAAGGAAATGGAAATAGAGCTGTACCTTATATGAGCATCAGAGTCGGAAACAACAAAATGCAGCTGATAGACACAACTATAGAAAATAAAAAAATAAAAAATAAAATCAAACTAAAAAAAAAAAAAAAAAAAAGGATTGGGGGGAAATTCAACCACACTAATCATAAACTACTGGCACCTTAGTTTTTCACATTGTTTCAAACCAGCTGTGCTGATCAATACAACACCAGATCAATCGTGATTATTGTGATACTCTGATCAATGCGAAGTCAAATGTGACATACCCAAATGTTGTTGGTCCATTAGGCACGCCAAAAGAAAAAAAAAAAAGGCTGCATCATAAATTTCCTTGGGAAGCTTGGGAGCTTTCCAGAATGTGGTGGTCTGCTGACCAGTGGAAACCCCAGGGTTCAGGGCTAACCCTCTTCTTGAATCAGATCCGGGTTAGTCAACCAGGGAAACGCTGATGCGATCACTCCACCTTATACTTGTCCTTGATGGCGAGCCATCTCTATCTAAACTGATAGAACAACACTGTATGATTTAGTCCATTCTGTAGTCTTGCCGAGGTAGATGGCTATTTTCGCGCCGGGAAGGTCTTGACGGTTCAACCTTCTATCGTCCACACCCAGTGTCCCTAGGACGCTCTGTTTGCAGGACGCGAGAAGAGCAAGTGCTCAGCTGGGATGTCGAGTTAATTGATATCGCATCTTATCCACGGCGTCAACCTGGTCTGTTTGTGGGTATGAACTTGGCGCTCCTTGCAAATCGCGCAGGACAGATCAGAATGAGTCACAGAGTGGTTGACACGGGCTACACAGCCTCATCCGTTGTAACCGCGGGTGACGAGCAGGCTATCCGCATTCAAACCGATGCCTGGCGAACCCACATATACACACAGGCAAGGTCTGCTTTTCGCAACCCAAGGGAACCGGACTGTTTGCTAGTGGTACAGAAACTCGTTTCACTGGGAGTGCCCGGAAGGCACCCGTCAATCCGGGTTAACAGACACGGTCAAGAAGATATATATATATATATATATCCTTATATGAGAAAGAGGGAGCAGTCAACCCAGGAGATTTCGGAGCACACTGGAGTCAGCATGGAATGATTGAGTCGCTGTGATGGATTGTATGCTTGAATTTAGGAACCACAATGTGGATGCCTGCAAATGCCCCGAGATGATTCCTGTTCCATATTCCTGGAAAGACAGATGTCGAAACCCAGTCGAATGGTATTCCAAATGAACCAAGAGTAGAGACTGGAGGATTCAAGTCGAAGATTAGTAGGGAAGAAAGAAAGAGGAGCGATTAGATAAGACGCCGACCGAGAGCAAGTTGGGCGGAGACTTAACCCAAACGGGTTAAGCCTACTACCGGCTCTAGAGTCTACAGAACTTTTTTTTTCCATCCCAGCAACACCGCCCAAGAAGACGGCGACGGTTTGCAACTTCGACAGGCCCCTCTCTACCCCGGTGCTGTTCCTTCAGGAACTCCATTTTCTTCAATTGTTTTGTTTATATTATCTCGTGCGCATCACTTGGTCCCTTTCTCTTTCTCCCTTTTTCCCTTCTTTCCTGTCCGCAGTCTCTGTCAAAAATGGGCAAAAAAGCGTCTCGCCCGCCGGCGTCGAAAACTTCCGCCGCTGCGTCGCCCGCGATCTCCGGCCTTACTAAGACCAGTAGCAAGTCGTCGATCCTGAAGGCTTCCTTTGCGCCGTCCGACTATCAATTGGCGCTTTTCGCGTCCGTGATCCAAGGCCTCGATGCCCAGCATCTCCGGATACATGATACGAATACGGGCCGGCTGCAGTGCGAGCATGTCTTAGGGCCGAAGGAGACGGTTACGTCGTTGGATTGGGGCTATTACCCCGGGAAGTCACGCGATCGCGATCAGCAGTCGAAGAAGAAGAGAAAGCGTCACTCGGATGTCAATGGCGTGAGTGATGGTGAGCAGGGAGATGTCGTCGTTGCTTTCGGAACGAGCTCGTCCGATATCCGCATGTACTCGCCCTCGGAGGACAAGATTGTCGGGACTCTGTCGGGTGCACACGACAGGGGTGTCAAGGATTTCAAGTTCACTGCCAACCGCCCTGCACAGGAGGGTTGGAGCATTGGTGGAGATAACAAGCTGGTGCAGTGGGACCTCCGCAGTGGGCAAAGCACGAAGTGAGTCCTCACTTTATCCGGAACTGTCTCCTTTGATATCCATCTAACAATTTGTTTTTAGGGTTGTCAACCTTCCCGAGTCCGCTTCTGGCTTCTCCACGCTTGCGCGCCCGTTCCCGTCGAACCCTCCCGTCATCTGCGCATCGCAGACTCCTTATATCATTGATGTTGAGAATGGCGACATCCAATTTGACGCCATGCGGAACCCCATCCACACTATCCTCGCTTCCTCGGGTGAAACCGCTATTTCGGGGCTGTTCCTCACTTCTGACAACGACCGTTATATCAATGTCTTCGACCCTCAGAGCCGGAAGCTTGCGATGAACCTGGTGGCTGAAAACGAAGTATCTTCCTTGGCACTCTACACTCCCGCTAGCAAGGCGGGTGATTCCGCATCCTCGGAGAAGCAAGTCCTCGCCGCCGTGACCGACGATGGTACGATTGAACTCTTCACGAGGCCATTTGTGCTGCCCAAAGACACCCCGAACTCCAAGGGTGCCGCGAGCCTCAAAGCGAAGAGAAAGCAGATGACCCGCCGAGCGGAGTCGTCTCTCAAGATCATTCGCTCCGAAAGCTCGAGCGCTTCTGTGCCCGTAGTGACGGTCTCGTTCCAAGGACCCGATCTGCTTGTCGCCTGGGCGGAAGGTGGCGCCATTCCTGTTTTCGAGCGCATCAAGTGGCTCAACGAAGATACCGATGAGCTGGCATTCACAGGTCTCAAGAACGTTCCCAGAAGCAAGACGACCTCCGTACTAGGATCAACTGCCCTGAACGCCTCCAAGAACGCCAGTGAAAGCCATGTGGACGAATCGAGAGCCGATGTAACGGAAGGCACCATGGCGGACGACGATATTGAGATGGACGACCAAAAGCAAGATACCATGTCTGTTGACGACAGCGAGGAAGGCGATTCGGACGAGGAACAAACCAGCAAACCCAAGGCCAAGAACGGTCCACAGAAGGACGAAAGCGACGTCGAGATGGATAACGCCTCGGGGTCGGAAGAAGAGGAAGAAGGCGACGACGTAGGGGAACCGACCTTCGGCGACCTAATGCGTGCCAACGCCGCGAAGGAAGTCGACGTGGAAGCCGAACTGGAAGACGACGCTCAAATGGGCGCTCTCGTGCCCGGCAAACAGAACTCGGCCGTTAAGCCCATCCCCACCGGTGTCTCGCTGGCGACTGTCCTCGCGCAGTCTCTCAAGACCAACGACAACACCATGCTGGAGTCGTGCTTCCACACGGGCGATACGTCCATCATCCGCGCCACCATCCAGCGTCTCGAGTCGTCCCTCGCCGCCACTCTTCTCCAGAAACTGGCCGAGCGTCTGTCCTCCCGACCCAGCCGATACGGACACCTCCTCGTCTGGGTGCAATGGACGTGCGTTGCCCACGGCGGCGCTCTCGCCGGCAACCCGGAACTTCTCAAGCGCATGGCCACCCTGTTCAAGGTAATGGAGCAGCGCTCTTCGAGCCTCTCCTCGCTGCTGCTTCTCAAGGGCAAGCTGGACATGCTGGATGCGCAGCTCGGCCTGAGACAGTCGATCCGCAGCGGTGCCGAGGGCCTGGAGAGCGAGGACGAGGACAACGTCATCTACGTTGAGGGACAGGACGAGGACGAGGACGAGGACAGCGACGCCGACCTGGCGAAGCACGCGACCACCCCGCGGACCAAACTCATCCGCGACCAGACCTTCGACGAAGACGAGGAGTCCATGCTGAACGCCGTGCAGTCCGGCATGGAAGAGTCCGACAACGACGAGGACGAGGACAGCGACGACGACGAGGAAGAGAACCAGGACATCTTCGACGTCGAGGCTGAGGAGTCGGCCGGCTCCTCTGACGCGGAGGAGTCGCTCGAAGAGGACGAGGGCGAGGACGACGAAGACACCGACAGCGTAGGCTCTGTCGCGGACTTCATCGCTGACACGGAGGACGACGAGGAGGAGGAAGCCGTGACGAGCCGGCCGCCGCCTAAGAAGGCTAAGCTGGGCGGCAGTGGAGGAGGAAAGGGGAAGAACAAGGCAAAGAAATAGATTAGATTATACCCTGTTCTTCTACACTTGCACCTGGCGGAGTTTTTCCTTTCTTTTCTCTTCTCTTTTCCCTCTTTTCCTTCCACTGTCTCCTTCCTGTTCATCCACCACCAACCAACCAAAAGTAAAGAAACCCTCCGTTCTTGTTCTTTAATAGGGTCTTGAACCCTGCTATTATATTCATGTGTTATCTGTTTATCTGTTTATATTCTTGCATCTACTTAGGATCCTACAAATGTAGTGTATTTGGAATGACCCCTACTCGTTTACAAATAACCTTCCCTATACAAACAGTCGCCAAAAACAAGAAAAAATCCCTTAATGACTGACCACCAACATAATCCATCAAACTAGAGTACACCACCTACTTGAAATACTCTGTCAACTCCCATTCCCCCCGGTCCTCGTCAACCACCTCTCACCCCACGATCAAACACCCCCATCCCCACAAGCCCCCCCATGCAAAACCCGATGCCCCGGCACATCATGCACAGGAACCTCCACAGCAACAGTAACCTCATCACCCGTATACTCCGTGAAATGGCCCTCAGCACTAACGTCACGCGTATCCAGCACCAGGATAGTCCCCCTCTCGCCACCACGAATCCATGCCTCGTCTTCTGAATGAGGGAGAGTGATGTGTGCGAGGCCGGAGAGAAAAATCACCCATCTAATTCACGTTCAGCTATTGTTAACTTTTCCCTTTTCCCTATCCCCTCTTTTTTTATTGTTTCTTTTCGGGAGCAGGAAGACGGAGGGGAATAAAAAAGGAGACGGGAGAAACATACTGCAACCCGGGCGCATTATGCAACCCCCCATCAAACCGCGGCGGAATCATCGTGTAGCTCGCGTTTCCCGACAGGGCCCCTAAAGAAAGCGACGCCGTGCCTGATATACCTGGCTCAGAGGCCCTTTCGAACCCCGGAACGAGGGCCCAGCATTCGAGGGTTGAGTGGTTGTTTTGGGCGTTGAGGACGGTTAGGGTTAGGGTTTGGGGAGTGGTTGGTTCTGTTGGTGGTGGTTTTGTTGCTGCTGCGGTTATGGTGCCGAGGAGGGCTGTGAGGATGGTTGAGGTGGTGAACATGTTTGTGGTTTGTATATATGGAGGGGGGGATTGAAGGTGGATAGTGTGGTGGGTAGATATTTGATCTGAGGGAGAGCGATACTACTGTATATATTGGAAAACTAGTGAGAGGGCGGGGAAAACACGAGGATAGGTTGAGGATTAATGAGTGAGTCTACAGGTCACGCACTCGATAATATCTGCAACATGACCCACTAGAAGCAGGGTCTCTGTATAATATATGAGAACTACTTGATTGTGAATTGACATGGATGCAGGATACAATTTGCGGGTGCAGATCCACCCCTTGTGTAACCATTCCGATGCCTCATTTATCCCTGGCGATTACACTTCATACAGGTGTGCGAGAGAGTCGTGACCATGTGGAAAGTGACAGGTTAATGATATCTGTTGCAGTAAGTACATAATCCACCAGTACCAATTTGGCTCTACAGGAATGCGAACTGGACATGACAGAATCAACAGAATCAACGAATGATCTCCTTTCCCGGCTTCTCAAATCCCTCGAGTGCCTCGAGAATCTCACTCCCTCCGTACGGACCAGTTCCTTCTATGGTAGCCCTTGAGCTGGTCCACACCTCGTGGAACTTCAGAGTTTGGTCGCTGGATGCCACAATGATGCAACCTTCCTCGGTGGTTCGTGAGCACCATAGACCACCCTCTTTGGCTCGGGGTCGTATAGCTGCCCCGCTGGGTACATGGCCACCAGGGTCGCTTTGCTCCCGCCCAGTTAGCCTCTCGAGTATGGTCGAGCTGTCAGGGGGAGAAGAGCTATCCTGGCTTCGCAGCCTTCGCAGCATATAGGCAGGGGGTCTCCCTGGGTAGCTAACGGCACTGAGGGCACGTCCGCAATCACCATACTCGTTATTCATCAAACCATCCCATGGGCTTCCATGTGGGCCCCAGGGTATTGCAGCAATCTGTTCGCAACTCGGCCAGGCGAAGACAGCGATTCGGAAAGGATGCTCCGGCTGTGCGAATCCAAAAGTGGCAACAATCTGCCGGCGGGTCTTACTCCATATTAGGCTCGTTACCTGGGCGAAGACGTTAATAGTAGCCAGACAAGCCCCAGATGGTGTGTGATAAAAATGAATGGCTCGATCGTTTGATCCACCCCCAGTAGCAAGAAGGGACGGTCTCCATGGGGCAAAGGCGATCGCTTTGACGGCTGCAGAATGAGAGAGTCGATGCTTCTGGCAGTTCATCGGAATGTAGGTCGTACGGCCCTCTCCGGCTATGAGACTTCCCGTAAAGTTGAGAAGAGCCGTTGCTAGAGGCGCACTGCTGGTTCGAGCCAATGGAAGAAGATTATTTGTACGGTCACGACCACTGTGCACCCGAGAGTTGCCAAGCCCTAGAGCCTCAGTAAGCGCATCTTGGTCGTTCGTGTGCTCTGAAAGAGTTCGCCGTGGCATAATCTTCTCGAGCTCAAACAGCAGACACGTGTTGTCGTTGCCCCCAGTTGCAAGATAGGAGCCATCCGGCGACCACACTATGCCGCAAATCTGCTGTGAGTGGGCAGATATTTTGACAAGCAAGGTCATCGAACCATGCCAATTATACTGAGCCCGGACATCGTCATCTGACCATTCCACAGAGTAATACCAGACAAATCCATTGTCGTCACCAACAGCGAGATCCTCTGTGTCTACCTCAATCTGCGGGAACCGTTCTGAAGGCCTTCGTGATTTCGTTTGTTTAAACGCAACACATGTGATGGTATCCGGATGATCTATCCGAAACCGCACGGATGGTTCAAAGACACTCCAGAGACACAGCATGCCAGAGCGCTTACCAATGGCTAAAATACTTTTACTGCCATTTTCAGAGGAGAAGGAGAGCGATGTCACATAATTGGAGGTGTGTTGGTCCTTCAGGGGTGGGCGCTGCACTCCAAAGGCCTCCGACCAAAGATAAACATGGTTACCAAGACCAACGGCGAGGACACCAGAAGTAGCCGAATACGCTAGAGTTGATGAATAGAAATCATCTCGAAGATTGGGAGCGTCCAAAATGCGGAAGGGACGGGTTGGGACTGTTCTGTCATCCCCTGCTCTCAGTCCATTCATCGTCCCTGTGGTTCCATTGTCAGTAACCTCAAACTCCGGTACTCGAAATAATACACATGGGTCATTCATAGTATGTCTAACCATTGGCAAATCCAACTCTGATACATTCTTTAACCACACATGAAAGCCCTGAGAATCCAGTGACCTGCGAATTTCGGTTCCATGCCAGATACAATATTATCAAAGCAGCATCATGACCCGCGTGGAGACCATTGACAGGCAATGAAGGGCTAGCCCATTTTGAACTTACATTGACCCCTTTCAGCCCTCTTCCATGCGTTCTCTTTCCAAACTAACGGCGAGAGTCGTTCGTAATTGGGAGAAGATGGACTCGGCGTGAGCTCAAGCAGTGGCCAAAGTCCAGAATTTGTTAGCACCCTTGCAGCGGGGTCGAGATCCAAGGCAAGCGCAACTCTTGACTGATATTTCTGTACTCTCTCTATTGATGCAGCCGGCGGCAGAAACCTGGCCGCGTGCATCGGAGCGGTCGTTCCACTCGCATGCAGATTTGTCCCACCAAACACCGCACCAGGCTGCTGCGCTATGGCAGCTGATGAGCCTCCGACGTTCCATACGGCACCAGCACTGATCTGTCTGCGTAATCCGTCTATTCCACAACCTCCCCCGAAAGCGAGATCATCGACAAGATGTGGGCCGTAATGAGGACGAATAACAGGTACCCTTGGACTGCTTAGAGGTCTTCGCGGCCGTGTGGGCATGAAAGGGTCCTCTCTGAGTGGGCGATGCCGCAGGATCCTTTCCTCGCTGCTCAATTCTAGGGGATTTCTCCCGACCTGGAACTGTGTTGGCAAAGAACCTACAAGCCCACGTATTGATATAAACCTATCAGACATCATATGGACTCCCCTCCGTTTGAACGCACGCCTCCTGTCTCGGTCAGTTGCATTCTGGGAAGAGGTGTGTGTCGTGGACGGAGATTGACATGTGTCACTGGCGACGTAGAAATTATTGACTGGTTTGAAATGAGCTTTGGAAGCAAGTGTTCTATCTCTTGGTGTCTCAGTCAGTACCAAAGGAGTGTATATATCGGGTCGCGAGCGAAAGTCAGGCCCTATGAGGGTGGGAGGCGTAGCAGGCGGTTGGGACGATGTCTCAGATTCGCCATCTTCTGAAGAATCCGTGAGTTCGGGTGTCAGATATCCAGATTTAGACCCTCCTGATGAGTATTCTGTCTGCCAGCATGAGTCCTGGCTCTCATGTGACATCGCTATGGGCACTCTTTCAGATCAGTGGGCAGACACAGTAGTCGATAAGTGACGCTGGAGTAAGGAACGGATTGCCCAACCCGCTGATGTGAAATGAGGCCATAGAGGTAAGACTAGTATTAATTACTGCTTGAAAGATAGTCTCTCATGGTTTGGTAAAGGAGGAAGAAGGAGAAGGGGAAGAGGAAAGTGAAGATCGGTGACTGCGAGGGTCGTTATGTATAGACCACGTGATACTTCCAGATACGGCAAGTGGCAGCGGCTTCCCCATCTAATCAGCCAAATGGATTCATCCATCTTACTATCTACTAAATCCTCGGTTTTGATTCTAAGAAACATTATAGGGGCTCCCTTGAATGATCACACTTACTGCTTGGCTCGGTAGTAATTCTCTCCAGAGTCAATATGGCCAGCGTAAACACTCACCCGTCTTTACCCATCTCACCCCCTACTAATTATTGGCTGGGCAGCATGGAATCCCCCGCTATAGTGTACAGACCGAGAAGTCCGAAGAAGTTCGCCAACAGGAGCTCCGCAAAATTGAAAATTACCGTCAGATAGATCAACAGGTTCGAGAGAAGGTTAGAACTGAGTTTCCGGTAAAGAATTAATGGTGGACTGATTGACCAAACAGGTGGCGGAGCATCAATATACACCAGAAACCCTGCAGAAAATATCCGAGTTGTTGAGCAAAAACCCGGAGTACTACACAGTCTGGAATCATCGGCGACGAGTTCTACAGCATGAATTCGCACAGGCAGTGGCGAGTTGTGTCGAGGGATCTGCATCAGACCGGGTCGCAGCACTGATCAAGGATGACCTACAGTTCTTGATTCCCCTCTTGCGAAGCTTTCCTAAATGCTATTGGATATGGAACTATCGCATGTGGCTTCTTGAGGAAGCCAAGCGACTACTTCCGCTGCCGGTAGCGCGCCGGTTCTGGCAAGAAGAACTCGGGCTTGTTGGCAAAATGCTTAGCCTCGACAGCAGAAATTTCCATGGCTGGGGATACCGGCGATTCGTTGTTGAATCGCTGGAGCATCTCGCACCGGAAAAAGAAAGCATGGCACCGGCTGAATTTGAGTACGCGAAGAAAATGATCGGAACTAACCTATCTAATTTCTCGGCCTGGCATTATCGCACGAAGCTTATTCAACGGCTGATGGACGAGAAGTTGGCCAGTGATGATGAACGGAAACAGATGCTTGATGATGGTAAGTTCAACTGTTGGTGTTTGTCACCAAGTTTTCAGCTGACACCTGGTAGAACTGGACCTTATCCACCGGGCTCTAATCGACCCATATGACCAGTCATTGTGGTTCTATCACCAAAACCTGATGTGTACCTTTGATCCCTCAATCGCTCAGCATACCATGGCCCCGAATCTGAGTGATGCCGAGCGGGTGGAATACCTTCGCAGGGAGATTGACGAGATCCAGGAGATGCTGGATGGAGCGGAAGACTGCAAATATATCTACCAGGCCCTCATTGACTACACCTTGTTGGCTACCAAGGTTGAGGGGACGATGCACAGCGAGGACCAGCAACAGATCATGGGCTGGCTGTCGGAGTTGAAGAAGTTGGACCCGCTAAGGCGCGGACGGTGGCTTGACTTTGAACAGCAACTGTGCAGATGATATTGGACCTTGCCTCCCAGCTGTAGATTCCCGCATGGCGCATTTTGCAAACCATTTTATCTTCTCTTCTTTTCTCTAATATGTACATACCTATACATAAACACATACACACGTATATATATAACAAGACATCAACATAAAAATAAAAATAATATCTTATATATAAATAGATCAATATCTACCATAAATAATGCTCCTATGGATGATCGTAACTGAAAAGGTAGTGGGGCCCTCCCTGGCTCCAGTGGAAGGAGGTTTCCGGGTCGGTTTCAGAACAACAGGTGGCGTCCCCCTGGGGATAGGATTGGACTATTTCCCTATACTCTATTAGTAGCCAATAGACTGTGAAAAAAAAATTAAAAAAAAGAAAGAAAGAGAGAAGCAGCAATCCGGACCATATCCAAGTTCCCCACCTATTGGGATAAACGTCCATCCAGGGGAACGGTGGGTTTTTCTTTCCTTTTTTGGAAGTTTTGGCCAGTTGACGGTGGACGGTTGATCACTATGTAGATAGGATGATTATTGGTGAATTACCTAGTCTTTCCCCAGGGTCGAGACCCGCCAGAAAGCTTTTGGACCAGAATCCATCCCAAAGGAACAACAATAATACGCAGCTGGTGCTCCTCCGCCCGCCTCCTTCCCCTTCTTCTCTCCTCTTCTGGCTCCCTACGAAGTCGTCATTTTCATCCTTCTCCCTCTCTCTCTCTCCCTCCCCTCCCTCTCCCCGGACTCTTCTCTCCAACCCTTCTCTGGTGGGGAGCTTGTTTTATACTTGTCGTTGCTTTCCTTGACCCTTCTTCTGCTTCTCTTTACTTTCGTCATACCTGCGGGTTTTGTTTACTTCGTCTGCTTGGCCAGACTTGCGTTCAACAGGAATCCTTAGTTTCGGAACGGCTCATTCCCCTGGTGGCTTTGGGTCCTCATTCCATCCAACCTCCCCTTCCTCCCTATTACCTCTCCTTTTCCCTCTGATCCACACCGGTGGCTTTCGCGATCTGGCTTTCTTTTTGACATTCTCCCGTGTTTCGTATCATGGCCTGTCCATTGATCTAATCTCGTCCCAATCTCGCATACCGCTACAGCCTCGCTTATCACCTCGGCTTGATATCCCGCGGATTGAATTCCAGACCGCGCAATACTCCCCGCGCGACCGACACACCGACACACCATGTCTCAACGGGATAGCAGAGATTACGAAGGGGTGAGTGACTCCGCTCGCCTTCCGGTTGCGCGAGGATGCCAAAGAGGAAAAACGCTAATCCATCTTCTCTCGCTTCGAGCAGGAGACCTTCGACGATGCCTCCGAAGTTCCTCAGTCCCACAGCAACCTCAGCGTTTCAATTCCCCAGGGGTCATCAACGCGCTCTCTAACCGACAGCTCACCCAGTGGCTCGGGCCAGACCCCGCAACTCCCTGACGCTCCCTCTCCTCAAACATCTGCCTCGCAGGAAGAGCATAAACAAGCCGAAGAGAAAGCGACGGATGATGCTAGTTCGGACAGAGTGTCGGAAGCGGAAACGCCCCGCGACCCAAATCACAAACCACAAAAGTCCCCATTATTGACGGCTCGCCGACTATCGACCACATCTCTTGACGAAGTCAATCTAGCCGGCGGTAATAAAGACGGAGAATCCCCCGAAGATCCGGATTTGCACCAGGAGGCCGAGGCCAAACCAGTCTCACCCCCGCCTTTGCCGTCGAGAGACTCAACGTCGACCCAAGGTGTCCAGGGCCTATCTAACAACCTCCCCTCGGTCCCGTGGGCTCCTCCTCCGGTCAACAAAAATCCCCCACCAGCTGCGCCGCCGCCGCCTCCGGCGCGCAAACTGACAGGTCCATTTGCCTGGCTTTCTCGGAACTCCACGGGCGGCAAAGAAGTCAAATCTCCTCCCCCGACTGACCGCCGAAACACCAATGCCTCGGAATCGACGGTCTTTAGCAACTCGGAGATGGCTGCGGAAGATGGGGAAAGAGGGAGACCAAGACGGAACAGTCTGAAGGACCAATTCAAGCAGCTGCGGATGCGAGAGGAGAAACAGGTCTCGGAAGCCGACGATGGGAGTGTCACGTCTGGACGTGGCAGCATCAGTCACTCCGCCGGAAGCCCGCCTCCCAGTATACCCGAAGAGGGGCATGAATCGTCGGCCGCTACTTCGGCAACATCACCCCCGAGTACATCGTCCACTGTCAATCCGAATCTTGCCCCGGGCACGGTCTCGGGCTTCTCGACTTCTGCGACCGATGCGTCAGTGCCCGTTGATTGGGAACTCTGGCAACAGTTGGTCAACGGCGGCGCCCAGGCGTTGAAGGGTGCCAACTCGGACGATTTGAACGCGGCAATCAAACGGGGAATCCCGCAAACCATTCGCGGGGTCATCTGGCAAGTCCTGGCTGACAGCAGAAACCCCGGTCTCGAAGAATTGTACAGGGAATTGGTTGCGCGCGGTACGGACAAGGAAAGGCATCACTCCGTCAACGGCACCGCCCACGAGAATTCGACAGCGTCTTCGTCACGCTCGTCTATTCGCTCTGAACGCTCTCCGTCGGTCGCGCATTCGGTCAACGGGTCACCCAGCCCTACCCGGGAGGCCGACCCTGAGAAGCTGACCAAGGAGCAAGCGAAGAAAGCCAAGGATGAAGCGGCCGCCCTTCAAAAACTGGAGAAGGTCATTCGGCGCGACTTGGGTGCACGCACGAGCTATTCCCGCTACTTCGTGTCGCAAGGCAACCAGGAAGGCCTCTTCGGTCTGTGCAAAGCCTACGCTCTCTACGATGAAGCGGTAGGTTACGCCCAAGGCATGAACTTCATCGCCATGCCTCTGCTGTTCAATATGGACGAGGTGGAGGCGTTCACCCTCCTGACGAAACTTATGAACCAATACGGATTGCGTGAGATGTTCATCCAGGATATGCCAGGTCTCCATCGCGCCCTCTACCTCTTTGAGCGACTCCTTGAGGACCTGGAGCCAGCCCTCTGCTGTCACCTTCACCGGCGCGGGGTCAACCCCCAATTGTACGCCACTCAGTGGTTCCTCACCCTGTTCGCTTATCGGTTCCCCCTGCAGCTGGTTCTTCGCATCTACGACCTTATATTCGAAGAGGGTCTGGAAAGCACTATTCTGAAATTCGCTCTTGCCATTATGCGGCGCAACGCAGACACCCTTTTGGGCATGAAGGACATGACGCCCCTGACGGCCTTCCTGAAAGAGCGCCTGTTCGACGTCTACATTGACAAGCAACCTTCGGCGTCGTCGATTCTGGAAAACGGATTTTTTGGAAGCTCGGGGGCTGCCGACAAGGAAATCTATCGTGCGGACATCCTGGTCCAGGATGCCTGTGCTATTCCTCTTGACCCGGTGACCATCAAGGCGTACACGGCGGAGTGGGAAGAAAAGGTGCGAACCGAGAAAGAGCGCGAAGTGGAACTGGAGAGCTTGAAGCATACCGTGTCCACTCAGAGCTCTCGGGTGCGCCTGCTCGAAGAACAAGCGGAGGCATCCGACAAAGAGCACGTTCAGCTGGCGTCTGAGCTTATCCACGTCAAGGTTGAGAACGAAGAGCTATCCGACTTGAACGATGCCTTGAAGATGCAGGTGAAGGAGCTCAAGAACGTGTGTGACAAACAGCCCGCCGAGGTCGAGGAGAAGCTCCGGACAGAGATGGACCGCATCATGAAGCGCAACATCGAGGTGCAGAACGAGAACCGGTCTATGGTGGAACAGATGGCGGAGATGGAGAAGGAGCTTGTCGAGGCAAAGATGCAATGGGCCGAGGTGAGTTCTTGGACCATTACCAACATGGCACAGCAGCGAAGTGAGCTAACAAGGAAATGTAGATCAGCGAAAACTACGAAAATCTGAAGCAAAAATGGGGTGATCTCCGCAAAGCTCTTGGATAGATTGCCGCTTTTTCTTCTTGTGGCCACTATCTCCGGTTTCCCTTGGTGTATGATTGTACATTTAGCCGGCGAATCTTGGACAACGGCGCGACACCGCGATTCTGGATGATCACGCCACTGATGTATCACCATTCCTCTCTATCTCGACCAAGCTCAGCCGTCCCGGCCTGGGCCGGGGTCGGGTTTCTTGACTATGACCAACTTTGAACGAAAATTTCCCTCCCGTCGGTGTTTCTCATTTAGAAGGCGGGTGTTTCTGTCTTGCGTGCTTTTCTTTATTTATTTCTATCTCCCCTTTGTTTGTTCTGTCAGCCTTTGGGCATTCTTCAATGTGTTCTCCTGAATGTGCATGAACAGTATGTCTTGCATGCAGTGTATATCACGAAAAGATAGGTATTATTCGACTATCCAATCGATCAGTCAGTCAATCAATCAATCAATTCATCAGAGTTGATAGAATTGTATATGTCTAGCCAACCCACCCAGTATATACATCATCCTTCCATCCTCACTATCGTCACACCGTACAAGAAATCGAACCCCCCCCCCCAAGAAAAAGATTTACAAAATACTCTCATAAAAAGTCGTCAAAACATCCTCCTTGACCGGCCCCGCAATCTTCTTCAAATCCTTATGCGCCTCGCACTCCTCATCGTAGAACTTCATGTCCTCCATCGACGCGAACGTCGTCTTCACGGAAATGTTGTACCCCTTGTTGCGGACGTCGGGGAAGGAGACTCCGACAGCTGCGGAGGTGATGTAGGGTTTTCCGTCCTAGATATCATCATAGTTATTAGCGATGTTCTTGTTTTTGTGTTGCAGGAGTGGTAGATGCTCTCTTGGCTTGTTCTGCGGTGAAGACAGGTGGAGAGAGGAGGGATGGGGTGTGCAGTAAATGCACGTATGTATGCACGTATGTATGTACTTGCTGCAGCAAAAGCAGGGGAAAGAAAGGCATACCTTAACAGCCGTCTTCGCGAGAACCTTGTACTGCTCCAAGACGCGGTCTCGGTCCGCTTCGTTGGGGATCTTGAAGAGGGTGATGCGTTCGATGGGAGCCATTGTTTGTTTTTGTTCTTCTATTGTTCTGTGGTGTTGGTGTTGGTGTTGAAGGTGGGGTGAGTGAGTGAGTGAGTGAGGGGCGGAGATTGCGGATAATAGTATAAGGATACCAACCAGGCTAGTGATAGGGGATGGGTGAGCGGTTTATATGGTTTACTGACGCATACTTTTACTACGTACTATTATTACTTTCTCGGCTTTATACAGTCCTATCCATAGGTACTGGACGTGGGGACGGACCGACTCTGTGCGGGGTATCTCCGAGGATAACAATGGATTGTTTTCGATGGATGCTCCGCCCATTGTATTTACCTACCTACCTATTATATCAATAATTATAGCTAGTCGCTATACACACTGCTAGTGTTATAGAGTCGATTTTCATATTCCTGCTGACAGTCTCTGCTTATAAATACCTGGATGGCGTCAGTTTTGGTTGAACTGGTCCGGATATTCGCGGGTGTGTAGCTTGTCCGTCATTTTGTAGTGCGGAATTTGTCCGGTTGGGCTGTTTCCGCTTGGCTGCGGAATGGTCGTGTCTGCTTTTCATACTGTGTTGGGCGTTTGTTTGACTACTGTTTTATTGGGTGTCCACGGAGACTTCGAATGTGACGGCAAACTTATACTCCATGATAGTACAAATGACGACTAGATAGATACACTATAGATTCCCCCTCGAAGCCTGCTCCCGCTCCACAGCCTGAAACAAGCTCTTGAAATTCCCCGCCCCGAATCCATCAAAACGGTTGCGCTGGATCACTTCGATACACACCGTCGGACGATCCGAGAGATGCTTGGTGAATATCTGGAGCAGGTATCCTTTCTCGTCAAAGTCCACCAAGATGTTCAGTCTCTCCAACAGGTCGAGGTCCTCATCTGATTTCAGCTCCACTTGAGATAGACGCCGGCGAAGGTCGACGTAGTACTCGTGTGGAACGCGCAGGAATGAAACCCCTCGGGCTCGGAGATTGGTGATTGCTGTGACGATGTTGTGCGTTCGGAAGGCGATGTGCTGGACGCCGGCGCCGTTGTAGAAGTTGACGAACCTGAAGACCCGTTAGCTGCAGAGAACTAGAATTTTGAAGTTGAAGGGGTACGAATACGTACTCCTCAATCTGTGGCTTCCCCTTGCCGGGTGCCGGCTCGTTCAAGGGCATTTTGATCACCTCGTTCGGGGAAGACACCACGATGGATCGCATGGCGGAGTAATCACCGCACATGTTGCAGTCGTCCACTGTCCAGTAGCGGTGGGAGTTTAAACATCTTCGTAACTATGCCACTGCTCGTCAGAGACTTGCGTGGATCCCCCGGGAGACGCGAATTGGCTTACTATTCGACGACTGGGTCGAGTCCATTCCACGGTTGGTTTCCGACGCAGTGGTCAATGTCAATAAAGTCGATCTTAGGTAGCAGGTCATTTATTGGATCCTCTTCAGATACCGCTTCGTATCCAGGCAAGAATGGGCCGGTGTATATCTGCCGGTTGACGAGCGAGTGTACGGTATCGCCGTATGCCCCAATGGTGGCCATTTTAACCGGGCTATTTTTGCCGTCTCGTAGAGTAACCGGGCGTACGATTGGCCGTGCGCCACAGTCCACTGCGCGCCTCCAGACATCGTCGACGTTTCCTTCAATCTGGAAAGCGACATCCTTGACTCCATCGCCATGTTTAGTAAGATGATCGTGCATTTCAGTCAGAACGGCCTTTTCTTTCTTCGATATATCGATTCCCATCTCCGAAGGACCGCAGACTGGTGAGCCGAGGACAAATACGGCCTGTCCATTGGATACCACACGAGATGTTACGCTTCGGGATCCAGTTTCGGGGCCGCAGTATGCAATCTGCTTGAATCCCATACGGCTCACATAGTATGATGCTGCCTGCTTGGAGTTTCCAAGACACCAAGTAATATGGTCAAAGCCGACATATTCTGGGCCCAGGCTGGAGGGGAAGATATTTCCTTAGGTCTTCTCGAGATCCATGTCTGCACTCTTGGAGTTGAAGGGAAGATGGAAGATCATGTGGCCATGTGTTGGACCTCGTGATATTTGTGCTGTCCGTAGGGCGTCCACCCAGATTTTGAATCCGACTATCTGGCTCGATGGTATATATCCCACAACCCAGACGAGGAGACGAAATCCAGTCTGCGTTTGGGCATATATGCAGGTTGTTGCCACTTCAGATAACGTTTAAACAGTCTGTAGTCGATTGTCGATTGAGCTCATGAGCGGAGACTTCAATGCGACGCATCATGACGAAGTCGAAAAGAACGCTCAGGCGACGGTCGGATCGACCTGCTCGATAGGTAAAGTTCTGTGACCCATCGGTTACCGCCATGACACTGTTATTCAGTCATGTGTGACTTTGCGAGGCCCACGGCCATTTAAATCCCTCCTTCAGCTTTCAGCTCGTCGCCCTCTTTGCAAGTATGACCGGTTTCGTCAATGATCATTGACAGGCTCCGGTCGATTCTTGAAGATTATCTTAAACTTCACGATCTCGGCGATCTCCAGCTCCTCGAAAATGCCGTCAGTGGCATTTCGAGCATTGTGAGATTCGGCCTGCGGCTGACGTCGCTGTACCACTGCAAAAGGGTTCGGCAGCTTCTTTACCTCCCCCGTCATCCTCTGGTATCTCCCGACGTAGAGGTAAACCCTTTTCATCCATTTCGTGTCGTCCGGCGCGGTGGTTTGCGGCGAGTAATCTGGAAACATGAGTTTTCCAACTGGGGTTTCAAAGGTGGTGCTGGTTCCGGACCCGCTGTTGGGTTCTTCAAAATCGACTTCATTTTCCGGCAAGTTTATTGTGCCTTGGAGCTCTAGCAGTGCGAGTCCGGAGGGTGTCTGGAGGAGTTGAGGGAGAGGGTTGTCCGCGGCGGAACGCGTCACAGACGCGCGGGGGTGAAGGGGAATCGACGGCATTTGGCTGGGGTTGGCGCTCAGATGGAGACTTCCAAAATTCGCGAACAGGTAGCGGACTGAAAGGCGCGTCGATCGTTGAAATTGAGTATAATAGAGGGTGGTAAGCTGAGTTACGCGTGGTGAGGTCGCGGGGTCGCAAATTTTGGGGTGCGGGCTTCCGCGCGTCCGTGGAAGATCCTTGGCTGTCCTATCAAGCGACAGTCACTGAATTTCTGCTAGGCGCATCGATGTACCAGGCTCATGTCAAATCATGCAACTATTTTGCTGGATAAAACATGATTAGCTCGATCGTATTGTATTCGCATTGTTCTTGATTAGCTTCGGGTCATAATCTACAAACTCAAACATCTGGAGGTGAGAACTATATATATATACATAATAAAAACACTTGAAGACAATATATTGCTACTGCCTATCAAAAATCACTATTGTACAATCTGTATGCAATAATCATTATATCAACCGCCTGATGGTCTAATACAAGGATCGTATAGTGTAAAACCATCCAATACATGATGATTAACAACACATACGGTGCTATGTAAGAAAATGATATGAGGTTATTATTGGAATTGACGGCCGTCGATGATGTAGGTTGCTTGATACGAGTTTAGGCACGACCACTAATCGCTAGACTTACGAAAAGAAAGTCTCTGATCGGCGCGGTGGTGGGCGGGAGGGACAGTTGAAGTCTCCCATATGTGCCACTACATACCATCCATAATGCATAAACAGGACGACGACCATCTAGGAGATGCTTCATCTTTGGATCCTTTCGCGGTGCTTCGGATGAGACCGGCCATCCACATGAAATGTGGCATTTCTCTCTGCACAGACAATGCACACTCTCCTTATAAGGGAGCCACGGACTCATCAAAGATATGGACCGTGATCTCACTTGTCCACGGTAGTCGAAAGTCAACTTTCACCAATCCCGAAATAATGGCTCGCAAGCAGCCTATCTTGCAACAAATTCTCCTCCAGCCTGAGTCTTAGTAGACCAGGAGGATATGGGTCAAGTGTACTGCGTGTGCAGGCCACTCGAAGGTTAGATGAAGCCTCAATAGAGGGAACCAGTAGTCCAACCCGGGTCGTCTCTTAAGGGGCCATTTTGCGATAGCAAGCGTCTTCCAGATTTTTGAGACCACTGATAGCCTCTTGCACCACCTCTTCATCCGTGGCCCCTACAGAAGCGCGCATTTTCCCGTACCGCAGGTCGCTCAGCTCTCCAACAGTGGTGTTAAGTTGTGAAACAATGGTGGCTGCGCCTTTTTCTACCTCGTCCATCTCCTGCTCGATACTGGAGCATGCTGCCTCCATAGAGGAGAGTAGGCTAGAGACCGAATGGTAGTCGCCAGGGCCGGCTGAAGACGCCTGGCCAAACAATTGGACGTCCATGTCCATCTCGCGCTGGTCATCCATGCTCATTCCATCGACGCCGGTGCGCATGACGGACTTGCGAAGCTCTGCCTTTTGAAGTTCACTTTGTCGCAGTTCCTTGTCAATATTTTCATTGACCAGATCCATGTCTTGTTCTCGAACTTGCTGCAGTTCGCGATAAAGAACCCGGATGTGCGGGTGAGCGCGCAATCGCTTTGGAAAGAGCTCTGTAAATTGCTGCAGCGAGATCGCTGTCGGCAGAGGAGCCGGAGAAAGCAGGAATTTGCTTAGAATAGAGGCTTCGGTTGGAGCCATGATGACAACCGAGGGATCACAAGAATAGGTTTGAGTAAACGCGTATGGATCAAGGCGAGTGAAGATAGTTAAATGTACTAGATTAAGATGGGTCCTCGAAAACCGTAATTTGCCCTGCAGTACACCCCTAGTTATGTGGAACAGTAGCCGTATTAGGTAAAAAGTATGGGGCGATAAATCGATAGAAGATGGAAGACTGAAAGAATCAAGGAAATGTGGAGGTGGAGTTGAAGTTGGATGAGGCAGTCGGCGCGGGAGATCCAACTGATTAAGTTGCCGTTTTTTGAAGGGCGCGCGCGTCGACTTTGTTCCGTTTCCTGGCGTCTTCCTTTCTCTTCGCCAACACACCCACCATTCCATCTTCTTGTCACCGCCACCCGTTCTCTGTAGGGAGTTCATATAGCACTTGGCATTCAGCCAGACGAATACCTTAGTATCGCCCAATTGGGACATCAAGACCACCCTATTCACGGGCTGCCCTGGACGCCGGGAGATAACAAAACCCGCTTCTTGTTTGCTTGTCACGGGAAGCATCGTTGACAGGCTTGCTGCGACTGCATTTATATACCTGGCTGCTCATCCTTGTATCGATCGTTCTTTCACTGCGTGGTCGTATCTCAATAGCTTTGCCCCTCGCGTGTTCCGAGGCCGAAGGATCTTATCCTATTGGTTTTCTGCTGCTGTTGGACACCTCCCAGTGAAGTGATACCTCCTTTTGCCATCGCCGTCAGCAGTATTGCGGTGGCTGGTAAGATGGCTCCAGCAAGTCAAATGCATTACCAGAAAGATGAGAAGGTTCTCTGCTTTCATCATGAGATCCTCTACGAGGCGAAGATCCTTGACCTGAGGCATACTGACCCCGACGACCGGAAGAGTCCATATGAATACCTTGTACACTACAAGGGCTGGAAAAACACGTATGTATAACCTCATTGCCTACCACTCTCACGCCATTTTCATCTTCAAACTTGAAAATTTTGCACTTTACTGGTGTCAAACTGGACCCTATATAGACCCGTCTTGGTCGCGTCATGAACTTAGCTGACTCTAGCCAGGTGGGATGACTGGGTGCCTCAAGATCGTCTTCGTAAGTTCACAGACGAAAACAGGGAGCTAGCCACAACCCTCCGCCGCGAGGCCGAGGCGGCTTTCCGCCAGAAGCCCAACAAAGCTATCATGAAGAAGAGAGGTGGCTCCGACCGCAGCTCCGCGCGGGGAAGTGAGGAGAGACAGATGTCCGTACCTGGACGTGGTACGAAGAGAGCGCGAGAAAATGACATCGAAAAGGTAGATTTACTCCCATTTACTCTATTCAGTGTTGCACACACTCCTTGGGCGTTCTTTGTTGCCGGGTGTGGTGGCAAAGGAAAAGAAGCGAGCCGTGTAGTGTCTGAAAAGAATTGAATTGAGCCATCTTTGCTAATGGGTTTCCAGGAGGATAACTTCTACGTGCGGCCCTCAGTAAGGATTGTCATGCCAGACAATCTAAAGTCTCTTCTCGTCGACGACTGGGAGAACGTGACCAAGAACCAACAAGTTGTGGCTTTGCCGGCCAAGGCCTCCGTAAACCAGATCCTTGACGACTACATTAAGGAAGAAAAACCCAAGCGAACAACCTCTGCTGATCTCGACGTGCTCGAAGAAGTCGTCGTGGGCATCAAAGAGTACTTTGACAAAGCCCTTGACAAAATCCTTCTCTACCGATTCGAGCGCGAGCAGTACCGCACTCTCCGCAAGAAGTGGGAGGAGGGGACCGGAGATTTCGCCGATAAAGGCCCGCTTGATATTTATGGCGCGGAGCATCTAACGCGACTGTTCGGTATGTTTCCTCCCCCGTGTCCCAGTTTCTGATGTAGAATTGTTGCTAATGCCAACCCAGCGACCATGCCCGAGCTCATCGCACAGACAAACATGGACCTCCAGTCCACCAATCGACTCCGCGAAGAACTCTCCAAGTTCACCATCTGGCTCGGCAAAAACAACAGCCAGTACTTCGCGACCAGGTACATGACTGCGAGCAACGAGTACATCGAGAAGTCCCGGGGCGTTGCAAATCCCACTCCCGGAACCGCTACCTCGCGCCTGGTTTGATGTGTGTGGGGAAGAACTTTTTTTGGGGGCATGTTGGTTTTTTTTCGTCGTCTGATTATTGTGAAGTTCTGTTTTCTTTCGTTGAAGCCCTGTGGTACTTTATTGGTCACTTTATGAGCATGAGCATCGCGAGCACTTGAGATTCGGGCAAATTGTATCACTACTACCTAGGTTAGGGATAGGCGAATTTACGGGTCGATCCATTTATTTTTTCTTTCTTTAAATTTCGAGGGATCATGTAGGAAGATCGTAAACAAAAAATAGCGTCAAAGATAGAATAAAAGCTTGAATAAAATAGAGATGCGTATATGCAAAAGCGTTGCTGTCTCACACCCCCCAATCTCATCTCAACCTTCACATTTTCTCGCCCACAAGAAGATACAACGAATTCAAGCAACAAAATCCCTCGCATCGTCCACCGCACACCGCGCCACCCGCTTCAAGTCCGGCTTCCAGTCCGTCTCTCTCCACCGCGTCCACGCACTCAACCCATCAGGCGGCTGGATACTCAGCGTGTCGTACCCTTGCTTGATAATCTTGTGCACCTCGCGCGGGCTGAGATTCTTCTTCTGCGTAGCCGGGATGGGGGCGGCTTCGGCCGAGGCGTCGTCGCCCTTGCTGTTGGGGTCAGTGTTGAAGAGGAGGGTGTTGAAGTGGGAGGAGACGGAGATGAGAGTGTCGATGGCAGCGACGTGGACGTTCTTGGGCGGGGTGGGGTCCGTGATTTTGGCGGTTGAGGGGCCCCTGAGGGAGAAGACGTCGCGGAATTTGACGATGATGGGGCCTGTCTCGACGAGCTTGTAGAAGAGGTCGTCGTAGGAGGTTGGGTCGGGGAGGAAGGTGTCGCCTGAGGAGACGCAGAAGGCGACGAGGTCGACGAGGGTTGTTGTTAGGGTTTCGATGTGCAGGTGGCTGGTGAGGTCGGAGGAGTAGGTCGTGAGGAAGCGCATGAGGGAGAGGAGAGTGCGCCAGAGTTCAGACCAGTGGTATGTGAGGCGGATTTTGTTCATTGAGAGGTAGGTGAAGAGGCGGAGGAGGATGGCGATTGATTGGCTGGGTGGATGTAGTTAGATTTTTTATGTTGGAGGGAAGGATGGGAGGGGATGGATGGGTTTACCTGTAGAGGTTGACGTCGAGGCGTCGACGCAGGTTGTGCGAAAGGGTGTCGATTACGATGTCGAAGATCGCTGTGGCAAGAACCCTTTCCCCAGTCACTGCGGGAAGATAAGGCTGGCGCTGTCGACAGAGACGGATCTTTCGCTTGGTGTCTTCGCTGCAGAGCTGCTTGCATAGGTTCGAGTCCTCCGTGAGGATGCGGAGGACGAAGAGGTTGAGTTCGGCGTACTGTCCAACGCGCGGGGAGCGATATGCGTGGTGCAAGAGATAGGAGGTCAGGGAGAGGAAACTTGCGAACGGAGATTCCTCATTCTCTTTCTCCGGGGCCGCTGTAACCAAGTGATAGCCAAAAAGCTTGTTTGCGTTGGTGAAGTCGTAGGTTGCTAGAAGGATAGCAGCCTGCTTGGCCGGACTGGAAATTGTTAGGAGTGGGTTACTGGCTACGGTAGCCGGATTTTAAAAACGACTTACAGCTGCGCGAAGATCTCTTTTGCCTCTTCTGCACTGGGTGGACTGGTTCGTCCTTTTTTGCCAGAGGTGAGCACCCCCAGGCCAAAGAAGAGTAGAGTGCTGATAAGGTTCCATCCTTCGGGAGAGTCATCTTGTACGGCAACATAGCCGTTTCTTAAAGCGCCACAGGACAGACCGACCCCCTTGACGATCTTTTGGATGCTCGCTTCATTGACAAAGTCATCGAGCCGCAGCTGATAGGGATTCTGGAATTCAAATTTGTTGTAGTTTGCCAGAAGTCCCAGGAGAAGAAATGGCTCAAAGACTTGCAAAGGGGTTTCAGAGTCATGAACGAGCTGGATAAAAGTCAGATTCCGCAATTTCCAATTCAAAGATGAGGCCTGCTATACAGACCTTCATGAGCGAGGGGAACAAGTCGCGATGGGTAAAGTACGAGACCAGGCTGGTTTTGTAGGCTCCGCTGGCCATCGCTGTGGCCACCCGTACACCCTTGATCCGGAGATCAACTAGGGATGATTAGTCTATCTCTGGCGAAGATTTGGCGCCCGCCGGCAAGAAACTTACGGCTGCTGCCATTGCGAATGACCGTATCAAGCACAGCGACAAAATTGGAGATGACGTGGTCAACATCGTCGAGACCAGCAAGCACCGTGATGACGTCGGAGCTGGGGTTGGTGTATTTCTTCTTCAAGACACAGGCTAGAAAGACCGTCAAAGTCTACCGTCAACTGCTTAGAGGCTGACATGAAGAGGTAGCGGCACAAGACACACTTACCTCTAAGGCATAAGAATTGACGGGGTCGGGGCCGGAGCCAGCCTCGCGAATGGCACGCGCAAAAAGTTGTTGAGTTTGGTTCTGATATAGTCAGTACCTTTTTCTTCGTCTGATAAATTTTGGAATTGAGTTTTATTCTGCTGTCGATATCCATTTATAAGGTTATGAGATAAGCAGCATACCTGGAGGGTGAGAGTATCATCGGGACTAAGCTGTTCTAGAACCGCATGAAGCTGGGCGCGATCAGGCGGCAACAGGAAGAACTCCCTCCAAAAACCCTCCGAGGGTTCTGTGTAGTCGGTTGTCTATAAGGCATGATTAATACTACATCACTGGGGGGCTCAAGAGGAATGTGCGCACTTGGAATAGTTTCTCATATAGTTGGACAACCTTCGGCTTGAAGATCTCGGGTCTACTTTGCTGGGTCAAAGGGGAGGATTCCATGGTGTTTTAGATGGGGGGCTGGATTCTCTGTTTAGAACGTGGGATCATCGCAAGCATGACAGAGGAACCAGTTGGACAAGAGAGATAAACTCGAGAAAAAGAAGTTGTTAAAGGTGTAGTAGATGAAACATAACAAACACCAATCAAACTGCAACAGGAAAGGGGGGGTTTCTTTCATAGAAATCTTAAGTCATCAATCTAGTCCACATCGCCGTTATTGATTCCTTTTTTCTGTCTTTCTGGACCAGAGAAAAACCCCCCACCAGCCACGCACGCTCCATCCGTACCAGCCACATTTCATCAAACAGTCCACGGATGGGATTCTATGGTTCTTTTTGGGTTCAAGGGAGGATTTGACAATAGCGTTTCATCTATGAAGTATCTACAAGTTCTTTTATGAGCGATCATAGATCCATACCTGTTATTTCCGAGGTAGATATTTTTACTAGTATTTTTCACTAATCTTTCACTATATTGAGGAAACAAAGAGAGAGAGGAGGAGAACGAAAGAAAGCATCACCAAGCAAGGGAAAGAAGACAGATTGATAGTACAGACACCCACCCAGTTAATCAACTCCTTATCTTGACCGAGGGCGAAGGAAAAGAAGGAAATCGGAAGGCGAAAAAGGGATGAGTCAGCTGACTCAGGAAAGCATCATACATGACTAATTATGCATCACGTGGTATTTACCGGTTGTGTTCCGCCTATTATCGGAGGTCCCTAATTGACTACCATTCCGTCCTTTTCAGTGTAGTAATCGACGATATCAGACCTAATTTTCCACAAGAGAGGTCCTCGAGTAAGATCATGAACCAAGATATTATCGAATTATGACTCAGTGCTCTTTCGAGCCCCAAATGCGCATCATCAGGTGACGAGTGGCGCCACTGCTTGTGTAGAAACACATGGATGGTGATTGGCCCGTCGAGGTCATCCCGTGGAACTCTTTAACCGATTCCGACTTTCTTCCGCCTTCAAAACAGACTCCGTTGGACTCACCTTCCTCGTTCTAACAACTTTAAACTGATACCTTTCAACTATCCTTCAACCCCGCTGTTGATACCCTTTTCAAAGATTTACCAGTGCTCTTTTATCACTTTTCAATATAGAATCTTCTCTCACTATAACTCTATCACCATGTCGCTCTGCAGAGCTACGATGCGACCCCCGGTGACATCATCCGCCACCATGCTCGGTTTTGCGAGAAAGACTTCAACCGGCACACCAACACGCTCCCTTCGACTATTCTCGTCATACGGCAACTCGTATCGGTCGTCGAAGCGGGACATGCAGACCGCAACCGCCTACCGTCCCCATTCGTTGCCGTCGTCCTTCCCTCCGCCTCGTGCCAACGGAGGTTCCGGTACTATCTCGGCCGATTTCCCCCCTACCCGAGAGACGACATTCCAACAGAAGCCGGAACAACGCAGCGATCCTTCGACTGTCAAATCCAGCGAGAGTGAACCGCAGAAACAGACATCCGCAGAGCCCGCCACCACAGCCCCGAAGGCGACGGGAAAGCCTCGAAGGAAGTTGCGCCCTCGCAAGGCCGCCATGAAAGTCACGCCATTAGCCATCGAACAGCTTCGCAAATTGGTATCGCAGCCGGATCCGAAGTTCATTCGAGTGGGGGTGAAGAACCGTGGCTGTTCCGGCCTCGCCTACCATCTCGAATACGTGGAAAAGCCGGGCGCGTTCGATGAGGTTGTCGAACAAGATGGCGTCAAGGTCCTGATTGACAGCAAGGCGCTGTTTAGCATCATCGGCAGTGAGATGGACTGGCAGGAGGATAAGCTGAGCCGCCGATTTGTTTTCCGAAACCCCAACATCAGTAAGTACCTTGACAACCCCTGACCGTTGTTCTCGAGCCGACCACTAACACATTATGCAGAGGAATCATGTGGATGCGGTGAATCCTTCATGGTCTAGACCATCGAGACGACATTTTATTTCTTCTATTCCTTAGACAGTTCTTTTCCGGAGTCATTGGGTGCATCGGATGGCGTTTTGACGGGTGGTTCACTGGATCTCCCGAATTCTTTTTTATCATGTACATTTCATCGATTCCCGAGCGATCATGCTCAGCTGTGAGATTTAATATTGAACATTCTTTTCCTTTGTCACACTTTTGCCAACAAAGACATTTGCCATTAGACTACACCCCATGTCATGTCCTGCCTGACTAGCAGGCGGACCTTCACAAATGTAGACCTTGGCCATGGTCATCCTTCAAGGATATCTTTAGTTTTCGGGTTCCATTTTTCTTGTAGGAACGTCATACATCTCCGACCTGTTGCGACATGATATGATCCGGGAAGTTTCCCGACTGCGGGGATGGTTTCCCGCCATGACGTTAGATCGGTTGGACTCGGGCTGTATACACTCACCGATATACAAGTTACATATTCATTATCATTTGTAAAAACGCAGAAGAGAAAGCAAGAGTCAATTCAGAATCTCATATGGACTATCTTTTAACTGTAGATATTGTAATCATCCAACTATAAATATAGTCATCGCCGATATACATCACGTGGGGCCATATCAGCAACCATCCGACATTCGGTCGAATCACCAAGTTTCCCTTATCGCAATAGCATCATCACCCATCAGCACCAGCATCTCTGAAAACCAGCGCCACCCCAACAAAGCGAAGATCGAGATAGATTCTTTCGTACGACTCGACCAAAAACCACACGCCCCTCCCGCAGAAATCCCCCATGAGCCAAAAATGACCTCCCCACACATCCAAACCCCCGATCCCTCCCCCAAGGACAACGATCCAACACCAACAACAGACGCCCTCTTCCTCGTCATCCGCTTCTCCGCCTCCCTCCCAGACCTCCCGCTAGAAGTCTACTCCCCCGAAACAACCACCGCCGCAGGCCTAAAGCAGCTGATCCGCACCCGCCTCCCACCAGATCTATCCGCGCATCGCCTCCGTCTTATCTACGCCGGCCGCGGCCTCGAAGATACAAGACCGCTTTCTGTTACGCTACGGCTACCACCACCGCCCTTGTCCTTGCGCGCGCGCCTCTCGCTCGATGATGATAGCAATGGATATCCTGAAGATAAGGGCAAGGGGAAGCAGCCTGTGCGCGAACCGCCCCGTCTCTATGTACACTGCTCGATTGGGGATATAGTTCTCTCCGCTGTGGACTTGGCTGCTGAAGCGGCTGTGGCGTCTACGTTGCAACAGCAGAAGCAGGCGCAGTCGCAGTCGCAATCGCAATCGCAACCAGGGGGTGATAATGAGGCCGCTGATGATCAGCAACGATCTACGACGACGCCCGCCCCGCGCGGATTCGACCGCTTGCTATCAGCGGGGTTCACGCCCGCGGACGTGTCAATGCTAAGAGCGCAATTTTTGGCAATCCAGTCCGTGTCGCGCACGCCGGACACGATGCCGAGCGGGGCGGAGCTGCGCGAGCTGGAAGATCGATGGATGGACGAGGGGTCGTCGCCTATGGCGAATGCGACTGGGACGGGCGGCGACGGGGGCGTAGCCTTTGCGGATGACGACGGCGGGTTCGGGTCTGGTTCGCATGGGGCGATAGATGATATGCTGTGGGGTGCGGTCATGGGGTTCTTTTGGCCCGTGGGCTGTGCGATGTGGTTGAGAAGGGAGGAGGGCATTTGGAGTTGGAGGAAGGGGTTGGCTGTTTTTGTGGGCATCGTGGTGAATATGGCTTTCGGGGCGATGCGGGTGATGGGGTGAGTGTATTGGGGATATGGTTGTTTGATTTGCTTTGTTGTATTTTGGTGTTTAGGACGTGATACCCCTCTCTTCATGTTGGATAGTCAATGTTAGAATTAATGGATTTACGATCGTTTGTATTCGTTGTATTCGTGCATTCACGGACTCCAACGTCTGGTCTTATTAAAGCTCAAGGAACGCTATCATACAAGTTGGAGTGGTCTGTGCGGACAGACAAGCGTGTCATAAATTGAAAACAAAAGGTCGAGGAAGAACAACACCACAATAACGCCCTAATAGCCCTTCGCTCAATGAAACTTGCTGTAGATAACGGCGAAAATCAACAACACCAGCACAGTAATAATCGCAATCGTAATCATCCGATTCGTAGCCATCCTGTAATATCGACGAACGCCACATGTCAGCAATCTATTCCCTGAGGATAACAGGGGACAATGTAAAAAGAAGTAACACGGGAGTCAGTACCTACGGGCCATGCCTCTCAGCGTCTTGATGCTAGTGTCGACGTAACCCTCGCTCATCTGGAGGCCCTGCCGGGCATGCAAGATAGTCTCTCGCTGCTGTCCCAAGTCGCCCAGCGTACCGCGACCGATGGCTTCCGTTTCGAGGGCCATGCGCTGGCTGTTCTGCAGCCGGGCGGAGCTGCGCTCCAGGCGATCCGTCCCTGACAAAAGCTGTTGTCTCTGCTCGAGGTGCTCGTCCTGAGGGTCGTCGGTGTAACGGTCGCCAAAGAGCGCTTTCCGGTCGTCGGAGAGAGATTTGAGCTTGCGTTTCGCCTCATCCATGTCGCTGGAGTAGTTGCGGAACCGCTGGTTCACTTTCGATCGTGCTTCTGAGGGAATGTTCTGTTTCTCTATGCGCATTGATTCCAACTGCAGTATTAAACTGGTTAGAACATTTCACTGATGCGGCTCTTTTTCGTGAAGTGTGTGTGGCACGAACCAATTCATTGGCCTCCTCCTGGGCTTGTGCTGCCATCCGAATCGCTGATTTCCGTTGCTCGCCGCTGGCTTCGGAGATCTGGTCTAGTTTCTGGTTAAAATCGGCCTGGAGCAGCTTGAACTCGGCCTCGTAGCTGCTGAAGAGCTCCGACCCGGCATCGGTATCCAACGGGTTCGCCATTGTGATGCGATAGCGTTTCTTTGGGGATACGAAAGTCGTAGTTTCGACTGTGTGTCCGATAGCCTGTCGCGGACTGCGGCTTTTCGAGTCGATATGGGTTAGGTGTAGCGGTAGGCGGCAACTTTGCTGTTGCCTGGAAGATGACTTTTCCGTGCGGATTTGACGAAAAAACCCACACCCTGATGTAGAGCAAGACCGATGAATAGGGTGGTACTAGGCAGTGGCGATAGGGCGACAGACAAGGTGGCGGAGAGAGGAGTCTGGAGTGGAGACAAGGACGGTGACGCTGATGATAGACCGACGGTGACATTGATTAACCTCATCTGGACCAAGGCGGGCTGATCAGCACGTGACTTGCCGGCCGAGGCTATGTCTTCCCCAACCATATCTCCTCAGTAATTTACTGTGTTTAGCACATATTACTACGTCCCTGTGACTACTTCATATGAACCTGGTTCATAGAATAGGCTGAAAACAAGCCAGCTCCCCAGATCCACTTCCTGTATGGAATATGTCTCGTGAATGATATAGGGGAATGACACGGAGAGACTCCGCGTCCAATTCGATTTCCCACATAAACAGAACTCCGCAGAGTATGCTGACAGCAGGATTACTGCATAAGTTAAACCCGTCCTTCTCTGAAATGTCATATTAATATTGCTGGATTAGTGGAGCAATAATTAGACCTCTACAAATCACAATACACCAAAGTACCCCGGACTTAACCTCCTCAATGTTCACGACTATGGGGCCAATGAAAGACGTCACATAATGCATTGGGAAACTCAAACCAATATGCTGTTCAAGTGGACATAATTCCTCGGTTTCTGGACATATTTCAGGCCTTGATATCTGCTGACTCACCAAACAATACTCCTGGTAACTAACTATTAACTAATTTACCCATTCTTGGCCTTCCTATTATGATTGTTACCTCGAGTGTTGTCATCTGATATGGTCACTCATACCTGTCTGATCCTCCGTACTGTGTACAGAGACATTCTCGGCATCTCAAGCGGTTATTAAACAGGATTGTCCCAGATCGCGCCTCTAGTCCATTACATGCTTCCCCGCTGTATCGCACTCTTGCTTACTTCGCTCTCGAGGCCCTAATGCCCCTCCGCCGTACCTTCGTATGGGGGCTAAAGGAGCAGGTATTATTGCAGTAGAGTTCACCAAGGCCTGTCTCACCTTGTCTATAACTTAAGAGTCTCTTCAGTGCTCCCATTCGACATCATATCTAGCTCTGGGCTAAAGAGCTTTGAACTGCTTTCTGAGCTGAATGGAAAGCTCACTCAAATTTCGCCCTCATGCCACTGCATCAGCCCAAGCGCGTCGCGATCATTGGAGGCGGCTCTTCAGGAATCTCTGCCTTTTGGGCCTTGCAGCACTCCACACACGACGTTCATTTATTCGAGGCCTCCTCCACTCTCGGTGGAAGGATCAAATCTGTGCCATTTGAACACAATGGACATAGAGTCGATGTGGATACGGAGTCATTATCATTCAATACCGAGACCTGCCGTTAGTTCTGTTCGCCTCATCCACCAATGCCATCCTGGAGCTAATGTTTACCTGTAGCCAACCTCGCGTCCCTTCTTTGTCATCTGAGGGTAGAAACATCAGAAGTTCCATTCTGTTTCGGCGCATCAGATTGCACAGGCTCTTTTTCATGGCATGAGAGCATCTTGAAAGATATCATTCAGCAGCCATGGATCCTATTCAGCCTAGAGACATACCGCACATTGATGGACATCATCTGGCTAAAGTACATGGCCATAGACGTCCTAGCAGACTGTTCTAGGTTCTCCAAGACAAAAAACACCCAACGGGTATGCAACACGCACGCGTATCTCGCAGACGAAGGGTACTCGAGCGGCTTCACTGACAAGTACCTAACACCGCTGCTCTCAATGCTGTGGAAGACAAATGCTAGCCGGCTTCTTCCGCAGCTCCCAGTGGACGCCATGCTTAACTGTTTATATGACCACCGACTGCTCTATCCGCGACAGGCAAGGCCTCAGTGGCGGCGCATTGACACAAAAGCAACCGAGTTTGTCCAAGCCATGACTCAGGGCTTTCCTCCAGAAAAGGTGCATCTCAACACCCGGGTACGGGGAATTCGCCAGTTTAATGGGAAGCAATATAGCCTCCTAGGCGCTGATGACCAAGAGATGGTCTTTGACCATGTCATACTGGCCGTAGACGGCCACGAAATACTAAATATCCTAGGCCGCTGCCTAGATATAGAGGAAACGAGTATAATCCAGGACCTGGCAACTTCAAGGAACATTGCTATCCTACATTCAGATCCCATCGTGAGTATCAATCCGCACAGATCAACCAGATATCTGTACCAGACACTAACACACTCAAGCTCAACCTAAGTTGCAATCCGCAATGGCCCGCCTCCAACTACACCACCGACCCCCACAGCCGCTACGGCCATCAATGCGCAGTCTCCTCCCACCCGACACTCCCTAAATCCTGCCTCACATACAACGTGAACATGCTCCAAGACCTCCCAACCTACCTCTTCGGCCGCGTGTTCATCACGCTAAACCCGTTCACACCACCGCATCCCGGCCTCGTCCAAGGGATATGGGAGTTCACAGACGCCGAACCCAGCGTCACTTCCCTCTACGCACAGCAGTGTTTACCCTCCATCCAGAACGAACGGGGCTTAAGCTATTGCTACTCCTGGACCGGTCGTGGCAATCTCGAAGATGCCATTACTGCTAGCTTTGAAATCGCCATTGAACACTTGGGTGCTCGGGTGCCGTTTTCGGTAGACTACCATGGCACACCTGCGAATTCGGCACCATTGGTAGTCAGTTTGGGATTGAGAGGAAACCTGATCCGCATAGCGCTTAGACTACTCCGTCTGTATGCACTTCTTTTGGGACTACTTTTTGTCTTCTTGCGGGTTGTTTGGGGTAAGACGGTGTCGGTTGCGTACTATTTCGGTCTGATGTTGCCTGTGATCAGAAGCAAGAAGCAAACCTGATCACCCGAGGCCCAGGATATTTCTGTCTCACCCTCCGCCATTTGTACATACTCTACCCCGTACGGGAAATGGAATACACAGTTAAGTGAATAGTTGACATTAGCGTAAAACAGGTTATTTAAGATGAAACAGTCGCCATTCCAGTTCATGATGAAACCCTCCAACGTGTCAGACATGGTATACACATCAGTCGAGTAGTCCTTGCCCTCCTCCTAGCCCCCGTGATGGTTTTTCATTTTTATCCCGTAGTCTCTTTATAGTATTCCATCCCGATGAATATATCATCGCAAATTAAAGCAAGAACTTCTCGCTATCCTTGCTTACGATAACAGCACTCCGCTTCGCGTCAATGAAGAGATCCTCACACTCGACCACGTCGGCCTCTTCGATGCCGCCCGGTCGTCCGTTTACTCGCGCCAGGATGCTCGCGGGCGTCAGCAGCTGCAGAGCGTACCGTAGACTGACCTTGCTGCCGTGCTCGGAGACCTTCTCAAGGGCGGGGTCGGTGATGTTGAGACCTTCTGTCTTGGCCCGCAGGCGGATGATGGTCTTGATCTCGTCGGGGGCGTACGGGTGGGTGGGGATGATGAGGAGACGGGCGAGGAGGTCGGTGGGGATGCCGTGGGCTGCGGTGATGTCGTCTGTGCCGCGGATGACGGTATTCCCGCGGTTGGAGGCGAGAATGACGATCGGGGAGATAGAGGATTCGAGAGCCCGGTTCAGATATGTGAAGCATTCGATGTCAAGCATGTGGACCTGGTTGGGGCTGCGTTAGTAAGGGAGAAATGAGGGGTGTGTATCTTTGACATACCTCGTCGATGAAGAGAACGCCTGGAACAAGTTCGGCAACGCCTTGGTCGATATAGCGGTTGACGACCTTGTTGATCTCCTGCCGCAACTTGTCCGTGATCTCGGTCTTCTTAGGCTTCATGAGCTGTCCCATCATGCTCATAACGTCCTGTCCGCCCTGTGGCCGGGCATTGGCCATGTCGAGGTCATGTAGCGTCACATCCTGGACGATTTCCTTCTTCTTGTGGACTTCACCCTTCGGTACGGGAACGTATTCCTCTGCTTCGAGATCGAATTCCGTGGCGTACGCGTCCGACCGCCCAACTCGCTTACAGGCTCCGGTGTTCGCTTCGATATAGATGACGTCTCCGACTGTGACTCGTTCCTTCTGGATGGCTTCGTAGATGCTGGGGTCGAGACGGAGCTTCTTAGTCCCCTTTGCGGACTTCAGTCCAATGATCAGATGGCTGATTGTCCGCCCGTAGCCGCCCAATGGATTCTCGGTTTCTTCGGGGGTCAATTCCGTCACCTCGCCTTCGTACACCTCCTTCGTCTCGCGCACACGGAGGCCTAAAGATCCAAGTTAGCCACACAGGGCCCGTGCTTCGCAAATCGATCAGCAAAGAGCACTGCATACCAATAGCCCTTCGAAAGTTCTCCATAAGGGCCTCAGTCTTCTTGACCTCGGCCGAGTAGATCTCACTGCCCACGATAGGGCAGAATGGAACCTTAGTACCCAGCTCCTGGGAAACACCGAGAGCAAGCGCCGTCTTGCCCGTTCCCGGGCCACCAGCCAGAAGAACAGCCCGTCCGGCCATCTTCTTCGACTTGATCAGGTCCACCACGACACCACATGCCTGTGCAAGAGAATTTCTGCGTTAGCCTACAAGTCTCTGGCAGAATCGCAAGGAAGATAAGTTTGGGCGCACCTCACGGGCAGACCCCTGCCCGACGAAGCCATCACTAGACGGCTCTGCAGTTCCATCAGAGCGTAGTCCTAGACCCTTGATATGCGTATGGGCGGCTGTCCTGTTTTCGCGCGAATTGCCCTTCACTTCGCTGATCTGGACCATGGTGGAGGGACTGCGGCCTCGTCGGTGCCGGCAAAAAACGATCGATCGGAGTAGAAGACAATGAATAGGGATGTAAAACGAGTAGATGAGGAATTTATTAGAACTGGCCGGTTGCAAAATTGAAGATGGGAGCAAGAAGGCAATGGGGAAGCTTCTGGCCGAAATTCGAGCGCGCAGCTTGGGGGAACAATCGATCAATGGTAGTGGTCCGTTGTCAGGGCGGTCAGCCCCAAGCGGCCCCAAATTCTTTCACCACCGACCGACCACGCCTACTTCGACATCCTATATTGCGAATCACGTCTCAACCAACATCTCGTCGGCCCGCCCGCTCTTTTTCTTGATTTATCGTCCTTTCCTGGCATGGTAAATACTGCCACGGCATCTTGATCGCAACAATGGCGGGATTGCAGGCTCGTTCCAGCATGTCTCTTCCCTCCTCCCTCTCGGCAGCCTTTCGCAACATCTCGTTAAACACCTCGAAACGATCCTTTTCCTCAACGCCGGTTACGCAGAAGACGCGCACGCTACCGGAATACATCCCGCCGTATCCGTTCGGACCGAAATACGTTTACAAGCAAGCAGACTCGGGTCTCTACGGCGGCGTGCAGATCAGTTTCGGCAATAAAATCTCCCAAGGTCGCAACGAGGGCAAGACACGACGGTCATGGAAGCCCAACGTGCGCAGAAAGAAGATCCACAGCGAGGCACTCGGTGAAGATCTATTCATTAAGGTCACGCGAAAGGCCCTGAGGACGATCCGCAAGGCTGGTGGTCTTGACCAGTACCTGCTGGACGACAAACCCGGTCGAGTTAGGGAGCTCGGCATGTTCGGGTGGGAGTTGAGGTGGCGTGTGATGCAGACGCCAAAGATACAGGAACAATTCAAGCAGGAGCGAAAGCGCTTGGGGCTGCCTGAGCCGCCGACTTTCGAGGAATGGGTGAAGCAGAAGGAAGCGGAGTTGAAAGCACAAGCGGAGGAGGACCAGACCAACATCAAGGAGGCCACGAAACCGTTCTACAACAAGCAGCTGTATTAGCGGAAGAGAGCAAGCGATAGCGGCCTATATTGACAGTCGATGTCTTCGACGAGCGAGGCGTCTGTACTAGTACTTCGATTTACACGTGGTTGACTGTCTTCCCCCGTTATCAGGGCAGCCACTATCCTCAAGATGACGAGGGAAGCAACTCCAGTTGTATAGGGTTTCTTCGATTTGCATGAATGATTTGCTTACAATGTATTTATATTTGGTCCACTTCAGGGTTAGATTTCCTCAATTTCATGTGCAATTGTGATTCAGGCCCTTCATGTAAGCAAGGCATTTTCTGTAGATCGTCATGTGGTGGTCAACGAGAGGTCAAAAATGTTTTGTCTTCTGTTGACCATGCCTTCATAGCAATGTTCTCAACTTGAAACCTCTAGTTGTGCTAATGAAGGGTAGAGGGAACGTTCCTTTCCATACTCCACTCGGTTATAGGTATATTATCGAAGTATACGGAGACAAATATATTGTAAGCCCCGCTATTTGTCGTCCCATCACACTATCTATGATAGCCATCAGCCAACAAGAGATGTCTAATAAGAAACCGAATGGCAGCTCCACCGAGTGTTCCTGAATTGAAGCAATTTGAGACTATCCACGTTCTTGGCGACTCGAGCCTCGAATCGACCCGGGCCAAAAATGATCCGCGATTAATTTCCGGATCCGGCCTACAGACGGTCATGTCGATGGTAAGGTACAGGAACTGAGCGACACTCTTTCTTCCCCCACTTATCTCTTGCGAAGAAAGTGACGAAATAAAAAGGAAGACAGGCCTCGGACGTCCCCAGTAATGTCCTGATTTCCAGGGTCCCTGAACACCAACCACCCTCGTCGAATCGCAAGCAAGCCTAGAATCTGAGTGTACGGGGGCGGAATAGTTTCGCCTCGCTTTCGCCATGCAGTTTGCCGTGCCTCCTCGGAGGAACCTCCAGAGTCCTTACGGTCGAGCCCCTCGGTTCTCCCTCCAGCGTCGGAAACAACTCAAGGCTGTTGGTATTCTGGCCTTTGCGCTCCTCGCGGTCTTCTTCCTTCTCTCGCAGCTGTTCTACACCAGCACCGGCACCTCGGCAGTCCCCGCCGGAACCCCCAGCGTCGTCATCGTCACAGTCCTCGACAGGGCGCTCTTCAGCGATGCCTATATCCAGAAGATCATCAAGAACAGGGAAGACTACGCCAAGCGACATGGTAAGTGCCTAAGCCGACCGGAGACCACCCTCTCCTCACGGAGCTCAGTCCCCAACTGACCACAATCTCGCGGACGCAGGCTATACCAACTACTTCGCGAACGTCGCCGACTACGAATCGTCGCTGGAAGGTGCGCCGCGCAGCTGGGTGCTCGTCCCCGCCGTCCGCCACGCGATGGCATCCAACCCGTACTCGAAGTTCTTCTTCCACCTCGACGCCCACGCGCTCTTCATGAACCCGAGCCAGTCGCTAGAATCGCACGTCCTCGACAAGAGCCGTCTGGAGTCGCTGATGCGCAAGGATGTCCCCGTCGTGCCGCCCGATAGCATCATCAAGACGTACGCGCATCTGCGCGCCGAAGACGTCGATCTGATCGTCTCCACGGACAGCGATGACTTGAGCTCGGGGAGCTTTCTCATTCGACAGGGCGAGTTCTCGCGCTTCTTCTTGGATATTTGGTTTGACCCGTTGTATCGGAGCTATAATTTTGCTAGGGCGGAGACGCACTCGTTGGTATGTAGTTCTTTTATCGCCGATTGTCGTGTTTGTGTGTGGCTGTCAGTGCTGACCATTACCTCTAGGACCATCTCGTCCAGTGGCATCCGACCATCCTGGCCCGGCTGGCTCTCATCCCCCAGCGGGCAATCAACGCCTACAGCCGAGACTCCACGGGCGCCGTGGCAGACGGGACTTACAAAGACGGGGACTTGATCATTCGGTTCAACGGGTGTGACACCGAACCCAGCCGGAGCTGTGAGAAGGAGATGGACCCGTACTACCAACTTTGGGCGAAGAAGCTGAAGAATGAATGAAAGAGAGCCACCAAGTGATTCATTCTCCTTTCAGCTTCACCCTGTGACTGTACAATTAGGAACGTGGTTTCAATACTTTTTATGGGTTGGCTATGTGGAGTTAGGGTTGGGTTGTGGTAGGGGGGTTTGTTCATGTGGTTTTTTTTTCGATGGGGTTTTTTGTTTGTTTCTTTTACTCGGTGTTCTTGGTGCAGGGGTTTGCTCGTTTGATTATAGAAATTAGCTAGCTGGCTACAAGATGATAGCTTCAATGCATTGAAGAAATATCGTGCATCATATTACACCTGAGGGTAAACTGGGGGTTGTTCCCCCCCCCTGCTCGGGATAGCACCCAAGAAGGGTATCCTTTGCAAACGCAATCGTATCACTTTAAACATACATGTGTATGGAGGAAGACGGATCCTCCATATCACGGAATATAAAGGGACATGCCCTGTCCCATGACGAGCCAGCGCACACGCAATTGGCCGAGACCAGGCCTGGTTTAAACCGAAGTGTGCCCGACCCCCGGCTCGCATGTGTCACAGCAACGTCTGCTTGCATCCACTCTAGTAGATGCCAGGAATCATGACGGACCTCTTGCGCTTGTACTTGTCGCCGAATTCCTTGCGGTAGCGGCGTTCCTTCTTCGAGGCCCACGCGGCCATCTGACCACCACCGACGATGATGAAGAACAGGACGCTCCAGCTGAGTCCGCTGACCAGGTAGACTCCAACCCAGGCCAGGATTTCGAACAGGTAGTTGGGGCACGTCACAAGGCTAAATCCGAATCCGGAGGGGATACCCCTGTCCGTGGTACCGGGGCGGCGCAGGTCACGGAGGACCAGGTGGGCGTTGAGGTTGGCGAGCTCGGCGAATACGAAGAGAGCTACACCGGTGTAGAGAAGGATGGGATTCGCCTGGGAGGTCGAGACCGCAGCGGCGGCATCGGGGCGGAAGGCCCAGTAGGCGATGTTGAATCCCGCAAGCACCCAGTAGTGGCCGCTGTTCTTGACGATGTTGAAGGCTGGCATGGTCGCGTTGCTGAATCGGTGGACGAAGATGGTCTCATATTCGCGCTTCAGGAAGTGGAGGGTGAGGAGACCGCAGAGGAGGATCTGGAGGTCGGACGGCTCCGGGATGGGCTTGTCGAAGTTGAAGTAGAGGTACGGGCGGAGGGGGAAGAGGAACAGGGCCGGGATGAGCATGGGTCCGAGGTATTCGATGATGAAGACGGTGCGCCAGCTGATCTGGGGGCCCAGATCCTTGACCTGAAGCACATCTTTCGGGCTCAGACCGGTGCTGGTGATCGTGTCGTTCTTGGAATTCGGCACCAAGCTCCGGTCACTGGCCTTGGTGATTCTCAAGCGGTGGATGGAGAGACCCGACACTTTGGCGAGCGATTGGTAAATCTCCTGGGTGGATGCATCCGAAGCAATCTGAACCTCCTTAGGGATTTTCTTGCCGAGATTTCCTAAACAATCCCCCATGTCAGTCTCGAGTAGTATAGACCGTTGAACCAGGCAGCTGAGAGCGACACGTACCCCGTGGCTGAACAGCCAGGGTGATGGATGGAGAAGCCATTGATGCTGTGAGATGGGTGTGATTTCAATAAACCAGCCAATTTCCACTCGCAGACACACACATGCACTTGATTCCAAGCAATGTGATGAGGGACTTGAACAATGGTGGTGACAATGAAAATCAAGATTGCCTAAGATAGCTTGGGCTAACTACCGCCAGGCCTCGGCAACCACAGGCCACGTGACCGTTCTGCACCGGCCATACGCATGATACGCAGGGACTCCATCGTTGTTTGACCTGGCAGGATCCAAAGTACTGCATATATCGTGTGCCATATTTATGTCCCGACCACCCTGCATAATGGAATAGTCGAATGCACAGCCCTCTATTTACAATCTTACAATTGCTTCTTCCCAGGCCGTGATATAACATCATCAACTAGCAGGCATCTTGGGAAGGCTGCGAGGCTATCTAGAAAGCTGGCTGGCTGGGGGTTTGGAACCATACTGTGTACGGAAGAGTCGGGGCAACTGGCCGGGGCAGTGGCACTGTCTATTTCTTCCTACAATGCGCCACTGGCCTAACTGAAGCCAGGAACTGGGGGCCCTATCTCTCATCTGAGACAATGAAGTTCAGTTCAATATAATATTATGTAAATTGGTGGTGGGCTCTTGCGTCATGAGGCTACCAAAGACATTTCGTAACAATCCCCGACTATTGAAAATTGATCGCTAGAAAATTGAGGTGTAATTGATTGTTGATACCTGAAAGCAATCAAGGATAGAAAAATATTTCGGAGCATTTTGGTTTGCTCATGTTACCGTTGTACACACTACCTAATTTATACTATCCCATTGTACATCTGCCAACCCCAGAAAGCACCCCACAGTCATAGAAACGAGGCTTCTACCACTATTGTCATTTTGCATCGCCTGTCAAGTCCATGGTCTAGCGTCATTATATCAGCTCGTTGGCTGTGCTCGGAGATAGACCGGACTTGTCCCAACCGTCATCAGCACCCCCCCTCTATGCGGTATAGCTGCAGTCTATAGTGTTAGGTACTCGAGATTAATTTCTCTCGAACTCCCCGAAGCTTCCACCTGACGGGCTGCTCCGTTACACTAGTTTCTCCACGATCTTCAACTTTCGCCCCCATCGCTCAGCTCCTCAATCGGCTAAACAAACCAATTCTAATAGGTTGATTGCCAATCCCTTGGTCGTGAAGCCTCGTGGGCAAATCAGAAGGATAGGCATAGGCTGTGGAACTCGGTCCTGCACAGATAAAAAAAATTACTATCTCACTAGCACTCGTGTCCAGCTCCTACTAGTAACGGGGAGGCCGAGAACTATCCCTTCAGCCGCACTGGCACAATCCCTGGCAGGGAGTATAATCCAACCCATCAGCCTGGTTGCCAATCTAACCATAATGACAATGATACCTTGATAATTCCGGTTATAAATGACCTGCATCAACCCGGCCCTCGAGATTCTTCAATAGACAATCTATTGGTCTACTTGGGAATTCTATGATACTGTTGTGTAAATTTTCTATCTGTTATATTTCCCCTCACCATCCGAGACTGTCGGAGGATTCTTTCCGGCACTGAACCTAATTTTTGTTATCGTCGAATCTAAAACACCTGCCCTTCTTGAATATAAAATTTCTGGCCCAATCCCCTGCCATCGACATCATTGATACCCCAACCCCACTGATCTCCTCAGAGTGGTAGTTTGAGTCGGTCCTGGTTGGTGAGGCACTCGGCGTCCTTCAGGCCGTTTTCGGACAAGACTGTATGTGTTTTCACCCTTACTGCCATACACTGAAGCCCATGTGACTTTCAATATCATTCGGGGTCTTCCCCTGTATCCTCTTCGTCGCGATATCTAATGCCTCTCATGTTTATGTTTACTACACAGACTGGGAATCTTGCAATACTGATCGGTTACAAGTCAGTTGTAATCAACTGCTTCGAACTTTACATATATAGGATCACAGGCGACGCCTGGACTTTCATCTAGAATGGGTGAAGCCAATAATGGTTCCATGCTCAATGGAATCGGGAAAGCCATCTCGCAGATTGAAAAAACTGTATCCGCTTCATTGCGACCCCTACCTACCGAAACAGGGGACGGGACTTATGTCCCCACGTCAACGGACACAGGACTTGTTCAAGACCTGAGTCATGTCGACCTCGACGATGTCAAAACCATCGTGGAGCTTACCAAAAATGCCGCGACAGGGGGGCCCGTTGATGACAAGCAGTACGTTATGGAGCGATTGGTCCAGGTATGTTGATCATGTTATCCTTGAGATTTATGCTTGACGCTCATCTCGCGACAGCTCGCTTCGGGCCTCCCTTCTACCTCGAGAAGCAGCAAAGCTTTGACGAACACCTTTCTCAATCAATTGTGGAATGACCTGGAACACCCACCTCTCTCGTACGTTGACTGACGACATTCCATCTTCCATGGGAACACGAGACTAACATTCCCGTTCAGGTATCTTGGGCACGAGTCTTTGTACCGGAAGGCAGATGGGTCAGGCAATGTATGTAACCCTTCGCCCCGATCCTATTGCTAAATCTCACTCACATGGAACGTAGAATGCTTTGTGGCCTCACCTTGGAGCTGCGGGCTCTCACTATGCTAGGTCTGTAAGGCCGACTACTGTTCAGTCTCCTGCACTCCCAGACCCCGAGACCCTTTTCGACAGTCTCCTGGCACGGAAAGACTTCAAGGAACACCCCAACAAGATATCCAGCGTTCTATTCTACATTGCTTCAATTATCATCCACGGTAAGAGTGAGACAAAATTCTCCCGGACTGCTGTGTCGCTGACCGACATCAAGACTTGTTCCAAACGGACCGAGCCGATAGCACGGTCTCCGCCGCTTCATCCTATCTCGATCTTGCACCGCTGTATGGCAATAACCAAGACGAACAGAATCTTGTTAGGACGTTCAAGGATGGAAAGCTCAAACCCGACTGTTTCTCTACTAAGAGGGTCCTGGGATTCCCCCCTGGTGTTGGCGTCCTTTTGATTATGTTCAATCGATTTCACAACTATGTGGTCGAGCAGTTGGCATCGATCAACGAAGGTGGCCGGTTTACCAAGCCAGATCAGTCTAAGGAGAAAGAGTGTGCGAAATACGACAATGATCTCTTCCAAACCGGCCGGCTGGTCACCTGTGGTCTATATGTCAATATCATCCTCAAGGACTATGTCCGAACGATCCTGAACGTCAACCGGACGGACAGTACTTGGAGTCTCGACCCCCGGGCGGAAATGAAAGACAGCCTACTTGGCGAGGCCGCGGCACAGGCCACGGGAAATCAAGTCTCTGCCGAATTCAATCTCGTGTATCGCTGGCATGCTTGTGTCTCCCAACGCGATGAGAAATGGACGGAAGGTGCCTTCAAAGAGCTCCTTCACGGGAAAGACCTTACGACCGTCACTCAAGAAGAATTCATCCGAGCTCTTGGTCGATGGGAGGCGAAGTTGCCCGAACAACCCGAGGATCGCCCACTTGCCAACCTGCAACGCGGACCGGATGGATCGTTCGATGACGATGATTTGGTCAAGATTTTCGAGGAAAGCGTTGAAGACTGCGCGGGTGCCTTCGGTGCTTCTCACGTCCCAACGATCTTTAGAAGTATCGAAGCCCTTGGTATCAAGCAAGCGCGATCTTGGAACCTGGCTACGCTGAACGAGTTTCGAAAATACTTTAACCTGGCCCCCCACAAGACGTTCGAGGATATCAACCCCGATCCCTATATCGCGGATCAGCTCAAGCGGCTGTACGACCATCCGGACCTCGTGGAGATCTACCCGGGAATCATCGTAGAGGACACAAAAGAGCCCATGACTCCCGGAAGTGGCCTGTGTACCAACTTTACGGTATCCAGAGCCGTTCTCTCTGATGCGGTCGCATTGGTTCGGGGTGATCGGTTTTACACGGTCGACTTTACGCCGAAACATCTGACGAACTGGGCATACAAGGAGATTCAAGCCTCGGACACTGTCGACCAAGGCCATGTCTTCTCCAAGCTCGTACTGCGGGCATTCCCAAACCATTTCCAGGGGAATTCGATCTATGCTCACTTCCCACTCGTCATTCCATCGGAGAACCAAAAGATCCACACAAACATTGGCTCTGCTGAGAAGTACAGCTGGGCTAAGCCTGCTTTCACCCCTCCCCCGAAAATGTTGACATCTCATTCTGCCTGTATGTCGGTGCTAGCGGACCCTGAGACATTCAATGTTACATGGGGCAAAAAGATTGAGTTCTTGATGCACAACAGCAACAAGCCGTACGGTAGAGACTTCATGCTATCTGGTGATAGGAAGCCTAATGCCGAGTCGCGGAAAATGATGCACAACGCCTTGTATGCCAAGGACTGGAAGCTCGAGGTCAAGAAGTTCTACGAGGAGATCACGCTACAACTTCTGGAGAAGAACTCTTACCAGATCGCCGGGGTCAACCAGGTGGACGTAGTCCGAGATATTGCGAACCTTGCGCAAGTCCACTTCTGCGCTTCTGTTTTCTCCCTTCCCTTGAAAACCGAAGCAAACCCACGGGGTATCTTCACCGAGTCAGAGCTGTACAAGCTCATGGCCGTTGTCTTTACCTCAATCTTTTACGATGCTGATATGGCGAAATCTTTCGAACTCAACCAAGGCGCGCGCGAGGTGACACAGCAGCTCGGTCAGCTTACCATGGCCAATGTCGAACTGGTCAGCAAGACGGGGTTTATCGCGAATATCGTGCATAATCTTCATCGGCATGACGTGCTCAGCGAGTATGGCACACACATGATCCAACGCCTGCTTGATTCGGGCAAGCCTGCGAACGAAATTGTGTGGACTCACATTCTACCCACCGCTGGTGGAATGGTAGCCAACCAAGCACAGCTCTTCTCCCAATGTCTTGACTACTACCTGTCCCCAGAGGGAGCCGAGCATCTCCCTGAGATTAACCGTCTGGCTAAGGCAAACAACGCCGCAGCAGACAATCTGTTGACCCGATAGTAAGTGACAGTCCGAAACCTCGGCATTCTCCTGACAGAGTACTTACCACGCGTAGCTTCATGGAGGGTGCACGGTTGCGATCATCCGTTGCTTTGCCCCGCGTGGTGACAAAGCCCACGGGTGTCGAGGACGGCGGCAAGAACGTGGAACTCGAGGCAGGAGAGCACATTCTATGTAATTTGGTAAGCAACTCCCAGGGTGAAAAAAATAAAAAATAAAAAAATCAAGAGCACGATCATGGCTAATGCGTGGGCGAAACCCTCCAGGTCACTGCAAGCATGGATCCCGTTAGCTTCCCAGAACCCGAAAAAGTCAAACTGGACCGTGACATGAATCTGTACGCCCATTTTGGCTTCGGACCACACCAGTGTTTGGGCCTGGGCATGTGTCAAATGGCATTGACCACGATGCTGAAAGTTATCGGCCGGCTGGACAACCTGCGTCGGGCTCCCGGACCCCACGGGCAACTGAAGAGGCTCTCCGGGCCCGGGGGCATTGCAAAGTATATGTCTGCCGATCAGAGTGGCTTTTCTCCCTTCCCGACGACGATGAAGATCCAATGGGATGGCGACCTGGCGGATCTGAAGGCTAGCCTGGGTATTGTGCAGTGAACGGACGGATGCTCTTCAGGTTAATGGCAAAGACGGCCACCCCATAAATTGGATGCTAGTACAGCAGTGAACCATGATTGTTCCTGTTATTACTCCTTGCTGCTGACTTTTGATTATTTTGCTTCTCTGTGAATTAGTAGTGCTTCCTGGAATGTAAAGGGTTGTTCAAGGCATGAGTCACTATAAGATTTGGATATGACAGTTCCTCCTGGCTTTACTGATTGTATGACACCATCAAAAGATAACCACAGTAAGCTATACTGGATGTAAGTAAATATACTGGATGTTAGTGAATACGAACAAAGAAACCCAGTTGTTATATGGATAGCAGTGATGATATCTAACAGTGAACTTAATAATATAAGTGATATCAACATGAGGGGTACCCGATTGCCAGGGATACCCATTTCATAAGGCTGCGAGATCACTACCTAAATACCAGGCTGACCCTCTCAGATCAGCTTATAAATAATATTTGGTACCGTCAATTAGTTACCTAACTCAACCATTACAGTACCAGTTGAAAGAGTCTGGGCGAAACAGGGCTACTAATAAGTAGTACTGAGTTGTTGCTTCGGCGGGGAAGAAGACCCGCTCCGCCAGAGCTCCATCATTGGGATAATTTCACGAACCTTCCAACTACCGGTACTATCGCTCTTACATTTCTTTTCCCTTCTTTCCCTCATCCCGCCCCATCTCCTCATCCTCCTCCCCGATTACCCCCCATCTGAACTTTTACCTTTATTAATAAGGGCTTGCCTCATATTCAAAACACTTTGATTACTACCTGTCTTTGGTTGTCATAGCTTCGGGATTAACGACCTGCACCGTTTTCCCCGTCTCTCTGGCGCCCAGCGGTAGCCGCAACTCAGTCTTTCCTCGACCCATCGGACTTCACATCATTTCGTTCATCCAGAAAAGTCTTGGTCTTTGGTGAAACCAGCCTGTCCATTCATTGTTATCGATCTTTTTTCTTTTGAAAAGTTGGACCTGTGGCTGAAAAGCTGTCCCACCTCACCAATTGGGCTTTTTTTTGTCGAGGAAGTGAGACGCCCGAAAAAACGTCATAAGGTCCTGTTCCCGCGACCTCCTCCGCGACCCGGTCAACACGACCTCCCCACTGCCTGAAGTGGTAACCCCCCACCCCCCCTTCTGGGATTCTTTTCATTTCCTCATGACCGCCTGGTTCTTCGAGTTCAATTATGGGGAGAATTAAAAAGGTGGCGAGCCAAAAACATGAGGCGACGATCGTAAGTGACACCCCTCATCCTTCGCCGGGCTTCTGTCGTTCAGGTCGAGTCTCAGAGTTTTCTTTTTCTAATCTTCATCTGGTATATAGTCACCCTTTCTAGCAGAGTTCGTCGCTCGTGCTACGGATATTTCACTCGCCGAGCTCCCTTCGCATCTTACCACCTTCCCTCGCCTGTGGCCTTTCCCCCGAGGTGACCTTTATCATTGGATTAACGTTTTGAATCGCTTCGACGAGATTCTTGCGTCCGTCATCGACAAATACGCCCTCAACAGTGGACCTCAGACTACGCCCTTTGGCAGATGTGTCTTGGTGGATTCATATACCAATGATGAAGGCAAACCGAGCACCCCGGACGTTGAGACCAAATTGAATGACTTGGGATACGGTCAGGAAGGTGATAGGGAGCTTGTGGAAGTGATTCTTGATTTCTCTAGGCTGCTATTGGAAAAGTGCGGTAATCGAAGCTTGTACAACAGCAGCGAACGCCTTGGGGAGCTTTTGAACACCACATCTCTCTCCCTGTTGCAGTCTACACTCCGCCTGTCTCTCTGCTTGGCACAACGATACTACTCGCGCCATCGAGGAGGCTCTCATCTCCAGCAGGGTTTACTGGCTGCTCACTATAATATTGATTTGGAGAAGCTGCAGAAGATCGCCTCTCCTTTCCCTCGCCCTTCCACGTCTGCGAAGACCCCCTTATCGCCCACTGTTGGCATCAAGGGCAAAGAGAGAGGGCCCCAGACCAAGCACAATGCCAATGAGCTTACTTCTCTTGTCCGTGATGATGATGGTTGGGATGAATGGGCACATGTGCGCGTGCTTTATTATCCGTCGGACTCCGCACCAGTAAAGTCCTCGGCAGATGGTGCATCGGGCGGGACTCAAACACACCCCCCTTCCACCCCGACGCCTCTGCGTAGGTCGCATACCCATCCTACCCCTCGCTTGACCCGTACTACCATCGTCGAGGATAGTCCCGGGTCTGTTACGAATTCCCCTTCCGGAAAGGCTGAAGAGTCCCTGCGGGGTGGGAAGTTTCTGGACATCCCCCACTCGAAGATCTCTTCAGATACCGCCGAAGACCTGTTGAAGTCACATATTGAGGGCATACCGGATGATTCAAAATACGAGCTGCTCCATAAAATTCGCGCAGCGCAGGCATTGGCCGTATCTCGCTCTACTCGGGAGCAGATCCTTGCGATTCGAATGCTCGCTGTTACTAATCTCGCATACATCTACCCCGAATCGCTTTTCCAGCAAAAGGTCTTGCAGTATGACATGGAGCAGCCCAAACGCCTTCAGCTTGCCTATCAATTAGCCGAGCTGGTTCACCTCGGTGCAAGTGAAGATTTGCCAGTCTCGCGCACTCTGCAAACATTGGGGATTCAGGCTCTCGATGCACTTGCAAAGCACAAGTCTCGCGCAATTGATGTCTGTGCGGCGTTGAGCGTCAATGTAAACCACGGCGTGCTCATGTTCTTGACCCGCAAAGCCGTAAATGAACTGGCTGCAGAAGATGACGAGAAGGATGATGGTAGTCAGGACGAGTGGCGTGACGCCTTGCTTGGTCTCCTGCGGACACTCCCTGGCTCAAGCACTCGAACCCCGGAGACCCTGGTTTCTGCCGGCTTGATTCCAATGTTTGTTGACGTGCTCAACTTGCGAACGGAGAAGGCCCGACGCGTCTACTCTCGAATCATGGAGTTCTTGGATACCTTCGTCCACGCAGTCCGTGACGCATTGGGGACGCTTACAAGTGCCAAGGGTTTCGATGCAATTTCAGATTTGATTGACTATGAAACGAAGACTTCATTTGAAAGCGTACACAAGGGCGCAGGGATTCCTTCCCAATACAAGACATCCACGATTGATTACCAGATCCCCTACTTCCAGCAACAGACTCTCAGGTGGATGTTCAGATTTGTCAATCACATCATGCAGCACAATGGTGGCGGCTTTGATCGAGTCCTCCGGAACCTGATCGATTCGCCTCAGCTGCTCACGTCTCTCCGCTTGGTGATTGAGAATGCTCTGATATATGGATCGCACGTCTGGAGCAACACGGTCAACATTCTCAGTAGTTTCATACACAACGAGCCCACCAGCTATGCAGTTATCGCCGAAGCGGGTCTGAGCAAGAGCTTCCTCGAGTCCGTGACACTGTCCACGCTGAAGGCTCCAGAAAAACCGCCGGCGGTGGAGGAAGAGGCCCCAGCGACCGAAGGTGAACCTTCTGGAGCACCTGAAGTTGCGGCCGAGCCTGCGCTTCCTCCCAGTGAAGGCGACAGTCAACCTCGAGAGTATGCCATCGTCAGGAGCAAGGACTCCAAACTTGCGCCTGGAATCATGACTTCTGCGGAAGCTTTGTCGTGCATTCCGTCAGCCTTCGGGGCGATTTGCTTGAATTCATCCGGCCTTCGACTTTTCCGATCCTCCCACGCCCTCGAGAGCTTCTTTGAAATCTTTGAGAACCCCGAGCACGTGAGATGCTTGAAGGACGACCCTAATCTGGTTCGCTCGCTAGGTACAACCTTTGACGAGCTAGTGAGGCATCATCCCGCGCTCAAATCGTCGATCATGAGTGTCGTCATTGTCATGATCGCACGCGTTGGCTTTTTATGCAGAAGTAAAGCCTGGTCACAGGGCCTCGGGACGAAGCTCTGGAAAGAGGGAGCCGACGGAAAGCCGGCGCCTTCGGGAAGTTCGTCTGACTTGTTCCGAAGGATGGGTGTGCCTGAAGATTCCGACTTGACCGACCCTAGCAATCTTGGTGTCAGGGAGCTGAACTCCACTGCACTCCCTGATGGCGGAAAACTAGTCACCGGCGATCTAAGCCAGGTTCTCCCATCTGCCGGGAATCAAATTGAGCCTAAGGATGCCGACGAAGCCGGTCTCACGGTCACGGACTACCTCTATCCTCTGGTACGATTCCTGGGGGCTTTCTTCGAGAATCAGTCGAACTGCACTTATTTCATCGAATCCGGCGGGGTGGAGTTTGTTCTGGACCTGGCAACGTTGCAGAGTCTGCCGTTTGATTTCCACAACGCGGAAGCCAGTCAGGAACTCACTGTTTTAGTGCACATGATGTCTGAAACAAAGCCCCACTTGGTTGTACCATCTCTTGTTGAACGTGCAGAGTCAGCTGTTGAGATGCTATCTCAATTCTGGCGTTCGGAGGTGCCCAGGGGTCTCGGATACTTCACTCCTCTTACCACACCGGCTTATGATGAAAAATCTAAGGACAAGGGAGCCGAAGTAGATTCTGCTGTGCAAGACAAGGGCATTTTCTTGGCTCGACACATGGTCACTACTCTCATTCTAACGGGTCTTGTGCGCGAGGTTTACGCGATACCCCTGTACCAGTCTCGCCCCAGTCAGCAGACGTCTGCCTTTGCCCAGGTCAATTTAGCCGACCGCTATTGCTCCCTGATCAAGAAACTAGGTGGTTTACACGCGGCATGCGTATGGGAAGAAATCTACCTGGAGCAAACCATCCCAGAGACCTGGAACCAGGCAACGAAAGTGCAATCTTCTGGATCAACTGCCGATCGGCCTAACGACACTCCTGCCCCCGTGGATCCCGCAGGAACCTCCACCGCACCTACAGCGGAAAGCCAGGGAGAAGGTTCGACAGCTAGCGTATCCGCTCAGCCGGTGACCGCCCAAGAACCGAGCAACAAAGCAAGCAACGTTTCTGAAGACAGCGTAGCATTCAAAAATGTGCGAGTGCTTCGGTATCTTCTTAGCTCTTTGCCTTCCTCGATCACAGGCTTTTTCCACAACTTGGGGCTTGGCCTGATTGGCAAGCGAAGGATCGATTCATATCAGAAACAAAATGCTACTCTGGTAGCCGAGGCGGTCGCAGATGCTGTTATTGAACAGCTCAAATCTGGGCCTCCAAATGCTTGCGAGAATCCCAAGCTTCGGTTTGCCTACCTGATAGTGATTCTGTCCTCGTTCTCTCACTTGCTATTCGAGGCCACGGCGGACCGACCGCAAACCAATTATCTCACGCTCGTGCTATTCGCTTTCAAGAGACGGGACGGGTTAAAACTTCTGAAGGAGATTTGTGATGTCTTCGTGCGAGAAGTCAAGTCTCTAACCCCGCCCGAATCTGTACCTGCGTCTGAGAATGACGTGTCTGCCCGACTTACTTCTGCCTATGGCGGCATCAAGATCATATTGGGCTTCTTTTCTGAGCTCGTTTCTGGCAAGAACATCGTCGAATCTAGTCAAACCCAAGCAATGACTAGCAGTGATCGGGAGCGGGAACGGCCGGATTTCTTCCAGCCAGGTCAATTTTTGGTTGACCTTCGCATGGAGATTCTGCCCATGGCTCGAGATTTGTGGGACTCCGATTTTGCGACACAATCGTCGAGCTCTGTCATCAAATGCCTGATTGATATCCTGCGCTCGTCCCTTGACGGCGAGTATGAAACGGGAGCGGTTGCACGGCGCTCGGACGCTCCTCCTGCACTGGCAGATGTCGGACGCAAAACCCTAGCCATTCATAAGGATCGCGCGACTTCTTTACAGGAGAAGGGGTATTCGTCGGACCTGGTGAAGGAGGCAATGTACCGCTGCAACAATCTTTACCTTGTTGCCGAAGACTACTGCAAGGCTCAAAATTGGCTTCTGGCTCCCCCGAGGGTAGCACCGCCTGCAGACGATATTGAGATTGTCCGGTCCAATGCCCCTACCGGGGAAACTTCTGAAGACCCAGCCGCCGAAGAAGGCCCTCCCTATGACAATGGATTCCTAGATAACTCTGCATTTGCTATGCTTTTAGCACAAGCATCAGGCCGACCAGAAGAAGGGCGTCGCCAGGAAGGCCAAGATAGACCCGAGGAAACTGAAGTCAGGCATGGCTCCGAATTTTTGGCTCGGGCCTTGACTACTATTCTCAACGACGACCACGGAAATGGCGACGGAGTTCGAGACAATCGAAACAATACTGCTCGTCCCGCTGCCCCCGCCGAGGGAAGCTCGTCCGAGCCTTCGAACCAAGCTGCCAACCCGCCCCCTGAACCGCGTGCAGAGCAGCCAACGAGACGACGCGAAGTAGTGTCTGTTGAAGATTTGGACCAGGACCGTGAAAAAGTGCGAGAAAACCTCATTGAGCGTTGTTTGGATGTTTTGAACGAGCATCATGATGTGTCCTTCGAGCTCGCGGATCTTATTGCATCCGCAACACGAAAGCATCGCGAACCCGAAACGTTCCGGAGAGAAGTAGGAGAAATCCTTGTCCAGTCTCTCGTTTCGTTGCAGACGGAGAATTTCCAAGAAGCTGGCAAAAAGGTGGCCGCCTATGCCCATCTTCTGGCTCTCGTGGTACAGGATAGAGACATGTACAATGCTACTCTGGGAGAGATAAAGGAATGTTTCACCACCTTTTTAGCGTTCATTCAAGTTCCGAGCGAGAAGACTTCGAACGAGTCCTTCCCGTGGATCGGACATGTCTTACTTGTATTGGAGAAGTTGCTTTCTGATGATTGCCAGCCGCATCAAATCAAGTGGACCCTGCCTGATAATGATGGCACAAGCGCAGACGAAGAAGGACCGGCCCAGTTGGAAGAGCCTCTGGTGTCTCAAGACCAAAAGATTCAGTTGTTCGAGTCTCTGATCGAAATCCTACCTAGGATCGGGAAGGACGATACACTCGCATTGTCAGTGTCTAGAATTCTAGTCATTCTTACCAGAATTCGGAGCATTGCGGTCCGTTTGGGCGAAAAGCGAAGCCTGCAGCGTCTTTTCGTTATGGTCAAACAGCTTTCGAGCTCCACCAATGAAAAGCTCCAAGGTGCTTTCATGCTGATATTGAGACACATCATTGAAGATGAGGACGCCATCCGGCAAATCATGCGGAGTGAAATTGTTGCCAACTTCGAATCTAAATCCTCTCGCCAAATTGATACTACTGGATTCGTTCGCCAGATGTACCATCTGGTATTAAGATCACCAGAATTGTTTGTCGAAGTATCCAACGAGAAGCTGAAGTTGCAGCGGTATGATAGCCGACAACGCCCGCAGGTTCTTACATTAAAGGCCGATAAGAACACGAAGGGAGCAAGCTCATCGCAGGAACGTCAAGAGGAGACAAAGGATGGTGAAAAGCCCTCAGCTGATTCACATGCCAGCGATGATAAAGGCAAGGGCAAGGGACAAGAGTTGAAGCCTCCTGTTGTGGAGAATCCAGATGGTGTTATACACTATCTGCTCTCTGAACTCCTGTCTTACAAAGATGTCGACGATAAGGAACCCCCAACGGAAACCGCAGAACAGCCTGCGTCAGAACAACCTGAGGCGCAGACTGACGTGGAGATGTCAACGGACGAACGTTCTCCCTCCGTCTCTAGTGCCGATCTACAGGGCGGACGCAGTGCTAAGAAGGCAGAAAAGCCAACGTTTAAGGCAGACGACCACCCGATTTACATCTACCGCTGTTTCCTCCTTCAATGCCTGACGGAATTGCTTTCTTCTTACAACCGAACGAAGGTCGAGTTTATCAATTTCTCTCGCAAAGCCGATCCGTTGGCAAGCACCCCTTCGAAGCCCCGGTCTGGAATCTTGAACTATCTCCTGAATGCTCTTGTTCCTATCGGCACCATGGACCATGACGAATCCGTTTCGTTCAAAAAGCGGAGCAATACATCCGCTTGGACCATGCGTGTCCTTGTCGCCTTGTGCACAAAGACTGGTGAATTCGGTGGAACTGGAAGACGGCGCGGTGAGCAGAACCCGAACGAGGAGGATGAGCCCGAGCTTGCCTTCGTTCGCCGGTTCACTCTAGAGCACGCTCTACGGTCGTACAAGGAGGCCAACTCATCCAACGAACCCCTGGACGCCAAGTATTCCAGGTTGATGTCTTTGGCCGATCTATTCGACAAAATGCTTAGTGGGTATGCTTTCGTGTCAGGGGACACGGCTTTCCCATCTTCGACTACGCAACTCGCGAAGACCATGTTCGAAAAGAATTTCATCGCTGCTCTCACTGCCTCTGTCGCCGAAATCGACCTCAACTTCCCAGCGTCTAAGCGTGTCATCAAATATATCCTACGGCCGCTGAACAAGCTTACGAAGACTGCTGTGCATCTGAGCGAATCTTCCGATATCTCTACTCTTGTGGAAACCGAGGAGGGCGATATTTCTTCGGCCACATCGGTGTCTGATATGGAAGATGAACGCGAAGAAACCCCTGACCTTTTCCGCCATTCCACTCTGGGAATGTTAGAGCCTCGTCACGAAGAAGAGACAAGCTCTGACGAGTCGGAGGAAGGAGATGACGAGATGTACGATGACGAATACGGAGAAGAGATGGACTACGATGAGGATGTACCCGAGGATGACGGCGAAATGGTTAGTGACGAAGAGATCGAGGGCATGGGTCCTGTTGAAGGCCTCCCTGGTGACTCCGGTATGGATATCGAGGTTGTCATCGACGATGAGGATGATGACGACGATGACGACGATGATGATGATGACGATGACGATGAATCGGATATGGAGGACGATGAAATCCTTGCTGGCGAGATCACTGGCGACCGGGACAACGAAAGCCTAGGGGATGGTGAGGACGATGAGTGGGAGAGCGAGGATATGTCTGAAGATGACGATGAAGCTGAAATCATGAACCAATTCGAAGACGAACTCGCCGATATCAGACAAGCAGATCATCGAGATGAGGGACACCGCTTTGATGATCTGTTCCGCGTGCTCAACGAAGCTGCCGGCGGCGTTGAAGATCTCCAAGGAGACGGTCTTGGTGGTGATTTGCACGACGATATTGATGATGATCTCAACGAAGATGAAGGTCAGTATTTCATTTTTCATCCACACCGTGCGCCAATGGCAACAGCTAACGGTCTTTCAAGAAGATGAAGAAATTGATGAACTTGAAGAAGAGCTTGATGATGCTGATGATGATCAAGCTTCCTATCAAGGATTCGATGATGGTTAGTTTTACATGTGCTTTCTATTTACGTCGATGTAAATTACTAACAGCATTGTTATAGATGAAGATCTCATTGAGCCATGGGGCTGGGATGGTGAAGACCACGCAATGCCGCGTGGGCACCAACGCTTCCGTGGTGCTCAGCCCGCTTGGGTCACTGGAATTATGCCCGGTCGGCCTGGCATCGTTCCTATCCAGCCTTATCGATTCCATCGGAGTCAGGTCCCTGCCCGTGGTACTGACGACGGAACAAACCCACTCCTTGTTCGCATGGACCGTGGGCCTGAGACGAACCAGCCACGTGGACCTGGCAACGAAGCTTTCACCGATTGGACTAGCGCTATAGAGCCTATGTCCACTGGCCGTCTGCTCCCAATGGACAGCCCCGTAAGCTTCATGAACGCAATCATGCAAGCCATCGGAGGGCAAGGTGGTCCAGGATTCGGAGTGATCACTCGTCCTGACGGAATCCATGTTCATGTTGACAGACGGGCTATCTTGCCTAATCGGATCCAAGACATCTTCGGTCTCGGTAGACCCCAGGCCCCTCCATCTCGTTCACGGGATGACCCATCGCAAGCTGTTAGCTTTGCCCTGGCAACGACGCGAAGCCGCTGGCAAGAAGAAGCACGCATCCTGTTCAGCAGCACGTACGTCGAGAAGACTCAGCGCGTGGTGGATTCTCTCCTGAAAGTACTGGTCCCCCCTGCTATTGAGGAAGAGAAGGAGCGTGAAAAGAAAGCGGAAGAAGAACAGAAGCGTCGGGAGGAAGAAAGGGCCGAGCGGGAGCGCCAAGAGCGTATTGCTAGGGAAGAAGAAGAGAAGGAGCGCAAGCGGCAGGAGGAGGAAGAGAACGCCAGACGGCAGCAAGAGCAAGAACAGCAGGAAGCCGAGAGGCGTGAAGCTGGGGCTGCTGCTGCTGCTGAACATATGGACGATGTTCAGACGGCAGATTCTGTGGACGAAGCCGCTGCGTCAGCAACTCAACCTGAGCCGGGTCCTTCTGAACCAGTCGAACGAGTGCATACAACTATCAGAGGGCGCCAGCTTGACATCACTGGGATGGAAATCGATCCCGAGTATCTTGAAGCTCTACCTGAAGAGTTAAGAGAAGAAGTGATTATGCAGCAGCTTGCAGAGCAACGGTCGCAAGCCGCGGCAGCCGGTGAAGAGCCCAGTGAGATCAACCCAGAGTTCCTGGAAGCATTGCCCACAGAGATTCGAGAAGAACTGTTGCAGCAAGAAGCGGCTGATCGTCGTCGGCGGGAGCGTGAGAGTGCCCGCAGACAAGCACCTACCGGTGCAAGTGCACCCACTCGTGCCGAAGACATGGATGCGGCCAATTTCCTCGCCACCTTGGATCCTGCGTTACGACAAGCGGTCCTCGCCGACCAACCCGAGGAAATACTTGCGACTTTAGGTCCAGAGTTTGTGACCGAAGCGCGTGCTCTGCCTGGAAGACGCCTCACACAGTTTGGTGATCTTCCCAGAGTTGAACATCGACAGAGGACCGAACCAGTTCCCGCGCAAGAAGAGAAGAAGCAACAGCGCCGTCAAATCGTCCAGATGCTCGACAAAGCTGGCGTTGCCACATTGCTTCGCCTGATGTTCATGCCTCTTCAAGGAAACGCACGCCACCAGCTCAACGATATTCTCTACAACGTCTGTGAGAACCGTCAGAACCGGGTTGAGGTCATTAGCCTTCTTCTTTCTGTTCTGCAAGATGGAAGCGTGGATGTTTCCGCCATTGAGCGCAGTTTCGCCCAACTCTCGCTCCGGGCAAAGCCTTCTGCACTGCAGAAGGCAACCCCTCAACCTGTCAAGCGAAGTCTAGCTTTCCAAGCTTCTTCGAGCGTCAGCAACGAAGTGACTCCGGTCATGGTGGTACAGCAGTGCCTGGGAACCCTTTCTTTTCTGTCTCAGTACAATCCCCACATCGCGTGGTTCTTCCTCACTGAGCATGATCCCTCGTCCAGCCTGAAGCTCAAGGCGCTGCGCAAGGGTAAAGGAAAAGAGAACAAGGCAAACAAATTTGCCCTGAACGCTCTGCTTACTTTGCTTGACCGCAAACTGATTATGGAAAGCCCGAATTGCATGGAGCAGCTCTCAACCCTTTTGAGTAGCATCACGCAACCTCTCACTTTGCTGCTTCGTCGCGAGAAAGAGCGACAGGAGGAGGAAGAGAAGAACAAGAAAGCTCAAGAAGAAAAGGGCGATGAGCCTGCCAAGGAGGAAGAACAACCCGAGCAGTCTTCAGACGCAGCACAACCCGCGCAGCCCTCCGAAGAAGCACAACCCGCAGAAACTCCTGCGGATGCTACTATGACCGATGCTCCCTTACCAAGTGTCGAAACCACTGAGCCTCAGGACAGTACGTCGGAGCAACCCAAGGATGGCGCTTCCAAGGAAACCAAGGCGGAGAACGCAAAGGAAGATGGCAAGTCGAAGAAGAAAGCCATCGAGCCTCCCGTCGTCCCCGACCACAACCTGCAATTGGTTGTTCACATCCTTGCTGCCCGTGAATGCAATGGCAAGACTTTCAGGGATACGCTCTCTACCATCAACAACCTCTCTGCTATTCCTGGCGCTCGGGATGTGATCGGAAACGAGCTAGTCAGCCAGGCTCAGACCTTAAGCACCACCATTCTGACCGATCTGGACGAACTCTTGACGCATATCCACCAGGCTAAGAGCGGAACAGACATGCAAGGTCTGTCTCTGGCCAAGTTCTCCCCGGCCAGCTCTGATCAAGCCAAGCTGTTGCGTGTTTTGACTGCTCTTGATTACCTGTTTGACCCTAACCGCGCCGACAAGGTCAAGGGAAGCGAGCCGGATCCTGCCGCCAAGGAGGATGTCTTACAGACCTTGTACGAGAGCTCTACCTTTGGTCCTCTGTGGACCAGACTGAGCGAATGCTTGACTGTCATCCGACAAAAGGAGAATATGCTGAACGTGGCTACAATTCTTCTGCCTTTGATTGAGGCTCTGATGGTGGTCTGCAAGAACACCACACTAAAGGAAACTTCTCTGACCCGTAACAGCCGTGAGCTGTCTGTGTCAAGCACGGGTGATTCTAGTTTAAGCATGGAGAGTCTGTTCTTCAAGTTCACGGAGGAGCACCGCAAGATACTCAACGAGCTTGTTCGCCAAAATCCCAGGTTGATGAGCGGAACATTCTCCCTCCTCGTCAAGAACCCCAAGGTCCTGGACTTCGACAACAAGCGGAATTACTTCACTCGCCGCATCCATTCCCGTGGAGCAGAGCCTCGTCACCCCCACCCTCCTCTGCAGTTATCTGTAAGGAGAGATCAAGTCTTCCTCGACTCCTTCAAGTCGCTCTACTTCAAATCGGCAGAAGAGCTGAAGCATGGCAAATTAAATGTCCGGTTCCACGGCGAGGAAGGTGTTGATGCCGGAGGTGTCACTCGAGAGTGGTTCCAAGTCCTTGCCCGTGGCATGTTCAACCCTAATTATGCCTTGTTCATCCCCGTTGCTTCTGACCGGACTACTTTCCATCCTAATCGCCTGAGTGGCATCAACTCGGAGCATCTGATGTTCTTCAAGTTCATCGGCCGAATCATCGGCAAGGCCCTGTACGAGGGTCGGGTACTTGATTGCCATTTCAGCCGAGCGGTCTACAAGTGTATTCTGGGCCGGTCAGTCTCCATCAAGGATATGGAAACGCTTGATCTGGACTATTACAAGTCGCTCCTTTGGATGCTCGAGAACGATATCACCGATATCATTACCGAGACCTTCTCTGTTGAGACGGACGACTTTGGAGAGAAGCAGGTGATTGACCTGATCGAGAATGGGCGTAACATCCCTGTTACCCAAGAGAACAAGGAGGAATACGTGCAGCGCGTGGTCAATTATCGCTTGTTCAGTTCTATCCAGGAGCAGCTTGACAATTTCCTGAAGGGATTCCACGAGATCATTGCCCCTGATCTGATCTCTATCTTCAATGAACAGGAGTTGGAGCTGCTGATTTCTGGTCTTCCCGAGATCGATGTGGACGACTGGAAGGTGAACACCGAATACCACAACTACTCTGCCTCCTCGTCCCAGATCCAGTGGTTCTGGCGGGCAGTCCGCTCATTCGACAAGGAAGAGCGTGCCAAACTCTTGCAGTTTGTGACCGGAACTAGCAAGGTACCGCTCAACGGCTTCAAGGAGCTTGAGGGTATGAATGGCGTTAGTCGATTCAACATCCACCGCGATTACGGCAACAAGGATCGCCTCCCAAGCTCGCACACATGCTTCAATCGTAAGTTGAACTCAACCATCGCAGCTATATTTACAAGATACTAATTATGAGCAGAGCTTGATCTTCCGGAGTATGAGAGCTACGAGACTCTCCGACAACGTCTTTATACCGCCATGACGGCCGGTAGCGAATATTTCGGGTTTGCATAAAATTGGTGGTGCTGTTTTCTTTTTCCATGTGGCGAACAAAATCAGTTTTTCTTTTCGATTTACAGTCTTCGTTTCAATGCCGAAGCATTTGATGGCGTTTTTGACACATTGCTATGCTTTATCATCGGGGTGGATTGTTTACGGGGATGTTTTGTGAAAGGAAAGATGGCTGGGGCTACCCGGAGACACTGATTGAAGTGCAGGTCAATCAGTGATCGAGGTGGTGGTTGGGTGGCTTATACCCTGTCCCGGCGGCTTTCCTTTTCTTTTCTTTTTCCTTTTCATGTTTTACCTAGATTTATCTTTTGTTGATTAGTATTTTCACACTGTGTAATAAATGCGACGCTTTTCTTCAAGTGCCTCTTGCCTCGTAAAGACGTATAGTGACGTTCCGGGCGGTGAGGAAGAGTGGAACCCGGGTCACGGGATGGAACATTTTTCTGCTGGGAAAAAAAAGGTCCCCTGCCCGGCGGGGCAATTACTATTCTCTCTCTTTGCATTCGATCGCATATCCAGTTCCTTTTACTTCCCTTTGGCTCCGTCCTGGTTGATGGGGATTCATCTTCAAGCACTTGCGGACTCGACCTACCTGGTTTTCTGACCCAATCTCCCTGCTTCTTCCAGCCATTTCTCCACCAATCACCCACTTCTACCCATTCCAACGGTCGGGCTCTTCGATTCACTTGGACAACATGGCTACGAATTCGATTAAACTTTTGACTGGTAACAGTCACCCCGAGCTTGCCCAGCTCGTGGCTGATAGGTGCGCACCTGTTGATATGATCCCGCGTGGTCGGGTTGTGCCGATATCGACCGAGGGCTAATGGCTTTTTTTTCTCCGGATTTACAGGCTTGGCATCGAGTTGACCAAGATTATGGTCCTCCAGTACTCGAACCAGGAAACCAGCGTCACCATTGGCGAGAGTGTACGAGACGAGGATGTTTTCATTCTGCAGTCCACCCGCCCCAACGACATCAACGACGGCCTGATGGAGCTGCTCATCATGATCAACGCCTGCAAGACCGCCTCCGCACGACGCATCACCGCTGTCATCCCCAACTTCCCCTACGCCCGACAGGACAAGAAGGATAAGAGCCGCGCGCCCATCACCGCGAGACTCATGGCCAACATGCTCCAGACCGCGGGCTGCAACCATGTCATCACCATGGACCTCCACGCCAGTCAGATCCAGGGCTTCTTCAACGTCCCCGTTGACAACCTTTATGCCGAGCCCAGCATGCTGAAGTGGATCCGGGAGAACCTGGACGTGAACAACTGCGTCATTGTCAGCCCCGACGCTGGTGGCGCCAAGCGGTAAGTATCAGCCGGAGTCTTGTTCTGTTTCCGATCCTCGCTAACTCGGAGCAAAGTGCCACTGGTATCGCCGACCGTCTCGATCTCCAGTTCGCTCTGATCCACAAGGAGCGCCAGCGCCCCAACGAAGTCTCGCGCATGGTCCTTGTGGGTAACGTGAAGGACAAGGTCGCCATCATCGTCGACGACATGGCCGACACCTGCGGTACCCTCGGCAAGGCGGCTGCCACTGTGATGGAGCACGGCGCCAAGGAGGTCAACGCCATCGTTGTGCACGGTATCCTTTCCGGCAATGCCATCGCCAACATCAACAACAGCTGCCTGAGCCGCGTCGTCGTCACCAACACCGTTCCTCACCAGGAGAAGAAGGAAGCTTGCCCCAAGATCGAGACCATCGACGTCAGCCCCACACTTGCCGAGGCTTGCAGACGTACGCACAACGGCGAGTCCGTCAGCTTCCTTTTCTCTCACGCTGTGGCTTAAGCTGGGAAGCTCTTTTTTTTTTTTCTTTGAAACGGTGTATACGATGGACGGAAAGAGGAAATAGAAGAGAACAAACAAACAGAACGCAGGACGAACGGTCCCGGGAATCAGGAACAAAGAGGTTGTCTGTAATCGAGGAAACAGTCTCGACTTGCTACATCTTTTCCCATCTTTCTTCTTCTGCCAGATCTCTCTTTCCTTTTTTCTTGCTTTTCCTTTTTCTTTTCTTGATACTATTGCATGGGGTTGCGTGCTTATTGTGAAAGACTACCTATTGCTGCTGTATGTTTCTATTCATTTCTTTTTTCTTTTATCTACTGAGATTTGGATGGTCTTCATTTTGTTTCTCTTCTATCCATCTATTTCACAGGTAAAGATTTATGACGCTTGCACGAATCACAGAAGTTTTCTTTTCTTTCCTTTTTTACTTTCTCGGAGTGGTGCGAAAGAGGGGTGAGAGGTGGCGGTTGGTGGGTGGGTTAGTCTTGACTGGAAAAGTTACCTGAGATGCTGAGATGATGACGATGTATATATAGAAAATCCGAGTTCTGCTTTATTTCTCTCACTGGTCAATCTTTGATCTTAGGATAAATGCAGGTCGTGCGTGAATGAATTACTTGGCGATCGTTAGAATACACGAACCAACGGGGAGAAATATCTACATATATATACTTCTATCGGGGGCTGGGTCAAGCCGTCCGCTCATTTGATACTTGTAATGCCTGGCTTGCACTTTCATCTAGGTACCTACAATTTGTGGCTACAATAGTCAAGGTCAAGTCATGACATAGTCCTCCTCTAGCGAGGAAAAGAGATTACATGTACTCCGTAGTACCATGCAGGTAGATACGTAGATAGGTAGGCGGGTAGATGAATAGGTAGCCAGGTGTAGGTAGTTAAGACATTGTCGCACTGGATAATTATATATATAGGGTTTTACCTACGAAAAGGCCAAAAGTGACATGGGCGTGTGTTCTGTACCCGGGTGGTAATTAATAGAATCCCTTGCGAACGTACTTCCAACAGTGAACGTTTTCATATAAGTACATTTGTCCTTCCTGGCATCAACTGCTGTAGAACAAAGGAAAGTCGTGCGGGTTGTGTACTATCTAGGTATTGGTCGACAAGTGATCGGGCCTGGAGAGAAGGAGAAGAATGGAAACAAGCAATAGGAAGGAAGAAGAGACTTGAAAAGGACAAGTGAGGATGCAACTGTAGAATAACATTCAAATTGATGTATATTTGATATTTATATATGCTATATGTTGATTCTTCGTTCATTCAGTCAGTCAGTGAACCAGGGAGGACAAGACAATAGTTTGAGTTTGTTCAATGTCTTTAGTGGGATGGATATATATAGTTCTGATGTCCCGAAGACTTTCAAGTAAGCATTTGGTCAGTCGGTCCCCATCGTTAAACGGGACAGAGGGATAGATTATTCACTACCATTTGGAAAACGTGCAACCAAGGGAACAAGGAAGCAAAAGAAAAGGGTTCTTGGACGACTTTCCAACATCGCCCGAGTTGTGTTGAGCGAATATGGGAGCGGGATGGGAATGGGAGGGGACGTTTTGTTCTTTTTTCTTATTCGTTGTTCTTTGTTTTTAAGAGAGAAAAAAAAATAGGAATATCGTTTCTAACCACACGCCCACAATGAAAGTAAGAGTTCTCTCGGTCCCCGCAAAGAACACTGACAAAGACACTCTCCGTTTTCCATCATAGTTCTTTATCACCATCCCTCCACATATCTCTTTTTACCAGGAGGAACGGAAGGAACGGAACAAAAAAGAAAAAGAAAAGAAAAAATATTTGTGAAGAGTCTGTCATGTCCTGCTTTTTGTGAACTCGAAAAAACTCCCCTCCCCCACACCAGCGGTCAACCCCGGTTTCCAGATTGTCCCTGTCCGTCACGAGATTCCCGAGCCAGAACAAAGTTGAGACGTTACCCGACCATTAAAAACCCAGCGGAATTGAACGTTTACTTCCGCATCGAAGACGCCCGGCGCTTGCGGAGCTCGTCACGCTTGGCCTTCTCCTCGTGGACACGGTTGGCCAGGAGCTTGGCGTAGTCGTTGCTATTGTTTTGTTAGTATGCTTATAGCATATGAAAAGGTTAGAAAGGGGTGGTCTTACGCAGCCTCGCGGGAGGACTCAGCGCGACGGCGCTTCAGGGCAATCCTGTGACGCTTGCGCTGCAGGCGCTGGGGAGTCACCAGGCGCTGGATCTTGGGGGCCTTGGTGGTCTCGGGCTTGCCCTCCTTGGTGACGGTACGGCGGATGACGAACTTGCGGACATCGTCCTTCTTGTCGAGGCCGAAGAAACGCTGGATCTTGGTGGCGCGCTTGGGGCCGAGACGCTTGGGGACGACGCTGTCGGTGAGACCGGGCAGCTCACCCTCACCCTGCTTGACGATGCTCAGGGCCAGGACGGCAAGATCGAAGTTGGTGATGGCTGGAGCAGATATCAATAACCTGTGCTATTTCGGTGATTTTCTCGGGGCGCACACTGCGGGTTGTGTGCGATGGGGGCCAAACATACCACCACGGACGGACTTGCGCTTGCGCTCACCGGTGCGGCGGGGGCGGTAGCAGCTGTGGCCCTCGGCGAGGAGCAGGCGGGTACGGGTGGGAAGGAGAACTGGAAGATCGATGAGTTTCTGATACGGTGAATCTGGTGGTTCGGTCGGTCGATAACATACCACCCTGCTTCATGGGGAAACCTGAAGATTAATACTGTTAGCCAATGTTCCTTTTCGCGATCGCTTTTGAAAAAGCATGATTCCCATGATTCCACCGTCCAGCGCTGCCACAACTATTCCAATCCTCCTTCCCATACACGGAATCATGGGAACCATTTCAAGAAGCATAAAAGTGCTGATCCATCCGTACCTTGCTTGTCGTTACCACCGGTAATCTTGAGCAGATAGCCCTTGAATTCATCACCGAGCGAGTCACCGGCAATCTGTATCATTCAAAAAAACCCCAATCAGCCATTTGTCCCATTCGTTTCATCCCATCCAACACATCATTCCTCGCCGTCGTAGTTGGATATTTCATATCAAGGGAACTGACTTCGGTGCCCATGCGCTTCTCCATGAAGGGGCGGAGCTTGCGCTCATCATCGATCTCGACGATTTTCTGCGACCCATTGGCCGGGTAGGAGATGTTGAGCTTCATCTTGACGGAGTGGCGCGGTCAAGACGGAGGGCGCGGGTTTGTCGACAGGTCGAGGTGGTTCAAGGTCGTCTCGGGTTCTTCGTGGGATTTTTCGCTGGTGTGAGGGTTAGCGAGATTCGCCCTGTGTGGGTGGATGACTCAGCTGCGCTAGGCTTGTCTGGGAATCGTGCCGCTCGGTAGGGCTTCTTATGTCAGCGCTTACTATGTGCTTATGTAATCATGGCTTTTCTCTCTTTGGTTTACCACACTGTTTGTGACTTGGACATTCTCTATGTTCAACCTCTCGATACGGAACGATCGTGATAGAATTGTACCAAATACCGCCATGGAGATACTACACTGTCAGCTATCTGAGACCAACGGCTAGGCATCCCCAAGCATTAACACCCCATTTGAAACATCTAAGGATATCAATTGGAGTCGCCAGCCAGCAACATCTCCCATCAACAACGAACATGAGACCAACACTAACTAACCCACAATCACCTCACCAAACAGCCGCATACAATCCAAAAATGGTCCCAGTGGGGCAAAGCCAAAGGACAAGAGACAGACGAGAAAGGAAGGAAAAGAAAAGAAAAGAAAAAAAGCACCTGCTGTCGTCGGTCTAAGCGACGCACGCCACCGAGCAAACAACTCCCACCCTCCGCGGACCCGACCCGCAACAGCCGTCCTTCATGTCTTTTGCCTTGTCTCTGGGCCTATCCTTGGATGGTCTGTTATTATTGCTATCGTCATCATTATGGTTACTGTGTAGGTTTCAGCCCGGTGAGGCAAGCAAGCATGCATGCTTGCTTGTCTGTAAGCATGATTAGCAGCAGATAGGTCCATTTGTGATTGCATTTGTGGTAATAGTCAGAGTAGTACTCCGTAGTAGATAGATATGCTTATTGTCGTTCCTTTTTACTGCTGAGACAAGACATCACAAGACCGCGTGACCGGGTTGTTATCACCCCCTATACAGTTACAGAGTTACAGAGTTACTAGTACGTGGCGGCTGTATCCCAAAGATAACAAGCATACCCCTAGGGCAATGCATTCGTTGCAGAAAAGACTCGTGGCTCTGCAAGTCTGATATATCCGGGGAGGTCCTGGTTATGTCGATAGTGTTGACTCGCTGGCAGAGCTCATCTGTAGCTCTGCATGCAGCCAGCAGGAGCTGGACACGAGGTATTTAGGAAACCTCATAATCTTCTGCAGCATCCTGGGAAGCCACGACCTGCTTTAAAATGAGCTTGGGTATCCGGGAGATGTCTCACGGGTGAACAGCCACTGATGCCCGGTGAGAAGGTGGTGAGATTCTGGGCATTCGACATATGTTTGTTCCTCCCTGGTGACTGATCAGGCAGATCCTAGTTGATAGGGATTGTCTCCAGAGGCTGTGCCTGTTGAAAGCTACAGTCCAATATCAAGACAACTCGAGCATTGACGCCTGTCATCAATCGTTGAGAGTCATCTGCACCTGTACAGGACCGCCGGAATACTTCCCTTGTCTTCAAGCACTGACCTATCTGAGTCCGTCTGATCCAGGGAAACAATTCCTGTTTGATCTGTCTTACAATTCTTTTTTTTTGTCCTTTTCTGGGACGTCATTTTCTTTGTTTCTTCCCTCCTTCCAGTCATTCTTTGACCGTCTCTTCTGACGTCCCTGTTACCCACCAGGGATTCTTATTTGGACCGCCTCAGCAAACCATCCTATCGGCTGAGAGTAATTTGCGCCGATCACACAACGTCGATCGATGGGACCGGCTCTGGGGAAGCCCGTCTGAACTGCGGCCTTCCACTTCCTTTGTCTCGTACCCTTTGTGCGTCGGTCTCTCCACGAATTCGTGCCTTGGCGATGTGTGTCATCCTGTAATGACGCAGTATCTCTCCCTGGCCGCCTCCCCAGGTATTACCGTCGGTCATGCCGAGTAACCTTCCGCCAGCCTCCAGGCCCCATGTAGCGGAATCAGCTTCTGTGATTCGTAGAGGGATGACAATGCAATGCGTTAGGGGTCTCATCTGAATAAGAATGGCTCTGCTCGGTGGTCGGCTGAGCAATAACCAGCATTGTCGATCAAAAGGGGCAGTTGACAAAGCGGTGGTAAAACATCAAACGCCAAACCTTTCCTAGTAGACAGTACAACTATCACGAACAGAAAGACTCCAGGTGCGGGAATAGATTGTTCAAAAAGTAGAGTCGCTATGTGTCCAGCTCAGTAGGCAGGTGGCTGCTGGCAAATTGTATGAATGAACCGTTGCCGAGGCCATGGCCCGTGCAACATCTCGCCGAATAATCCAGAGGGGACCACACGGTCTTTGCGTCCTCCTTCAGGGGTGTCTGGCCTGTGGGAAAACCTACGGGCAGCCACTAGGAGAAATGGGCTACACAGCATGGAAGCCATCATGGAACTGGTTTAATCTACTGTTTCACGATCGAAACGACATGATGTATGTATTCGAGGCCGATGTAGTAAACTGTCGAGTGATCCGCGATTGGCGGCGAGTTGAGGGACCTGAATGGTGACCTAGGATGGAGACGAGAACAACGCCGCTTGCGTCCAACATGTGGAAGATGGGGAGCGATAGTGATGACATCAGAGGGAGAGACCGTGTGAGCATCCAGAGACCTCTCTGCTGCGGTAAGATCCATCCAAGTCCACCATGGGACCCATCGACTCGATCTAGGCCATCCTTTTCACAGGCAGGGTCTCGTCTCTTCAGCAATAAGATGGACCTGGGCCCATCGAGTGATCGACTTGTCAGGGCAGAAGAGTTCCATGGAATCTCAGCAGTGACATTGAAGAAAAGAGCAGGGGGGAAGTTAAAATATTTTTTTCTTCTTTCTGCTCCCCTTCATCCGTCCGTCGGGGTTTGATGAAACATAAGCAATTTGCCAGTCTGCGCCGCCCGGGGAAAGAGAGGCCGCTCTGTACGGAGTAGGAGATCAAGATCAACCCATGGAGAAACTCATACTAGGACTCAGCGGGTTTGGGCCCCAACACAATCAAACGCTTACTGTGAATGGGCAAAAAGACAGTGACCAGTCACTCCGTGCTTACTCCAGAGACATTGATGTCTAAGACTTGGTTTGCGACGAAATGTGGTCAGCGAGAGGGACTCCACCCGACCAAACCTGCGCTTCCGGGGGGGAGTGGCAGAGGTGGAGATTCGAAAAGGGAAAGGTAGTATGTCTCATTGGGTATAGTCCGGTAATAAAATAGAACAAAAAAAATAAAAGATCAAAAAAGAGATCAAAGGAATAAAATAAGATAGTCAAAAGAAAAGGGGCCAAAGAATAAGGGAAAAAAGAAAGGAAAGGTGAGTGAGACCTGGGGCACCCATTAGGTTCAATTGCAACGTGCTTGTGGGGGGGGAGATCGGAATGTGATCACCGACCGGTCGATCGCATCGCCAGGATTGACAGGGGATTGTGGGGTTGGAATTGAGAGGAGAATTAGGATTAGGATTAGGATTAGGATTATGGAAAGGGATTTGACATTAGGGTTCCTGCAACATCAACGTGTCAGTACCGGAATTCGGATAGGTCAGAGGAGGGAGAGGAAGGTGGTTTTGAAATGAGCTGCTTTCTAGGAAGAAGTTTTCAGGCCGGGCGGTTCTCTGGATGGGCGATAGCACTACGGAGTACCTCTCAGGCTCTTACTGTCACAGTCAAGGAGTGGCCAGCCATTCTTTTCTTTTCTTTTCTCTCTATCCGTATCTCTCTCTCTCTCTCTCTCTTTTCTTTGCTTCTTTTTTCTTCTTTTCCCAGTCCATACCTATTTGTGGGTTTCTTTTTTTCTTCTTTGGTTTGATTTGTTTACATCTACTAATCTGCCTCGAGTCGTATTCATAGTGTTGGTGGTGGTGGTGATGGTGGTGGTTGGGGGGGGGGTTCCACGCTAGCTGGATCAGGGTATACCGTCTGCTGTAGCCGGGAGGTGCCTCCATGCGAGATGGATATCCCAAGTTGGTTTGATGATTGATCATGCTTCCCTTCGTTCATTATCTTCTTCCCATTCGTGTGAGGGAGAAAAAAAAAAAGAAATCCCATCCAATTTGCTTCTTTCTTTGTTTGATACCCATGGGAGGGGACCAGGTGATCCCAAGTTAGGCAGGTGTTAGTGTGGCACACTAGCCGGTGGATCCCCCGGGGAGTGTGCCTGGAGCATTGATTGGTTTGGGGGAGACTACGGCACACCGCATGCGGGCGTCCAACAGACAAAGGAACCAAGTTCAATTAAATGGAACTTCACTTTCAAACAACTTGGAACAATAACCTCTTTCCAGCGCTTGGGACGTCAATGAGTCTGGACTCTAGACTTGTTCAGGTAGTAGCCGCATTACTAACCGTACCTAGCACTTACCCAGTAAGGTACCTACGACTGTTACTGCTCCTCCCACTTGTATTAGGTACTGCTACCACCACTACCACCATCAACTACTAATACTACGACTATTACTACGACTAATACGGAGTACTACTATTACCTACCAGTAAAAACCTTGTTCCTCGTTCCAAAGGTACCGTAAGGCACCAACCCTTCAGGCTTATCCAGAGGTTCAACATGCTATGGTGGCATTCGTCTTCTCCTATCCCCTTGGGTCCCTTAACAGGATCCTTTCTTCCATGGTCAGGTCTAGGGTCTTTTTTCCGACCTCCTTTAGCAAAGGAACGGTCGATTAATCCCTCCAGGTTCCATCCTGTTCCATTCATCGTAGTCTGGGGTGGGGGGAGGGGGGAACGAGTGGACGTGTATCATCCAGAACAAAGAAAGGAAAGACAGTAAAAAAAAAAATGATTAAAATAAAATGAAGAATTAATCAATGGTACCCAGGGCTAAACCTGGGTTGCCTGCAAGGCCAGACTAAGATGTGGCTCCAAAGATAGACTTATAACAAAGCACTTGAAAAGCCAAATCCTGGCTTTATCACGTCCGTCATCAGTCCTGGTTGGTTCGGTTTGCCTGGTAACAACTACTATCACCAAAGACAACAAAAAGACAAAGAGATCGCTGAAAGAAAAAGAAAATAATCTTAATTATCATCATTATTATTTTCAGGGAAATTTATCAAAGAAAGACCAGAAAATCTTATCGAGGAAAAAAGGAAGACGAAAAAGAAGAAGAACTATCAGAATTGATCGTCTGCTTTCTTTTTCCTGAGCCTCTGGGTTTCGAGATCAATCCGCCCCTTCTCTCTTCTCAAATAGAGAACAGAAGGGAAAGAGAGAGTATTGCAGAAGAGAGACAGACAGAAAAGAAACGAAAAGAAGCGAAATCAACCCAGACAAAGGAAGAAAGAAAGAAGAAGAAGAAAGAAAGTGTGGACAACTGACAGGGCACGAGGATCAATCTGGCGATAACTTTATATCTGCTTTCTTTCTTTTCTTTCTTCCGGTGACTTCGCCTCTTCGTCCTATCCTAGCAGCGCCAAATCATTTTCTCTTCTCTTTCTCCCTCTCGCTTTTTCCATTCTCTTTCATCCTTCGGATGTACTCCTCTTTCAGCCCACCCGCCGCCGACCCAAGAAGCGTTGAAGTTCTTCTTGCCTGCTTCATAAATGTCTTACGATCGAGTTCTCCCCAAACCGCCCGCTTTACATTATGACTCTCAAGTCACCCTGGCTCGGCCGACTAGCAACCTCCTCGAGCACAAGATCATGAATGACGACCTGACCAAGATGTCTGTGATGGATCATCGAAGAGATGCTCCCGCCGTCGGAGCTCCCTGTCGCTATGTGGCCGACGCGCTCCCACAGGTCCATCTCTCCTCTCTCAACCGGGCCAAGATCGCTTTGAACAAGATCGCCTCCACCGCGCCCATCGACCATCCGAGGTCCACGGAGCCGGGATTGGCCCCCCAGCTGGCCCTTCGAGAGCGCTCCTCGGTTTCGGAACGCTCCTCCTCCGCTAGCCCTACCAAGAGGGAGAGCGAAACCAAGTTCTGCCTGTGCCAGCCAGATCCGAAGATCCCCAGACCTCGAAATGGCAAGTTGCCCAAGTCTCCACCCCATGGCGTCCCGTCGTCCTCTAACACTCGTGCCCACAGCCTTCATCCTGTATCGCCAACACTACCAAGCGGCAGTCGTGGCTTCGAACCCGGGACTCGCCAACCCCGAGGTCTCCAAGATCATTGGCATCCAATGGAGGAGTTTGCCCCAGGACACTAAGGATGAGTGGAAGAAACTCGCCGAGGTAGCTCACCCCAGATTTCGCGCTGGTTCCATGGTTACGTCAAAGACTAACCCTCACTAGGCTGAAAAAGCCCGCCATCAACAGCAATATCCGGAGTACCGGTATCAGCCGCGCCGGTATGGACGAGATGGCAGCTCTCGAGGCACGAGTTCGGGGATCAGCCACAACCCCAACGGCTCGAGTGTCTGCAGTCGGTGTGGTGGCCGAGTGATGAACCCGCCCGTCTCTCCGGACGCCATCTTCACCCCAAATGGGTCCACGAGCTCGAGCGCTTCCTCGGCGACTCCAGAGGCGGCCACGGTCCGTAATTACCACTGCCGGACGACGGATGCAGAGCGTGTCCCGCACCCGATCAAGGTCGAGACGACGAAGGTGGAAACCAACGGCGGTCCTCATGCGTCTCGACAACGCCAGTGGGAGGAGAACGGAGCTCGATCCCCAGACTCGAAACGTCGGCGTTTCAACCCCCAACCCACTTTCAAATCGAATCCCCATCGTGAAAGAAGCCCCGAGACTCCGTACCCGATATCCCCATACACCCCACGCACGGACGTCCCGCCGAACTATCGAGGCCCACATCACACCTTTCAAATGTGGCAGCCGCCTCGACCGCTGCGTAGTGCCCACTCAGGCCCACCGCATGACCCCAGCCTCACGCTCCCTCCCCTGCAAACGACCGCGACGACTCCCAGCGCCATGACCCCAGTCACCCCGTTTCCAAAAGAAGGGTCGAGCGTTGAGGCAACGGTGATGACGATCCCATTTCTCAACAAGATCAAGGTGATCTCCAAGATCGCACCCCCGTTGACCCCCTCATTCCGGGAAGGGGCCGCTCAAAGACGGGGCGCCGTGATCGCCGTGGAGGGACAAGATTCCAAGCTGGTCAATGCCATGGTGGAACATCTGAACCACGTCTTGCAGAAAGAAGGCAAATATCAATCTCGCGTCTTCCCCGGACCCAAGGTGCCGACGGGGGAGAAATACTCGGAGCCCAGCCAAGCCGGCCATGGTACGGTGGACTACATCCACACGATCTCGGGCTGGAACACGGTATCCAAGGACATTGTACGCTTTGTCGCACCCGAGCTGCCGGAAGCGAAGTCGGTGGACGAGGAATCCGCAACGCCCGGGATGTCCCCCAAGACCATCATCCCCAAGACGGCCGAAATGCATATCCGCTCGCCGTCCCAGTCGAGCGACAACGGGTCGGTATCAGCGGGCTCCTCCTCAGGGGCAAGCACGTGTTTCGTTCCCGTCGCCCTCGTCCCTCAATATCAACTGACGACGGCGGATTTCTTCGCCTGCTCGGTTCCCCTCAATGACTCGTACGCGGTATTGGACCACTGGCAGTGGATGGCATCCCTGTGGCGAGGATGCGTGGGAGCCGACATCACCGTCTATATCCGGGACTGCGAGAAAGAGGAGTTGGACCGGTACGGGGGAAACCCCGTGGAGGTGCGTCTCCAGGACGCACGAACTGTGGTGCTACGTCGAGCTGCAGGGTCCACGCGGGACCTTGACGAAAAGGCGCTGAAACGTGTTGGGTTCGAAATTGAGTTTTTCCTCTCCCAGTGATGGCTGGGTCTGTTCGATATTATCCCTTTCTTGTCTCTATTTGTGAACGTTTTTTTTATTTTCTTTCTTTCCTTTCTTTCTTTTACAATTATTATTTTTTTATTTTAATTTTTTTTTTCTTTCTCTTTTTCTTGGGTATTTTCTTATTTTTGGCGTTAAGATCTGCCATATATGGGGTGGTTTTCTAATGAGTAAGTAATTCTCAACCTGTCCACAGAGTTGGGGGTAGGGACATATACTCATTCAACGGTGGATGGGCGTTCCCGCCAGATATATTTGCGGAGTCAGGTTACTGCTATTGTTCTCTATCGTTTGATGTTCAGGACAATTTGCGTCAAAAATAGGGTCAGCTTGATCTACAGTGAAATATACAATAAATAATACACATCTTTGTGAGAGAAATACCTTCCATCAATTTGTCAACTTTATATACAGTCCCCCATCCTAGTGCTGTCATCCATCTATGTGAGTGTCGATCCCTGCTTGGCACAGGGTAGACTGTTCAATACAAACTCTGCTGTGGAGCCTGGAGAGCGGTCAGTGCCCCAACCCAATCAAGCACGCTAGACTGCGGGAAAGACCCGTACGGCTTATCAGGCTTCGGGGGTATCCACTGATTGCGACTCATCTTTTGCGACAGCCACCTGCATCAATCTTATCTTCACTCTTTCTTCCCCATCCATCATTCTAGATTTTTTGGCACAGACTTACTGGGAATATTCTGCATTCTGGTTCGGATGACTCCCCTGATGGTGAAGGCGATGTGAAAGTTTTTGGTTCTTGTCAGGGCCAGCAGAGACGAGTGGAACTTTTTGCGCCGGAATGGATCTTGCTGGTCAGGATAGCCTTTCCCACGCAACAATGACGCTTGATGATGATGGGTATGGACCTGTACCTGTATATGGGTCTGGGTCTATTTTGCCAAGCGATGGCACTCCTAAGGTGTGTTTTCAGTCTACTCCGCTTTACCTACAGCGTCTTGCTGTTGAAGTGTGCAATGGACAGAGACTCATGAATTGATGATTATCCAACTTTAGATCAAGACGCTAGGTACAGATGATACCATACCCACGGATCAAAGCGATACCCCAATGGCCGACACCCTTGAAGCCCCTCTCCCCGGATCGTCGACGGATACCGTGGATTCCTCTACGCCGGCGACCTCATTATCGGAGCACGGACCCACACCAGAGTGTTCCGCCGAGAGCCCCCAGCCCATCAACGATGGTATCGATAGTCTCGACAACTACATACCCGTGGGCATCCTGAGACGCATCGCCAGAGACAAACCCCACACCACGCCAGTGCCAGTGCCAGAAAATTTCCCATACTTAGAAGCGGTGACCCTGGAAGGGCACCGTTGGATCCGGACAACAACCCATGCATACCAGGGCTATCCACATCTGTGTTATTCCCGTGTATATGTCTTGCCTGACGACGTGGGCCGCAAGGCTATCTCTCGATCGAGCTCGTCACTGAGGCGCGCTCTCAAGGTCGTCATGGCGAAGGTGGATTCGTCGGTTGGAGCTTGGATGGGGGAGCTTTATCCGGGGGAAAAATCAGACAAGAAATCATCCGCCAGTGCGGAGGACGAGTCGATGTGGTATATTTTCAATACCCTGCGAGATCCGGAGCCTCGTGTTGAAGAAATGAAGGATTTATATGCGAGGAAGGCAATGGAGGAATTGCTTTCTGGGTCTGTCGGTGGTGAGGCTGAGACGGGGCAGGAACTTGGCGTGCTGGGCCTCAAAACGCCCCTGTACCCCTACCAGCGCCGTTCGGCTGCTGCTATGATACAGCGGGAGGTTCAGCCGGCTCAGATGTTGGATCCTCGATTACAGGCCTTCTGCGGCCCGACGGGCCAGGTATATTACTATGATAAAGAAGAAGGCAGTATTGTGCGTGAGAAGCGAATGTATTCGGAAGCATGTGGAGGTAGGTTGTTGTTGTTGGTTGATGAGGTCTTTCCTGGAGGTTATCTAACGTTTACTAGGAATCCTCGCAGAGACCATGGGCTGCGGAAAGACGCTAATCAGTTTGGCGGTCATCATGGCGACACGGGGCCACTTTCCCAGGATCCCTTTGGAATATCAGGAGACAGAGAATGCCGTACGTCAGAAGACGGGGTCTCTAGTCGAGATGGCCGCAGCCGCGGCCGGTCGATTTTCGCTTCCGTGGAAAGCCCACTTCGAGACCGAGAGACACTACGGCTCTAACTACGACCGATGCATCAAAGCGTGCGAAGAGCACTGCGGTTCGTATATCGTCCCGCCTCCACCGGCCCGGTATACAGGCCGGAACGGAGTGGCCTATCCCAGGCCACCGCCGCTACATCTTCGACTCAGCTCGGGGACATTGATCATCGTGCCGCCCAACCTTGTAAACCACTGGCAGAAGGAGATCGCGCACCACACGGAGGGACTCAAGGTGCTTGTTCTCCGGGATAGTTCAGACGCGACGCCTCAACCAGACGAACTTTTACAATACGATATAATCCTGTTTTCTAGGGTCCGCTTCGAAAGAGAAGCAGGAGAGGTGGTTCACAACCACCGTGTTTCGACCAGGCCTGAAGAATCCCCCTTGACGAAACTCCACTGGTTACGCGTTGTGGTCGACGAAGGCCACAACGTTGCCGGCCACGGCCAGCGGACAGTCATGATGCACATTCTGGCTCAACTGCACTTCGAACGCCGGTGGGTCGTGTCGGGTACGCCGTCGAGCGGACTGTACGGTGTCGAAGTCAGCCTTGCATCGCACGAGACCAACACGAGCGATACGGACATGGGGGAAGCCACAACAGCTATCCTGCGAGGAAGGAAGAACACGGGAAGCGCCCTAGCAAGCGAGCTCAAAGATCTAGACCGATTGCGACTCATAGTAGTCGAGTTCCTCGACGTCAAGCCGTGGTCCAACTCTCGTGCGAACGATCCAGCCAATTGGACAAAATACATCAAACCCATCGGGGAAGACGGGAAGCGCAAGAAAGCACCGTCGCTCCGCTCGACGCTGCAGGGCCTTGTCGTCCGGCATCGCATGGACACCATCCACAGCGAGATTCCACTTCCGCGACTGTACAATAAAGTCGTGCGGCTTGAGCCGACGTTGTTTGACAGGCTGAACCTGAACCTGTTTATATTTGTGATTGCAGTCAACGCGATCACGTCTGAGCGAAAAGATCAAGATTACCTGTGGCATCCGCGCAACAGGAAGCATCTCAGCCTTATGATCAGTAACCTGCGGGCGGCAGGGTTCTGGTGGGCTGGCTCCGAGGCGGATGTCCCTGGGACTATTGATACTGCGCTGAAGTATATGGAAAAGAATAGAGACAAGATGACGGAGCAGGATATAGCTTTGCTGACAGACGGCGTGCGGATTGCACAGAAAGCGATCTCTAGCGAAAGCTGGCAGGCGTTCAGAAAGTACCATGAACTTGGAGTGTTCATCAAGGGTTTCCCGTCCCACGCTCGAAGTATGTGGGCACTGAACCAAGCGGAATGCGATAGGGAGCCGCTGCTCATGGGGATCTCGCAGGCACGGGATGCCCAAAAGTTTGTCACAGGACACTTAGACACTTTTGATCCGGCAGAGGGTCTCGCGGGTGCAGGCATCAAAGTGCGACGTAAGCTCGCGCAGCGCGAGAACAACAGCACCTCTGACGCAGCGAGCACAAGGAAAACCACCCCCGACAAGCCCATCAAACCCAAGACCTCAAAAAAGTCATTCTCCAAAGGCCTCACCAAAAACCTCCCACCTGAGTCCCCCCTCGCATCAACAAAACTAGTCGCAACAGCCTCCGCCAAACTAACCTACCTCCTCAGCCAAGTCCTCGCCCTACACAAAGCAGAAAAAATCATCATCTTCTACGACAACAACAACTCCGCCTTCTGGATCGCCGAAGGCCTCGAGCTCCTCGGCATCGCATTCCGCATCTACGCCAGCACACTCAAACCCGCCCAGCGCGCCGAATACCTAGAACTATTCCGCGAATCGGAAGACGTACGCGTCCTTCTAATGGACCTACGGCAGGCCTCCCACGGCCTCCACATCGCCAACGCCTCGCGCGTCTTCATCGTAAACCCCATCTGGCAGCCCAACGTCGAAAGCCAGGCCATCAAGCGAGCGCACCGTATCGGCCAGACGAGGCCCGTCTTCGTCGAGACGCTCGTCCTCCAAAATACGCTCGAAGACAAGATGCTCCGCCGCCGGAAAGCAATGTCTGACTCGGAAATCCAGCACGCAGAGCGCGATCTCTTAGACGATAGTACCATGAGCGCCATCATCCAGGACGAGCATTTCCTGCCTCTGCCGGAGGACGACTCAGCTGGGTGGGCCTTGTTAACGGGAGACGACACGCCGGGCCTGTTTGACCGCCACGCGCTCCCCCTCCCAGATGACTACGACGATAAGCCCACGCCCACGCCCAAGCCCACTCCCAAACCCAAACCCAAGCCTGGACTCCCGACCCCAAAGCGCACCCGCCACCCAGACGTCGAGCCAGACCTTCTAACGCCGTTAAAACGCCGCCGCTCAGCGAATTCCCGCACCCACGTGTCTCCTGCGGGGATTGTAATGGAGGGTCCTCCGCCAGCGGCGCGCATCCGCTCGCCTGCTTCACAAAGTTCGGGAGCGGCCACTACAATAAAGGATGAAAGTAGAGACAGTCCTCCGCGGGCGCACATCCACTCGCCTGCTGCGCAATCTTCCAGCGCGGAAGCGTATACTACAGTGAATGATGAAAGTATGGACGGCATTACTGACGCTGCTGGTCCGGCCGAAAGACCAAAAAAGACGGTCTCTCTGTTTGGCGGTGGTCGACCGGGAGATGCTTCTGATATAAACGGGTTATTATAGAATAGCATAGTATGATACCAGGCGTGATTGATTATAGGGACACATACAAATATTCACAAGGTAAAATTGCACATTTCACATTATATGTGTAGATTAAACTAGACTACAGTCAAATAGAGTATAGAGATACAAGTGGAGCAGGCATACAACAACGGCGCCGATCCCGATCACGTGTGGGGGTGGATTATACGTAGCATCAACTCCACAATATTTTAATCGGACGGACTAGCGCCATCACACAGTCCACTTTGCTTTGACTTCAACGGTTGTCATCAATAGTGCCGCTCTGGCTTATGAGTGGGAGTAAGGAGAGACTGAGCTGTATCTGCAATATCACATGGGCTTGAACAGTTCTGTCCTGCTATCTATCATCTAGACTGCATACTACCTGCCTATCTTAGTAGGTGGTGGTGGGTAGGTCGGAACCATCGACCAGAGCCACAGGGTAGGTCTTACAGCAGCAACAGCAGCATTGCCCAGACCATACTTCTCTGCATACCGAGTGCATTTTGTTCCGCAGAAATAAACCCACCAAGCCACACGGCAAAAAGAATTGAACTGCGAATCGAAAATGGCAAACATAATCGGCATCTCGGGCCCCTCATCCAGCGGCAAGACGACCCTCGCCCGATTACTCCAGCGAATCTTCAACGGTGTTCTTGACGACACCACAGATACCATAAATTACCAATCCCTCCGAACATTTATAATCCACGAAGACGACTTCTACAAACCCGACGATAGGCACGTACTTCCCCCCCCCCTCCCCCTCAACACCCACTCCCATTCAATCCAATCCACCCTAGTCCCAACCGACCAATCCCAAAGCTAACAACCCCAGAATCCCATACACAACAACCAAAAGCGGCCAAACCATCCAAGACTGGGACACCGCATCCGCGATCGACATCCCGCTCTTCACAGCCTCGCTGGCGTACGTGCGTGCGCACGGCAGTCTCCCGCCGCGGTTGACCAGCATCCAGGACCAGAATGAGGTGAGGGAGTCGGGGGTGTCTGATGATGTTGTTGGTAGGCTGAGAGGGGACGTGCGGGAGAGGTTATTGAGCGCTTTATCTACTTCTTCGTCGGAGCAGGGAGGAAGAGAGGGAAGAGAGGGAAGGAAGGAGAGAGTGGTTGTTTTCCTCGAGGGTTTCCTGCTTTACGGTGGTGCGGATGAGGCTCACGCACCGATGCCGATGCGCGATGTGCATGCGCAGATTGATTTAGGGCTGTTCTTGCCTGCGCCGTATGATCGCGTCAAAGAGAGGAGGGAGAGTCGGACGGGGTATGCTACTATTGGGGCGCAGCCGGATGTTGATCCTGGCACTTCTGGTGGAGGGTCGTCCCAGGAGGGTGGAGGGCATGCTGGGGAGAGCAAGCTTCACGAAGGAGAAGCGTATGAGCCGCCGCAGAACTTCTGGACGGATCCCCCTGGTTATGTGGATGATGTTGTTTGGCCGCGGTATGTGCGGGATCATGCGTGGTTGCTGCTCCCTGAGGGTGGGGAGGGGAGGTTTACGGGGGAGGAGAGTGATGAGGAGTTGGTGAGGCGCGTTGGACAGGGTATTGATGTGAGGGAGGATGCTGGGGTCGTTGTTGCGCCAGGGAGGGGGGAGAAGCCTATGGTGGAGGTGTTGGAGTGGGCTGTTGAGGAGGTGGCGAGTTATTTGCTTTCTTCTGGTGGTGCTAATTAGATATTGTTATGTTAGAATGCTTTGATTTAAGAATCTTGTTAAGCATGTTAGACTGCTGGGTACATGTTTCTTTTTTCTTTCCTTTTTTTTTTTTGGAGGGGGGTTTATGATGTCCTAACAGCGTTGCTGCAATGCATCAAGCATTCTGATCAGGACCCGTCCATCCGAGCCAGTAGTCGATCCTGTCTCTGAGTGACAACGGAGCTGCGGTATCCTCTGCCTCAGCGTTTGTATCCAACTCCCCTGACAGGGCGACTGGCTCAGTTCGTATATCCCCTGGTTCGACCGTATCCGGGATTTCATCGCCTGGTTCAAAAGACACCTGGTCGGGCTCTAGATCCAGTGTAAGATCTTCAAGAAATGCGTAAGTCTCCACTGATTCATTCTCGCTGGAATGGAATGCATCCGTAGCAGTGCTGCAGGAAAAGGTTAAGCTGGTATGGTACTGGTCTACAGCACAAGCACCGTCATGACAAATGACTGCCCTGAAGTAGAAGAGGTTGAGCAGAATTGCGAGGAAAAAACTGAAAACTAGTAGGCACACGCAGAAGGCGACCAGAAGCAGCTTTTGATATATCCCTAGCGGAATTGACTCGTCATCTGGCTGTGAAGTACCACCGAGTCCAAGTGTTATCTCGGAGTCGGTAGATGAAGGTGGTCCATGCAATTGGCGAATGGGATTGGGAATGGGTCTTTCATCATTTTCAGCCTGTCCCAACTCAGTGCCATTATTATCAACATGTGGCACAGGGTCAAGCTCTGTAAGTTTATGCCGAAGCTCATATCTCTCCTGTTCATAGGGCCCGGAGGTGGCCGGATGGACTCGCGGAAGCCAGCTCATAGCCTGCCGGATAGGTGCTTTGACTGTCCATGCAAGGCAAAACAGGCCCAAGTCCCGTGGCGAGCAAATGATTTTGATATGCGAGACACCTATGCAGGGATTGTCAGGAGTCGGGATGTGAACTACTTTGAGACCCTTGGTCTGGGCTTCTAATTCGTATTGAAAGGTTCCTTCTGGGCCGCCGTCTAGGTCGAGAAAAAAAGAACACTGTTCCGCCCAGAAGCAGCGATGATGTAACTTGATTGAACACACTGCGTGGTATTGCACCACTAAATTTGACTGTTCATCCTGGGTTCCGCCTGCATTGAAATCGACACGGCAAATTGCCCTGATCTCTTGGTCCACTGTAAATTCCTGAATGCCGTGGGATTTCGAGTCACGGAGTCGCAGAGAAATGACGAGGTCGCCGTGGCTGATGAATTCGGCAAAAAAGCAATTCTCCACAATCTCGTACCTCTGGAGGTTCCTAGTGTCAAACTCAATGCCTTTGTCTTCTGGGATGAGAAAGAGAAAGGTTCCACTGTCTTCGGGTGTGGTCCTGGGAAGTCCTGGTATCACCAGCTCGTGCCAGCCCCTTGGGCTACTTTCTTTCAAGAATAAGGATACAGTGAGGGTAACTTTGTAGACTGCTTGTCTCCCATTCCTGGGACATTTCAGAAAGAGGATACCGTCTCTTGTCTCCAGGTGGGGTTTAGCCGTGGCAGTTTCGATGCGGGAACCTTGGAACTTCGTGGCCACTTCCGGAACCACTGTGCGAGGTAGAGACGATCCAGAAGCCGGCGAATCTTCCATACTAGTATGACCCAAGGATGCTGGTGACGCAGGATCCGTCGACAATGATAAACCAGTAAAGACTTTTGGTGGAGAAGTGCTCAAGACAGCCTGTTTATTGACGTCACTGTCGTCTACATGGCGTTCATCACTTATGCCATGAGCATCTCCGCCTGATGATGATGACGCGCAAACAACAGATCTCTCCGGCATCGCCAACCCAGTCTGAGCTGCAGGTTTCGGAATCATACTCGGCTTATCGACAACCTTTTCATCCAAACGGCTCGACTTCATACTCTGAGCACTTCTCGACCTCGAACCGGCATCAGAGTCAACGAGTGCCATTTTGCCTTTGTGGGAGTCATCCTTCTTATCACCGGATTCAATATCAGAAAGAAACGCGTCATGGGCCGTTCTCTTCCCCAGACGCGGCGAATTACCGCCATATTCGCGTGGTAAACCAGCGGAAAGACCGGACGAGACGTCAGGAGACGATTGTGAGTCCTCGGAGGGTAGTGGACATTTCTGAGACGAACGCCCTTGAGCATCGCGACCACCCAACGACGAACCATCACTGGGCCCGTCATGTTCTCCCAGGCTATCCGCGAAAACAGTCGTCTCCCGATCGCTGTCATCCGCGCCATGCGAAAACTCAAAGAGCGGGCTCTGGGGGGAGGGTTCGTCAGGTTGTCCCTCACTCTTATTGGACTGGAGGAGCACGGAGGTTTTGATGACCAGCAGCCGCACATTTCCCGTGTGTAACAGCGGGAGCTCCCTTCCTGGAAGACATTGGACCTACAACCCAAAAAGACAGGGGCCGTGTTAGGTGATGGTTAGAAGGTATACTCATTTGAAGTATCCTACCTCGACTGAGATCTTCAGGTCTGCCGGCTGGCCTAGATCACCAGACCATGTCCCGCGAAGCTCGAGGTTTTTAGATTTCAGGGTGTTACGGCGAGATCCCTCGGCTGGGTTGTCTGCCATCTCGTCCGTGGTGTTTCCTGCCGCGCTGTGGGATGAAGAGGACGCGATCCTATGTGAGAACGGGGGAGCTCACGAGTTAGAAGAGAAGATACTAGGTAGAAAGATGATTAGGGTGACTCACAAAACTGAAAGTAAAAGTCCATGGAATGGCAGGAATAACGAGGAAGGAAAGTGAAGTATCAACAGACCAGGGGATTGATTACACTTCACGTGTGGATGGATCCTCAGGCAACCTGGGCCTGCCTGTTTTGTTTGCTAGACACCTTAGGGTGCACAAACCTGTTATAGCTGCTGACCAATTTATTCTGAGACTACGTACGCAACACCCTCGAACAATAATTATAGATGGATGATAAAATTACCATCTAATATGCGAGCCACAAGCAGCCCAGCCTGTCGGCCGCCATGTAACCCGCAAGTACGGATACAGGATAGGGTAATATGTACAGGGGAAAACCAAAACGGCAAGAACCAAACCCCCATAAGCAAAGCAAAGAACGCAACCAGCCGTGAGACGGATATCCCTTTTATGCCCCCTAGGCGCCATGTATCCCCCGAGAGCCACCCATTCTGTTCCCAGAAAAAGACAAACACCCACCCCACAGTCTATTCCGAAACGAAACGATCAAACCCAGAGTAAGCCATCCCACGCATTCCACCGTCACCCCGTGAGGGGAAAAGATTGGACAAGAAAGGAAATAAAAAAGGAAAAGCAAAGCACAAAGAAAGAGGGAGAAGAATAAAGATGAAAAGCGGTAAACGAAGTAGAAGAGCGAAAGATCGGGGTGCCTCAGCGGGGTGTTGTTCCGTTCGATGAGCCCGGAGGATCGAAAGTTTGACCCTGAGCATACCGCTCTGCCTCGTTGCCCATGGGCTGCGATGGAAGGATGGGAGTCGCCGCTTGAGAAGATTGATCGAAGTATCCTCGCGCCGTCGAGCCATTGGTCCCCTGGGGGTAGTTGCGATTTCGTTGTAACGGAGGAAGGATCGTGGAACCCGCTTGGTACTGCGATCGAGGATAGCCCTGCATCATCGCGCCTGTCGAATCTGCTGCCTAGAGATCCACCAATATCAGTACCTTCTCCCGGGGGTGGTACGGGTCGGCAATTTCCATACCGGTGTGTCTGACGGGTTCACCATCCCAAGCGACTGCATCGTGGCCTGTTGACTGGAGCGATGTTGTACCCCCGGATCCTGCATCTGAGGTACTTGTGCCGGTGATAGCCCGTATGGCATCTGCTAAAGTCGTGTTAGTGACCTGTCGCGGGGTGCAAGACAATCGTGCCCTCAGATAAAGGCGGACGTACCGTATAATCTGGAACGCCGGTGTGCCCTGTGGCATACCCCGGCATCATAGACGTGGGGTAGGCCCCTGGTTGATTTGGATACATTGCCGTAGTCTGCGGGTAGGCGTCCATCTGGCGCATACGCCCGTCACTATCGTAAAGACCGCGACTCCCAAAGTCAACCGACGTGCGCTGGCGCTTGACTGGTCCGCTGTAGTACGTGTAGTCTCGCCCTGCGGCTGGATACCCGCTATAAGTAGCCCCAGGCATTTGCATCGACGAGCGATCCGGCGACCTAGGTACCGCCTGAGGGTATTCCTCTGTCCGAGGGATGGTCCGTTTGCTGCGTGGATCTGTTAGCCCTGACCCGTAGGACTGGCAAATCTCGCCGTGAAAACTCACATCAGCGTCCGCGGCTCCTTTCGAATGCGCAGTTTAACGCCTTGATCGGCAAACGAGCGCGACAGAAACGTTGATTCCGCCATCCCAGGAAAACTCTTGGGGGGTGACACTAAGAAATTCGTCAGTGGCGTCTCTGACTGGAGTTTGAAGAGTGCCCATCCTCACCGGTGAAGCGATCCGAGATGGTCGATTTCAGGTACGTCACAACTTCCCTATTCGCACGGTACGGTCAGCCCTGGTTTCCATGGTCTGCTCGACTTCACGGTCTGCTTGACTTTTCCCCTCGTTCCGAAGACGGGGCTTCCATCCTCTCAACGCTCGGCCAACCAGAGGGGGGCTAGAGGTTACGTACTTGCGCATTTCGAAGAGAGTGAACTTGAGCCGGAAGTCGCCTTCGATTTTGATCGACAAATCACCAAAAACGAAGAACCCTCCATCTGCGCCGATCTCGTCAGTTGAGCTGCGCCGATTTCCCGAGGACGTGAAGCCAGTCTGCTGGCGGCTCAACTCACCGGTGTTATCCACATCCTTCAGACGGTGCAAAGACGACACCAGAGTCCCCGTCAGAGTGGTGGACGGGGAAACGGGAACTGGAGAATCGTCTGAGGAGTCATAGAGGCTGCAGCACATGAAATAATACGGACTCTGGAGGTAGTGCCTATCCGCAGCGGTCAGTAACCCAAACTCGCTTTCGCACTCCGTTTGTGACCAGGGGGGACCTACTGCGCGAGATAGGTTCCTTCCTCTTTGACCCGGATCTGCACAATCGGCGGCGGATCAACAGGCTTACGTTCTGCGACGCGGTCAGCCACCCGCTAGCTCGCTACTGCGCAGATCGCCCGGTTCCGCGCGCACGGCGGCCGGTCACTCACCTTTCTCCTTCCCACCAGCCACGCGCGCCCGCGACGGCTGCTGGCGGATAATCAGATCAAATTCAGAGCTGGGGGATAACATGGTCAGTGGGAAATCCGGGAAAGCTGAGTAAGAACTGAAGCCATCGGGAGTGATGCGCGAGGGAGCCGACGGATCCCGTTTCAGACTTACCCTTGAGGATCGCGAGCTAGAGAGGCGTCCGGGAACGTCGACGCACTCATCAAGGCGAGCTGTGAGGCACGAGAGCCAAAGTGAACGGAGCCAGAGAAACCAAAATTCGGGATATTGGGTCAGACGCCCACAGTCGAGTGAACCACGTATGAGTCGAACGGGGATCTTGCCAGGGGGGGGAGCAGGGTTGGGTGGAAGGAAGTAAGTTGGGGTAGATGGGACAAAAGGGAAAGCGGGAGGTTTTACAACTGGGAAGGGTAACGAGGATGGAATTCCTGGAACCTCCCAGTCAAACTTGTGGTTCAACGACACACTAGACGGAGGAATGATACACAGTGGGGTTCAACGGGAAAGAGAGGAAGCAGGAAGAGGGGAGGCTGGGAGAGTGGAGGGCGGAGGGGTGTAGGATGGATTGGGGGTGTAAAAAGTGGTGGTTCAAGATGAGCACAACGGTATGATCGATTAGTGAGGTGAGTAGTAAGGCTTAGTGACCTTTCCTTAATTGAGGAATGACCAGAGAAAGCTCTCGACCAGGACGGAGTGATTTCCAAGGTGGAGACAACGTGGGAATGAGACCTTGCAGCTGCCACAGTAAGGTTGGGAAGCTTTGATCATCCAGATCGAAACGATGGGTACGAAAACGGCGACCAAGACTGAAAGAGGTTGACTTGGGAACTCGAGTCGAATAGGGAGCAGTTTGGCGGTAGTGTCGTCAGAATGCAAGCGGCAAGAGCCAGCCGAGCACGGGGGGTTCCAGACAAACCTTAGTCGGATTGTAAAAAGTCTGGTCAAGTCGCCCGTCAAGTTCCAGCAATGATTGTTGTTGGTTTAGGGAACTTGGTGAAGAAGTTTGTTTCCAATGAGGTCCAATTTGGTGGTGCAAGTAGTATGAGGTCGAGGATCCTTGCTTCTTTTTTCTTATCTTTTCTTCTCTGATCTTTTTTTTTTCCCTTTTTATTTTGTTTTTCTCTTTTCTCTTTTTTTATTATGTTTAATATTTTTCTCTTGTCTTTCTTTGGTTCTGTTCCCTCTCTTTCTGGTCCGTTGAATTGGATCGATGATGAAACGTAGTCGTTCCAAAGAATTAATTATTCACCAGTCCCCTCTGTGGTGAAAATAATAGTAATAGTAATGAATGATAGTAATAATAACCAAACCCAATGAATGGTACTCTCCCGACCGTGAAGAGTGACTTGCCTTCCTTTTTTTTTTCTTGAATCTTCTTTTTCTCGTTTTTTTTTTTTTTTCTTTCTTTTAATAGACTCGAGGGTTCAAAGGCGAAAATAAAAAAAAGGCAAACCTAAAAATTCTCCAATCAAAATACCAATCCAATCAGCGCTCAGAAGAAGTTGAAAATGATAATAATAATAATAAGACAAAAGGCCAAGGTATAGAGGTGGAATCGGCCGACAGTCCTATGACTGCCTAATAAGTCGAGGTGTGGCGGGATAGACGACCGCCCGGCGATAGGATAGGAAGGCAGACCAGACGGTAGCTGAACGATGGGTCAATCAATGTCGCCTCTTGCCAATTGAGACGCCTGTGACGCACAGAAAGTCAACGCAAGAGGGGAGGCAAAAAAAATAAAGTGGTAAAAATAAATAAAATAACATAAAATATGTAGAAAAAATTGAAGGGAAAAAAACGGAAAGTAAGAACGGACTTCTAAGCCAATGTAAAAAAAAAAAAAAAAAGAATGAAAGATTTAGGGTATAAAGAAGAGGGGAAAAGAGAAAGAAAGAAAAGATTTACTGGAATCAGAGGCGACCAGCCCAGCTGACCGGTGGAGCTGTACCAGAAGAAAAAAAAAAGGCAGAACCGGCCAGTTTTCGGCCGTCAAATGGTGTCGTTACCAGCAAAGGTCGACCACGGTTGAGAAAGCGGGCTAAAAGGTGCAAGTGGTATCAGTTTTGACGATCCGACAGGAACCGTGACAACATCAGGATGATGCGCACACATCTGGAGGCTCCCCAGACTTGTCCGGGGGGGAGGGGAGACGGTTTATACCAGATTCAGTTGGGCCACCTGCGCAAGCCCTAAAGTCTATACTTTCTTTTGTCTTCCAATGAGGGTGGAGGATTGTAATGGGGTGATGGAGGATCGTATACGGGTGTACTCCGTATGTATCTGAAAGACCCTCTCTGGGTAGGCGTCAAATTTCCAGGTCAAATCACAGCAAATCAGATCAAACCAAATCGAAAAAGGCCCCCGCAAGGGAAAACACGTTTGTGGTAAACCAGCAATTGCTTCCCCGAGCAAACCCCCAATAACCCACCACAATCTAAGGGTAACGGTTTGTGGCCTCGTGCTGCGGAGATGGGACCGGCTATGCAAGTGATGGTACTAGGTTGACCCGTAACGATTTCCAGGCACCACCTAGGGGATCTCTCTTGTCCCTTCTTCTTCCAGTCCTGTTTCCTCTTTCTCTTTTGAAAAGGGTGACAAACCCCCCCCTTCGTCCTTTCCGGACCCAGACGGCAGAAGAGGAGACGAGGCCGGTTCGGGGACTGGTCGGTGCGCACCCTAAACAATTCAATTAGAAAGTTGGTCTCCATAATCGAGTCATGGATTATGATCATTCGCGTGATTGGATGGGGTCAGAATCCATGAGAAAGAAGATGGGAATAAGCTCATTATTCTGATCATGGTGACCATGGACGAATAGGATAGACATGGACCGAAACAAAGACCAGTCAGGACATACCTTTAATTGAGTAATATGATAGGTAACGTGAGAAAAAGGAATGATGATGATGGTCAGACTCCGATTTAGTGCTTAAACTTTGATCGGCTCTTTGTGCCTGGTCCAGTGGTCACTCTGGTGAGAGGAGGAGGGGGACCCTCATCCGTAGATCCTTCTGGCTTTCCTGCTCTCCTCTCGGCTCTTCTCTCAACCTCCTGCCTACTAGTCAAATGTCAGCCTTCTTTCTTCCTCTTCCTTTCTCATCATCAGCATCATCCTCGTCATCATCATCCATCAGCATTATCATCTTCCGTCATCCTCTTCTTTCTCACCTGCCCCGCCTTGGCTGTCATCTCGATGGATACTCTGTAATCGATCCAGCCATGCAGACACCTCCCTAAAGCGAAGGAGGGCTTCCCCATGCAATCATAACCACAACAAACACAGCAAATCAAAGGTCAGGGAATACGAACCGTGTCTCTCTTCCCTTCCCTCCGTCTTTCTATTATGTCATCCAATTCGTTCCGTGTTTCTTCGGCGGGCTGCGATCCAAGGACGCAGGTTACGGTCACTAGGGACGCTGTCCAAGGCTCCTTTCCAGGCCCAGTCGGTATCCGTTAAACCCGTTGTTATCAGTTGCAAAAGCATTCAATCAACTCGGACTTCGTCGAGCCTTTTACTTTCCTTCCAGCTTCCCCTCTAAACTTGAAGCGCCCTCCGTGCAATCGTCGGTGCCTCCCGGAGCCTCTTGGGGGGTTAGGCCATGAGGCGAAACCGGGGAATTTGGGAATAGGACAGAGGGGTCAAGGTCGTCAATTAGGAAGCAGTGGAAATTCCTGTCACTACCCATTCCAGTCGCGTTGTCTTCCGTTTAGACCCCGGATTTGAAACGTCCTGCGCGGTAGCCGTGCGACACACGCCAGTGCTTTTCACTGAATTATATACGCAACCTCGCAACGGAAGCACAGTTTCACCGCTGAGATTCCTGGACGCAGTTGGATTTTTCGAGCGCGGAATAAGTCGCTATAGTGCCACATCAATTCGGGGGAGGAAGCTCATAAGTACTTTGGTGCGGTGAATCCAGAACATTGGCGGGAGCAAGCCACTATTTCAACGTGCGGTCGTGGATGCAGGTCTGGCTGGAAAATCCAGCCTTTAAGCTGCTGCGTCCTAGCGATTTAGTTCGATAGATGCATCACATTGTCTGGGCCGTGCCATGCAGGTTACATAGACTGCGTTTCCCCACACGCTCCTTGACCTCAAGACCGTTGTGATGAGGAGGCCTTGGCTTGCCTTGCGTGGATGAGAAGGAACTCACCCGTCAGGAGGGGCCAGGGTCTGTTGAGGATCGCGTTAATAATGGCTTGGTGCGCCACACGAAGTGGGCTAACATGCACGATTTTTTTTTGGGAAAGAGGATCGTCGTGAGCCTTGCTTGGGGTCTCTCACAGGCTTAGGTGGATTCGATTCAATCATGAAGAGCTAACCTTACTTAAGTAGTGCTGGTCATTTCGTCGGACTACGCTTCCTCGCGTGCATGATACGAGCCCCCCCAGTCTCTCACGCGCAATTGAGCGTTACGCTTCCATTCCCTCGTACCATACAGCGACTTTTGTCGCGGTCGCGCCCCCGTCAGATACACCATGCTGCACATCGGGCGCGTACGGAACCTGGGACTTAATTGGTGACGGCTGCATCTCGCTGCATCTCGCCGCATCAATTGCGGAGCTACGAGCACCATAAGCCCAGAACATGGTCCTTCGCATTATTCAAGCAAACATTCGGCCTGTTGCCTGGTTGGAAAGGCAGGTTTTATGCCAAACACTGCAGAAAGAATTGAGGGTTTGTTTTTGACTCTTTCGACATTAACTCGATGCGACTTGTCTCGCAACCCACGGGGGTGTATGTGAGCAGGACCCGCAAGTAACGAGCCACGATTGATTGGCGTAACCACGCAAGGGTGTTCTAGATTCATGTCGAATTTTGTCAGGGCCTGGGATGGTTAATGGTGGTGGTGGTTCCGACCAGAGGACCTGCAACCTAACCGTTCGCCCCGGTGCGCCCTAAAGAGAGGGGAAACAAAAAGACAAGAAAATATGTGAAGAAGGACGAAAAGGGAAAAAAAAAAAGAAAAAGAAAAAGAAAGAAAGAGAAAGCCGAAAAAAAGAAAAGAAAAAGAAGAGAGTAAAGGAAAATCAAGAGTAACAGGAATAAAAACAAGAAACCAAAGGCATCTCACGTTCAGGCAGGTACGGTTGGTCTAGGGAATGGGTTTGGCCATTGGAACTAAATCCTTGAGTCGATTCCATCATCCAATCATTCATAGAAAAGAAAGGAGGGAGGGGCAAAGAAGGAAAAAAGAAAAAAAAGGACAACTGACAATGGTCAAGAGTCAGTCTTTGCATACTCATCACTGACCATGATCGGCAATACCCCGAAGACCTGTCAGCATGAGACCGAATACTACAGACGGACCAGACGACCAATGGCTCGAAGATAATGCCACGTTTCGGTGGCGCAATGGGTGGGAAAGCTCTTGATTTGAGGCAATTGAACGCCCATTGTCGCTGCTCCTGGGTATCTTGATAAAGTGATCAGGTACCTGTCGCACCGGACACTCAATCATACAAACCCGTTGGAACCCAAGGACAGGCCGCCATTTGCTGAGAGAACTGGCAGTATGTTTGGTCAAAAAGCGGTTTAACTCGATACCGCCACGGCCACCGGTTGCCTAAAGAACGAGCGCGAGGCCTTCTCTTCTCGTCTCTGTCATTTTTGTTCTTCTCCACTCTTGATTTGAAATCGAGAAGGGGGAGGGTGAAAAGTAGGTGGAAGGATTCAGAAACACCAGACAGGACCGGGCGGGTGGACAAAAAGAAAATTCTTTCCTTTTCTTTCCCTTTTTGTTATTTTTATTTTTTTACCGGGTCTGACTCTTTTCGTCCTTTTACATATTGGTGGGGGTCGAACAGGTGATGCACAGTGAAGTGTCCGTCGGGCTTAGCGGTTGCCTGCTCGTCTAAAACCAATCGGGGGAGTGACACTTCCTTCGTCAATGACAGCCGCCCTTCTCCATTGTGAACCGAACTCTGGACAATGCTTATTTTACGCTACCGTTATGCTTATTATTCCGGACCCTTACGAAGGGTTCCGTGCTTCGTTAGGGTCAGATCCATGGCCTACAGCATCTCTATCACTTTGGTCATCTGAAGGCGGAGCTGAAGAGATTCTGTCCGAGTGCCGATCGCCATGGCCGTACAGAATTTTCCATCCTCTAGTCCGGACTATGAAAGTTAAAGCAAGACCATCCACCACGGTGGGAACTTTGTTGCTCTTCCACAGCATGGACTCAAACGGAGCAAGACAACCTTAGAGACTGACCGAAGTAACGCCATGGTCTATCCGCCCATGGTGAAATAGATGCTCGCTAACGTTCAAGTACGAGTTTCAGTGTCTCGGATACAATGCCCATGCATGACTGGGCGGGGATATAACCCCACTAAATCAGCCGGGGCTTCAGCAAGGAGCCTGTCAGAAACCTCGGGGTTTGAATGGACAATAAAACAGAAAGAGGTAAGGAATGAAGGGTGAAAAATAAAGTTCATAGAAAAAAGAAAAGAAATTGTGAAAGAAAAAAAAAAGAAATGGGACATGGCTGAATATGATAATCTTGATCATTGGCGGGATCGGATGAGGAAAAGAGAAAACGAATTTTTTTTGTCATGACAGATCATATCCCGGAACCGACGATTTTCACCCACATCGCAAGGAGATTGGACATTCTTCCTTCAGCTCTCTAGTCAAGCCACAATGTCTGTATAAGACACGGGCTTCAACCCGTCGACCTATATCGCGATATTTATAGACATGACTGTCCAATCCTTCAATGCACAGCAAAAGTCGTTGAAGATGACCGCGCGGCCTATCTCAAATTTCAAGACCTGTGACCAAACCAATCTCTGTCGGCTACACAGTCAGGAATAATGGCATCAGCTATATCACTATTAGAATTTGTCTCCAAAACATCGTACTTTCGACCACGTCGTCACCTCCCAGAGTCCACCAGCTCTTCAAGGCACCAGGCTCTGTTTGGTACCTGCCATATCCCTATCAGACCTCCGGGTTTCCATAAACAGAGCCATGAATTGTGCGCAACAGTACGGAGCACTCCATACGGAGACCTGTATACGCCATGCATGCCGTCTTATCACACAAAGGCGGCTGAGCCATTGCCCCTCCGTGCATAAACCAACAAAAACCCAGCTAGTCTATTTACATGTAGGGCAGCCCAGCCCAGCCGGGTCACACTAATGGGAGTGGACCACTATCTCACCCTACCCGGGGCCGGGCGCATGCACGCAGATCTGAACAAAGACTGTCATCAATTCCCGGGTTTCCTAGATGCAGCGGTCTCACATAATGTACTTTTGTGTGCAGCCTAGACCGTCCGAACTCGACCGGCTAGTATTCGCCCACTGCTAATATTACTACTCCTACTACGGAGTACTACTACTGCTGATCGATTGACTCAGTTACTCACTGATTGCGGGGAAAATTTGCCCTGTTACTCGACTATCTCTTCTTCCAATTGACGAGTCCTTCAACTAACGATATTGACATTGGTACTTAATCTCGCTTTTCTCCTAGGAAGGACAGCATTATGCAAGGTGGTTTCAATTTCCAGACCATATGCAGTCCCTTCCCTAGAGGGAAAATGCCGTCAGCCATCGCCCTGCTTGATTTCGCAGCCCTGAGTCCGGAGACGATCGCAGCATTACCCGTCAACCAATAAATCAGCCTGCAAAGGTACGAGTACTACTTAACTCTCCTGAGATACCCTCCGTCTCATCTGGATCTACTCTGTACATTCCGTGGACTTCGCTTCCGAAAGCCGGGATGCAATATACCTGCAATATACTAGGTTAGTACGTTGTGCATTCATTGGTTGTGTATTCAATGGTTGCCTTGGGATAAATTGAATGGTGGTTTGCTTCGGCTAGAAGTGGTGTTGGAAGGGAAAATGAAATAAAATGGGATTGTTGCCATTTATAGTCATGAAAAATTTTTGATACTGTAATGCATTCCGCGAGCTTGATCTGATAGATTGAACCAAGCTACAAAGTATTCCAGTACGGAGTACGTACATAATCTGTCAATAACGAATAAATAGATCGATAGGAATACTCATATCCACCCCATTCAACATCGTTCTGGCTGATTCCTTTCTCTTTCTTCTTTTCTCCTTTTGATTCAAAAAAAGAAAACGAAAGAAGTATAGAATATAAGTGATAGATAGATGTGAAAAGAAAAAGACCGATTATAAACAAATCCAGACTCAGCTCGTTCTACTTTACTTTCGGGCCTTGATACCTGTACATACAGGAGATAGGTAAGTTAGGTAGGTAGGTAGTAGTACCTTACTTCTGCTACTATCTGTATGCTCATCCTGTAGATCAACCTCTATCTTTCCCTTTGTCCTTTCTTGATAAATCAGACAATAATTATTTGATTCTGTCAGAAACAGACAGACAGACAGGATCAACATCCTGTGCATAATGATAAACATAGTAATAGTAAGTAAGCAGTACTTCCTGACAGGTGACCTATACACACCTCCAAATATCACAACCCGGTCAACAGACATGCACCAATCCAATAATAAGATGAACAGGGCGTAGTTAGATATGTACCAGTTAGGTTAGTGGTATCACTAGCACGAACTGCACTAAACACCACTAAATCTATACATATAGATAGGAAGTAGTACAAAGTACCTACCTGCTCTAATCTACTATCTACATAGCTAGGATCTAGTCTACCGACACTACTGTCTACTAGCAGTTAGGGTATGGCCCAGCTAGACTAACCAAATCAAACCACAGCGCCCGCGGACAGCGGATTCAGATTCCGGTGAATACTTTATTTCATTGTCAGATTCTCACTGGGTCCTTCCTTCCCTTTCTTTTTCCGTTTGTATTTTTTTTTTCTTTTTTTTTTTT